ATTCAATACCTTATAGTCCTTTTCCTATTCTTTTTGACAGTGTATGCTTTTCTTGCATACTTCCCAAGGAGTGTTTTGATGTTCAGGTTGTCATGAAAAGGTGACATCTCTAAAAAAACTGATTTATTGCTTTTACTTTATGTTGTTTTTTTCCCCTTAAGTGATAATGTGAATGAAATACTAGTATTTGCCTTTTATAATCCTGTGAGAAAATAGCCTTTCCTCCTTAACTTGGAAGTCAAAGTTATATATTTTTTGGAGAGATCTGGAGAGTGAGCGATTTCTGTGGATAGTTTTAATTCTCAGGGATAATTTTCAGAAAAATCAGTGGCTAATCCTTAACCTTGGTTGGTTGGTTGTTTCTTCTTTGGGAGGGTAGAAGAAGAAGGTTTCTTCTTTCACTTTAGATAGGGAAACTAAAGAGGTGAACAATATGAGTTAGAGAATTATGTAATGAAATTTAATGAGTATATTTATTTTTAGTAGTTTTTTTGCTACATGAATGTAATAGTTGACATAATCTAATCTGGATTTTGTTGTTGTTTTGGAATTTAAGAATCTCAGTGGTTTAAAAAACATTTTTTTTTTTTTTTATTGACTTCGGAAAGGAAGGGAGAGGGAGAGAGAGAAACATAAATGATGAGAGAGAATCATTGATCGGCTGCCTCCTGCATGCCCTCTCTAGGGGATCGAGCCCACAACTCCAGGCATGTGCTTTGACTGAGAATAGAACTGTGACCTCCTGGTTCATGGGTCGATGTTCAACCACTGGGCCAAACTGGCCGGGCAGGAATCTTTTTTTTGGTACAAGTTTCAAAATAAATGTTTTTACTTGAGTTGGGTGATAGTTACATAGTAGGTGTTTATAATAATTCATTAAACTATATGTTTTGTACATTTTTCTAAATGTTTAATTTCACAATGAAAAGGATTAAAAACCCCCACAAAAGAACAGGTTTCCTATATCCTTCTATGTGCCTCCCCCGAATAAAAAATTCCAGCTGGATTAAGGACTTGAATGCAGAAAGCAAAATCCTAAGAAAACATAGATAAATATGTGTCAGAGTCTCCAAGACCACCCCAAGGCTCAGTGATTTGCTAGGAGGATTCACGGGACTCGGCATATAGTTGTACTCATGGCTAAGATTTATCATAGGGAAAGGACACAAAGCAAAATCAGCAAAGGAAAAGGTACATGGGGGTGAAGTCCAGAGGAAACCAGGTGCAAGCTTTTTCAGAGTCCTCTCCCAGTGGAGTCACACAGGCCACACATTAATTCCTCCAGCAATGAGTCATGACAACACATTTGAAACGTTGTCTTCAGATACTCAGTAGAGACTCAGTGCTGAGGGGTTTTATTCGGTGCTCGTCACATTGGCACTTTCTGCCTAACACATACCAAAAGTCCAGTTTCCCAAAAGGAAAGCAGGTGTTCAGCATAAACCATATTGTTTGTATAAACAGTTTAGACACAGTGAGTCACTCTTATCAGTTCTTGAAATGGTGGGAACTGTCCTGAAATCCAAGTTTCCAGATGCCAGCTGAGGGCCAGCCTTGGCAAGTGAAGACTTCATAGCAGTCTCATGCTTGCTATGTTAATTCCTTTCTGCAGAATATAACATTTTTTTATAATCCTCGAGTGAAAGGGCATTAAAATTTTTTGAAGTATGTTTTTATTGATTTTTTGGGGGGGGAGGGATAGGGAGATAGAAACATTGATAAGAGAGAAACACAAGGATCAGCTGACTCCTGCATGTCCCACACTGGGAATCAAGCCTGAAACCTGGGCATGTGCCCTCAATGGGAATCAAACTGGTGACCTCCTGGTTCACGGGTTGACACTCAATCACTGAGCCACACCGTCCAGGCGAAAAAGGCATTTTTAAGCATGACTAGAAACTCAGAAGCCATAAAAGGAAGGAATGGTAAATTTATATTTTAAGAACTTAGAAATGAAAAGAAAGAGCTATGGAGTCAAAAGGCATTGTAGGAGGAAATAATTTGTAATATATGGGATAAAAGGGGGAGATTTTCCAATATACAGTGTAGTGGGAGCTGGGAGTCCTGACCAATGTAGTCAGCTCTCTGCTGGAGGCGCTGAGGCCAGCCAGACATGGCAGGAAGAAGAAAAATAAGTCTCAAAAGCAGATGAAGGAAGCTTTTGTCAGTAACCACAATGGAACCAGCATGCTGGAAGCTACCCTGGACTTGTGCTTGCCTGTGCTCTGTATCCTGTGCAGAGGGCTCCTGCTCTTTCTCTCACAGCACTTGTGGTCTTCGCTTACCTAGAGAACTGGTTTCTTCAGTGACTTTGTCTGCCTAATGGTTTCCCAGTGACCACTTTGACCATTTGTCTTCATTTATCTTCCTTGAGCACCTTGCTGTAATTATCTCTGGGGTAGGGCTATTCTATCAAATATACTGCTGGAGAACTTGCTATGCCAGAATGCCTGCCCAGAAAATCCTTAAAAAATTCTTAAAAGTTAGTCTAGAATCAGAATACATTTAAGCCACCTCTTATTTCTGTGTAACTAACAGTGCATTTACTGCTGTTACCGTTTTGGTTGTGGACTTTCCAGTTTTTCCCAAGAAGATTTGTCAAAACTGAGCTCTCTGGGACAGGAACAATGGATTTTAGAGTAGGAGGCTTTGTTTTAGGGACTACAATGGCTTGTCCAGATATTAGGAGAAAATGTATGGAAGGATCCAGATTTTCTTTATTTACAAAGTGATTGTAGTCTAGTCACTAGTCTTTCTAGGAATAGGACTATTAATCATTATAAAATCTATTAGAGGCCTGGTGCATGATATTTGTGCACTTGGCGGGGGGGGGGGGGGTCCCTCAGCCTGGCCTGTGCCTTCTCACAGTTCGGTACCCCTTGCTCCTTAGCGCCAGGTTCGCTGCTCCTTAGCACCAGGTTTGCCTGGTTCGCTGCTCCTTAGCAATGCTGCGGAGATGGGAGAGGCTCCCGCCAGCTGTGAGCCTGGCTTCTGGCTGAGCGGCGCTCCCCCTGTGGGAGCGCACTGACTACCAGGGGGCAGCTCCTGCATTGAGCATCTACCCCCTGGTGGTCAGTGCGTGTCATAGTGACTGGTCATTCTGGTCGTTCCGCCATAACGGTCACTTAGGCTTTTATTATATAGAAGAAGGTAGGCTACCAGGAAAATTTAACTGAGTATGAAGTTCACTGGAACTTCTTCTTTACCTTATTAGTTGTGAAATTGATAACATCACTGCTTTTGATTCTGCCCCCCCAAAAATAAATCCTGGATTGTGGCCATCAACATTACTGTATTATATCAGCTAGCCCTTGAGTGTACCCCATTGAAAAGGTTAATTAAAAAAAATCTTTATTGTTGAAAATATTACATATGTCCCCCTTTTTTTCCCAGTGACCTCTTCTAACCTGCCTCCACCTCCCACCCCAGGCCTTCACCACCTTATTGTCTGTGCCCATGGGTTATGCATATATGCATACAAGTTCAAAATGTTAATTTTGTATGACACTGATGGCAGTGGCACAAGGGTTGGTTTATTAAATGCCAACCGAGAGTGAATAATGTCTACCTTGGGATGTGACAGTACACATGGCTGGTGTACAAACAGGGTCATGTGTGCTTAAAAAAGATCACATGTCAAAGACTGGATAAAAGTAGCATATTGTATTCTACTAACAGCTGTTGACCTTTTTGTATCTCTAAAAAATTCAGGTATACATGTAAAAGTAGCATCTCGAAGAATGGCTTTTTGTATTTGGATAGTTGCTTCTAGCCTGGTCCTTCTTAGTAGTTTATTACTGGGTGATACAATTTTGAGTTTTGTCAAATTTTAATTCAAGGGGCTCTAGTACTGTGTGATTAGAAACATATCTAGTCTTTTGCTACAAATAGAAAGTTTTTAGAATCTCTAGTCTCTGAAGCTGAAAGAAAGAAACCCAGTCTTTGTTTAATCACAATTATAAACAGAAACCAGTTGATTTTTTTTTTTTTGCTATCAAATATAACAACTGGCCTAATTAACCTGTTGGTACATATATTGCATGGCAGTACCTCTGGGCCTTATTTGTGCTCAATCTCTGTGTGTTTACCAACTGTTTAATTATATATATGTGCTACATTTGCAAGATAAGACTAAAATGTTGGTGATCAGTAGGGGTTGGATGTGTGTATTTGAACTATTAATGAGGAAGAATAAACATTAAATGTGAAGAAAATGGGCTTTTGGCAATCCAGTGTTAATTCTATTTTATTATGAAATTAAGAGTTTCAACTTTTCTATAACTGTAGTGGGGCTTCATATTTTAATGTATCTCTGCACTTTGTAAAACAAAGCAATGGAAAAGAAATAAAGCCTTGTGACTTGTTAGAATATTAAATTTCAGTATTTTAAAGAAACGTGTTTATAGTTGTGACACTGGAAGATTGGAGGGTGGGGAGGAGGGTTTTTACTTTCTATTTTATATCACCTTATACCATTCTCTTTTTTATTGTATATATTTTATAATATTACATTAAAAAATAATGTGAGTTGTGGGGAAAAAATGTTATTACCCAATATACTTGGTATATTGTGCCTGGTATCTGATTAAAGTTCTGCCTTGCTCTGCTAGGTAGGACTAGAAGATTTCTTTAAAAAAATTCAAAATTTTGATTAGGCCAGCTGTTATACTGTATTTGATGGCAAAAAAATTCTTTCTATAACAAAATTCTTTAGGAAAATGGAATAACTTTGTATGTAGGAGATAATTTTGTTATTCCTGGCTTTGTTTTCCTTTCTTCTAGATGTTAAATGACTGGGAAAGTTGTAAGAGTATAACTAGCTAGTAGCCCTTTTCAGTGTCATTCCATAGCTGTGTCAAAATTATCTACATATAAGGCTAGCTATGTTAAAGTCCTGACTGAAGGATCTGTAGTACAATAAAGGATTAAGCCATAAGAACAATTACTCTTGGTTGTGTTTGACTTGCTAAATTCTCCTTTTTTTACTTTTTATATTATAGATCAGCTTGAACGGGTCTTTTTACGACTTGGCCATGCTGAAACAGATGAACAGTTACAGAATATTATATCTAAATTCCTTCCTCCTGTTTTGCTCAAGCTGTCTAGCACCCAAGAAGGAGTACGCAAAAAGGTAAGCATGTTGGGACAGTTGGGTGAATTAAATGGTGAATAAATAGATATATATTATGAAGTATATTTTCCTTTCCCATTATTGAAATCTAGGTTCATGATTCTAATTATGGTCTTTCAAAATGGAGACCACCTTACATGATTTAAAAATAGCTTTTGTATGCTTAGCACAGCTGCATTTAGCACCAACTATATACAGTTGGCATCAGTGCCAGATGATATAATTGAGATAATTATTCTGAAATGTATGGAGGCTTGATCTAAAATTCATGCCTTTGGGTTTTTTTTGTTTTTTGTTTTTTAATCCTCACCCGAGGATATTTTTTCCATTGATTTTTAGAGAGAGTGGAGGAGAGAGGGAAAGACAGAGAGAAATATTGATGTGAGAGAAACACATCGATTGGTTGCCTCCTGCTTGAGCTCCACCCAGGGCCCAGCTGGAAGGAGCCTGCAACTGAGGTACGAGGTATATGCCCTTGACCAGAATCTAACCTGGGACCCTTCCGTCTGCAGGCCAATGCTCTATCCACTAAGCCAAACTGGCTAGTGCTCATGCCTTTGATTCTAGTATGAAAGTTGATGGTCGCGGGGCAAAAATATTCTTTAATCATTGGCTGAGTGTGAATATAATCTTAATTAAAAACTAGCAAAATAAAAATTTTTGAAAGCGCGATGTTGTATAGCTTGTTTTAAGATTCTGTAAAGTCCTGTTACCAAAAGCTGGATAACTGTCACGTAAAGATTTTCTTTTTTTTTTTACATCTTTGCCTGAGGATATGTTTATTTGTTTTGAGAGAGAGAGAGAAAACATCAACGTGTACATGCCCTGACCAGGAATTGAATCTTCAACTTTTTGGTGTAGGACATTTCAATCAACTCAGCCACCTCGCCAGGGCCAGAATTTTCTTTTTTAACCTAAATGTTTTCATGGAACATTTACCCCCTTCATTTTTAAATATTTCATTCGTCTTCTGGTTGTACTAGACCTTCGAGCCTTTGATCTGGTTTCATCTCTTGGGCTACTCTGATTGATTGGCAATGGCAATTGGCAATGCCTGCCCTGAGAGGGCATCTGAGCTCTGTCCTGACTTTGGTTCATTGGAGAAAGAGTATCTTTAAGAATGTCTGTTATGTTTGCAGGAAGGAGTAGGGCATTCTTGTTATATATTTGACATGCCTGTTGTTAATAGGGTCTTGCTGAGATAAATATGTATTTGATAATGTCACTATTCTATTTAAAACTCTTCTATGGCATTCTATTACACTTAGGATAGCAAAGTATAAAAAGACCTACATGAATTGGTTTGTGCTTACTTATTTAGCCTCATTAGTTTTGTCATTCATTTGGCAGATATTTACTGAATGCCTTCTGTATGGCAGCTGGTAAGGATATGTTAGTGAATGAAAGAAACAGCTAGTTGGGGATACCGGTATTAAATAATCAGGCATAGAGTATCTAGTTGTAAACTGTAGTAAATGTTAAGATGGAATAGGATTCTATGCAAGAATATATTTGGGGCATAAGGTACACCTCTGTAGGTGTGTGTGTGGGCAGTAGCCAGGCAGAGAGATGAGGGAGACCAGTAAAGACAGAGATGGCCTGTACAGAGGCTCTGAGCTAAAGCAGAGTGTGAAGCCTTCAGGGAGCTGAAGAAGGCCACACCGATGCACACAGTGCACAAGAAGGCAGGCGCCAGGGAAAGGAAACAGGGATGCCAGTGGGCAGCGATTGGAAAGGTCATGGATAAATAGTTTTAATATGTGAAATTTTGAAATCAGTGAAACTAACAATTAATTTGTATTGCCTCTCAATTATGTAATTTTGGGGGTTTTTATCAATTGCATAATGCATATTAGATTTAACCAGGATATCCTGTAAGGTAGCTGGGAATTTGTGGATAAATTGAGTGAAAGAGAAATTGAAGTGTTTTTTTGTTTGTTTTGTTTTTAAATATATTTTATTGATTTTTCACAGAGAGGAAGGGAGAGAGATAGAGAGTTGGAAACATCGAAGAGAGAGAAACATCGATCAGCTGCCTCCTGCACACCCGCCACTGGGGATGTGTCCGCAACCAAGGCACATGCCCTTAGTCGGAATCGAACCTGGGACCTTTCAGTCCGCAGGCTGATGCTCTATCCACTGAGCCAAACCGGTCAGGGCAAAAGAGAAATTGAAGTTTTAGATTTCTACTGACATATCATTAGAGTATATTTCCTATTTTAAGGAAAATGAAGTTTGTTATGTAGAATTCTACTTTACACCTAACTTTGTATATTCAGACTCATTGGGATAGCTAAAAATTAAAGACTGACTGTAGCAAGTGTTGACAAGAATGTGAGCAACTGGAAATCTTAGACTGTTGGTAGGAGTGTAAATTAATATTATTATCACTTTGGAAAATTGTTTGGAGCGTTCTAAAGTTTATCATATGCGTATTCCATGACTAAGCATTTTCAAGCCTGAATTAATATACAACGTGTGTGTACATAGGTGTACCAAAAGGCATATGTAACAATGTTCATAGCAGCATTATTCATGATAGCCCAAACTGGAAAATAACCTAATGTCAATCAATAGGAAAATAGATAAATTGTGCTATTTTTCCACTAGAGCAGCCGTGGGCAAACTACGGCCCGTGGGCCGGATCCGGCCCGTTGGAAATGAATAAAACTAAAAAAAAAAAAAAGACCGTACCCTTTTATGTAATGATGTTTACTTTGAATTTATATTAGTTCACACAAACACCCCATCCATGCTTTTGTTCCGGCCCTCCGGTCCAGTTTAAGAACCCATTGTGGCCCTCGAGTCAAAAAGTTTGCCCACCCCTGCACTAGAGCAATATAAGTGAACTAATGATATGAGCAACATCATGGATGAATCTCAAATACAGTGTAGAATGAAAAATGTTCAGACACATGAGTTCATTTTATATGTTTCATTTATATATAGTAAATTAAGAAATGGTGGTAGAATGGTGTTGTAGTTCTGGTAGTTACATAGGTGTGTTTATTTTGTGAAAATTTATTGAGCCTTATATTGGCAGTTGTGTACTTCAGCTATATGTTATACTTCAATTAAAAAGTTGGCCCCTGGCCCTGGTTGGGTGGCTCAGTTGGTGGGAGCATTGTCCCGTACACCAAGTGTTGTAGGTTCAATTCCTAGTCAGGGCACATACCTATGCTGAGGGTTTGATCACTGGTCGGGGAGCGTGTGGAAGGCAACTGATTGACATTTCTCTCCCTCCTTTCCTCTCTCTAAAAAAAATAAAATAAAAAATCAATAAAAATAAGTTGGCCCTGGCAGGGTAGTTCAGTGGGTGGTTAGAGCTTCATCCCGATATGCCAAATTTGTGTGTTCGATCCCCCGGTCAGGGCATTTACAGAAATCAACCAATGAATGCATAAATCAGTGTAACAACAAATCGATGTCTCTCCTTCCCTCCTTCCCTCCCTCTTCTCCCTCCCCTCCCTCCTCCCCTCCATCCTTCCCCTCTCCCCCCTTCCTCAAAAAAAAAAACAAGTTCGTTAATAAATAAATAAAAATTAATGTGTAGTGAGGAGAACTGATATGGCCAAAATAATATATACCTGAGGTTTGTAATTCTATAGACTCACTGCAGAAGTTAATTATTATCGATTTAGCCCAAACTGATTCAGCTGATTTCTTGATTTTTTAAAATCTATTTATTGATTTTTTTTACAGAGAGGAAGGGAGAGGGCTAGAGAGTTAGAAACATTGATGAGAGAAACATCAATCAGCGGCCTCCTGCACATCCCCCACGGGGGTTGTGCCTGCAACCAAGGCACATGCCCTTGGCTGGAATCGAACCTGGGACCATTCAGTCCGCAGGCCGACGCTCTATCCACTGAGCCAAACCGGTCAGGGCTGATTTCTTGATTTTTTTATGGGTTTATAGAGAACTCTAGACTGTAGACAACCAAATTATGAAATTAATATTTAAGGAGATAAAATTGGTTGAAGAAAAATAAGTAGTTAATTCATTTAAAACAAAAAGTCCTGCCCTATCCGGTTTGGCTCAGTGGATAGAGCGTTGGCTTGCAAACTGAAAGGTCCCAGGTTCGATTCCAGTCAAGGGCACATGCCCGGGTTGTGGGCTCGATGCCTGGGTTGTAGGTTTGATCCCCTGTGGGGGACTTGCAGGAGGCAGCCAATCCATGATTCTCTCTCTCATCATGGATGTGTCTCTCTCTCTCTCTCCCTCTTCCTTCCTCTCTGAAATCAATAAAAATATATTTTAAAAAAAGTCCTTAAAAATAAAGCATGTAACTGTGCACACAATTGTTTATCACTATCAACAATAATTTTCCAACCATCTTTCTAAGAATCAACTTAGATTCATTAGATTGCCAGAAGGGGGCTATTTCCTTTGTATCCTTATGATTCTTTTCCCTGTCATCAGCTGTATCCATAGATCTGGACCAGGTAAGAAGTTTGGAGGGAGTGTGCATGGTAATGCACACTTCTAGGTTTCTTTAGGGTATCAGCAGTCCTAAGGATGTCTCATCCTGACAGGCTTGTTAGTTTAGATGAATTGAACTCAATTATCAGCATTTGAAGAAGTTAAATATATGGACCTTCGAGTCAAATCTTAACTATGTCACTTGCTGGTTCATATCCTTGGATAAGTTACTTCTTCCCTGAGCCTCTGTTTCCTCACCTGTAAAATGGGAATGACAGTATCACATCTCTGGTTATTGTAAGAATCAGATGAGATAAGGAATGCAAAATGCTTTGCACAAGTTTTTCTGTGCTCCTCTCTTAGCAAGATAGTCTCACTTTTATGGTAAGGTTGGGGCCATTTGACATGAGCCTCTGTTATCTTTTTTTCTATCTTTGGAAATTGACGAACTCTTTTTCTCCTGTCTTTCCCACTTAAGGGAGAGGAAGCTGGTCATTACTTAAAACTCTTCAGTAGAATCAGATGATCTTCAGAATAAAGTAAAAATTCCTCAGTATTTTCCCCAATACCTTATATAATTCGGGCCCTTATCTTACCACTCTGTGTTTCAGTCAGATGCAGTGTGTAATGTCATTTTCAACCTGTGTGCCTCTTATTAACTGATTCTGTGCTTGGAAATTTATCTGATTTTTAGGAGTGGTGTTCTTGTCCTTTTTCTCTGAGGTGCTTGACCTGGCAGGTACTTTCTCTTCTGGAAACCCAATGTGTATTTCTTGTGTACATTTCTCTTTTTTTGTAGTATTCGTGGTGTGTCTTAGTCAGCTTGGGTAACAATACCATAGGCTAGGTGACTTACACAACAAACATTTGTTCCTCACAATTCTGGAGGATAGAAGTCTGAGATCAGGATGCCAGCATGGTCAGTTTCTTCGTGCATGAACTCTCCATGATTTATAGAAGGTGGCCTTCTTGCTGTATCCTCATGTGGCAAAGAGAGAGAGGACTCTAATTTCTTTGTCTGTTTATTACGATATCAACCCCATCATGGAGGCTCAAGCCCATGATTCCATCCAAACCTAATTACCTCCCCAGATCATCACACTGGGGTTTAGGCTTCAACATGTGAATTTTAGGGAGACAGACATTTAGTCCATGGCATTGTGTGTCTCACTCATTTGTTCACAGGTGTTCTGGGGGACTGTGCCTCAGTAGAGGCCCATCTCAACTTTGATTAACCAAAGCACAGTGTAAAAATAAATTCATTAGTAAAATTCTGGTGCATGGAGCCCTGGCTTGTGTGGCTCAGTTGGTTGGAGCATCATTCTGTACACTAAAAGGTTGTGGGTTTGGTTCTTGGTCAGAGCACATACCCAGGTTTCAGGTTTGCTCCTCAGTCCGGGCAGATGTGGGAGGTGGCCAATCGATGTTTCTCTCTCACATAGATGTTTCTCTCTCTCTCTCTTATTCTCTCTCTCTCTCTCTCTCTCTCTCTCTCTCTCTCTTTCTCATTCTCTCTTGCTCTCTCACTCTCTGTCTCTATCTCCCTTCCTCTCTCTAAAATCAGTGAAAAGGAAAAAAAAAATAAAGCTAATGAAACTACTATTGTAAAAAATTCTGATGCATGGATTCTTGGGGGGATATTGCATACTCCCTTTCTGGGATGTAAAATTTAATTTTAAAGACAACAAAGTAGCCACTATTTATCAAATAAGTACTATCTGAGAAATTAATTTGTTTTGTATTTCTCAGATAAGTCTGAGAAATGAATTATGATCAGTAATTTCAATTTATATCTCTCTGTATTTTAGGTAATGGAACTGTTGGTCCATTTGAATAAGCGTATAAAAAGCCGCCCTAAAATACAACTCCCCATAGAGACACTGTTGGTTCAATACCAGGACCCTGCTGCAGTTTCCTTTGTCACAGTGAGTGTTATCTTGGAATATTTTCTGACTTACTGTAATTTTCTTTCATAACATTTATTAGATGTCATCAATATATTGGCAACTTAGAATTTTACTGTAGACTATTTCTAAATGAAGCATGGGATGTTTCCTTTAAATGACACAGTCTTACCACTGAGCATTGATCTAGAGGAACCGTTACCAGGATCGTGCATGGGCTTTTACGTTGGGCAAAGGAATGTTGGTGAAATGACTTGTCAGATATTTTGATCTATAAAATAATGATTTGATTCATAGTAAAAGATTATATGAGGCCAATCTGAATAGAGAGAAGGGTTATGTAGCATAGGCATGAATAAAAGATAATAGAAGAAGAAAAAAGGGTAAAATGGTAAGAAGAGATACAAAGGCTGAGTTTTAAAAACATCTATGTTTCTGATATCTATAATAATAAAAGCGTAATATGCTAATTAGACTGGATGTCTTTTGGACGATCTTCCGGACGAAGCCAGGGCTGCAGCCCTAGGATCCAGGCAGCTGCTGTGCTTTCCAGGGAGGGATGGAGGCAGCTGCGAAGGCCTACTCTTGCACGAATTTTGTGCATCTGGCCTCTAGTCTATATATATAAAGAGGTAATATGGTTGTTGGTCCTAATGGTGTCCCAGTCATGACTGTTCAACAGGCAGCGCATGCATAGGAGTTGGTGGGCGGGGACAGGGACAGGGACTTGCGCCACTGGGACATGAGGCTGTTGCTGGGGGTGCCCCCCCCCCCCGGGTGGAGGTGCGCGCAGGCCTGCTGTGCCACCCGGCCCGGAGGGGGGGGATCAGGACGGGGGCCGCCCCCCGGGTTGAGGTGTGCTCAGGCCTGCTGCGCCGTCTGGCCAGCGGGGGGGGGGTGTCAGGACAGGGGCGGGGCCTCGGCGGAGAGCTCTCAGCACTCCTATGCTGGGGTCTGAAGGCGTGGAGAGGAAGGGAGAGCAGATAGGCAGTTAGGGGGATCAGGCCAGGAGGGGAAAGCAGATAGGCAGTTAGTTGGATCAGGCCAGGAGGGGAGAGCATATAGGCAGTTAGGGGGATCAGGCCAGGAGGGGAGAGCAGTTAGGACCATCAGGCCGGCAGGGGAGTAGTTAGGGGCATCAGGCAGGCAGGAGAACAGTTAGGGGCATCAGGCAGGCAGGCAGGTGAGCACTTAGGAGCCAGTGGTTCTGGATTGTAAGAGGGATCCCAGATTGGAGAGCGCGCAGGCCAGGCTGAGGGACGCCCCTCTCCCCCCCCCCCCCCCCCCGTGCACGAATTTTGTGCATTAGTCCTCTAGTCTAATCTAATAATAGACATACATGGTAATTGACCATACCTCCACTATGCTTCCCATTGGCTAATCAGCAGGATATGCAAATTAACCCAACCAAGATGGTGGCCGGCAGCCACGCAGCTGAAGTGAGCAGGAGGCTTGCTTGCTGCAGTGATGGAGGAAGCCAAGGTTCCCTGCCTGCCGTGGCCCGGCTCTGAGCTCCACTCTAAGCAACAAAGTTGCAATTATAGAAGCTAAACAAACCCCAGATGCCTGCTTTCAGTAGGCTGTGGCCTGGGAGCTGGAGTGGCAACAAAGTTTCAATTATAGAAGGTAAATAAATTCCATAATTAAAAAAGAAAAAAGAAAAAAAGGAGAGGTTGGGAGCTTCAGTCGCCAGCTTGGCCAGCCTGAAAACAGCCCTCAGTCCCTCATCCAGACTGGCCAGGCACCCCAGTGGGGACCCCCACCCTGAAGGGGGTGCGGGCAGCCTCAAAATAGCCATCAGCCCCTCATCCAGGCTGGCCAGGCACCCCAGTGGGGACCCCCACCCTGAAGGGGGTGTGACCAGCTGCAAACAGCCATCAGCCCCTCACCAAAGCTGGCCAGGCACCCAAGCAGGACCCCCACCCTGATCCGGGACACCCTTCAGGGCAAACCAGCCGCCCCCACCCGTGCACCAGGCCTCTATCCTATATAGTAAAAGGGTAATATGCAAACTGACCCTAACAGCAGAAAGACTGGGAATGACTGGTCACTATGACACACACTGACCACCAGGGGGCAGACGCTCAATGCAGGAGCTGCCCTCTGGTGGTCAGGGCACTCTCACACGGGAGGAGCTCTGCTCAGCCACAAGCCAGGCTGATGGCTGCCAGTACAGCGGTGGTGGTGGGAGCCTCTCCTGCCTCCTCAGCAGCGCTAAGGATGTCCGACTGCAGCTCAGGTCTGCTCCCTGCTGGCAAGTAGACATCCCCCGAGGGCTGCCGGGCTGCCAGAGGGATGTCTGATTGACATCTTAGGCCCAATCCCCTGGGAAGCGGGCCTAAGCCAGCAGGTGGTCATCCCCTGAGGGGTCCCAGACTGCGAGAGGGCACAGGCTGGGCTGAGGGGCCCCTCTCCCCCTCGAGTACACAAATTTTTGTGCACTGGGCCTCTAGTATATATATAGATAGATAGATAGATAGATAGATAGATAAAAGCCTAAGCAACCGTTACAACCGAACGACCAGAACAACCAATTGACCCAAGCGCACTGACCACCAGGGGGCAGATGCTCAATGCAGAAGTTGCCCCCTGGTGGTCAGTGTGTTCCCACAGCGTGAGTGCTGTTTAGCCAGAAGCCAGGCTCACGGATGGTGAGTGTACCTGTGGCAGTGGGAACCTCTCCCACGTCTGTGGCAGTGCTGCCGAGCAGCAGTGGCAGCAGGTGCAGCAGGTGCAGCAGGTGCAGCAGGGCTGGGATGAGCGGCAATGGAGCTGCGTCTGGCCCGGGCTGGGGCTCCTTCCCGGCCGCCTGCCACTACGGCACTGCTGCATCTCTAGGGGGGATGTCAGAATGCCGGTTTTGGCCCGAAACTGGAAGTACGACATTCCCCCGAGGGGTCCTGGATTGTGAGAGGGTGCAGGCCAGGCGGAGGGACCCCACCTGTGCACGAATCTGTGCACTGGGCCTCTAGTATAATATATTCAGAAAGGTATCCTTTTAAAATGATTAAACTGAGGTTGGTAAGAAATACTCCTCTTGAATTGTTGTCTTCATGAAAATTAAATATAAAACAATATTGTGTGATGAAAGGTGATGTTTTTTCATAGGCCCTTGTAGTTTCTAGCATTGAGGAAGAATCTAACATCTGGATTTCAGACCTTTGGAGCCACCTACTGGTCTAGACCTCTTGTCTGTGCCTGCTCTGGACATACAGCTCCATTACAGATATTCCTGTTTTTAAGCACAAAGGAACATTTTGAGCCAATAAGATTGCCAAATAGGAATGGCTTTAAGGGAAAGGGATAACCTTATTGAAGGGATTAAGAACTAGAAGTTAGCAGTTATAAAATAGTCACGGGAATATAGTCAATAATATTGTAATTACTGTGTATGTTGCCAAGTGGGTACTTTAAATATTAGGGGGACCACTTTGTAAAGTATATGATTGTCTGTCTAGCCACTGTGCTACACCTGAAACTAATACAAAAATCTTGAATGTAAACTAAAATTGAAAAAAAAAGGGATAACCTTAAGAAGTCAGTTTTAAAGTGAAGAATCCTTCAAAAAAGCAGATCTTTATATTATGTTGTAAATCCAGATATGCATTTATGGGTTTGCTTAAAATGAGGCATTCACACGGATTATAGTGATGCAAGCATACTGACAACTCTCAGCTTTCCTTGGTTCATCACCATTGGTTAGTTGTGAATGAGGAACTAGAGTACTGCAATATACTAAAGTTGGTTTAGTAATAGAGCAGTTGAGAAAGGGCAGCCTAGTTTAACACGTGGCCTCTTCTTAGCTTGAAGGGATTAATGCAACAAACTGGGAGATCTGATGCTAATGTGTAGGATGTAGGTTTAGATAGGTCAAATGTTACTTTATTCTTTCCAGTGAAAGTAATTGCTTATATGAGTACTTCCCCCCCACCCCCAGCTTTATTGAGGCATACTTAACAAATAAAATTGTATATATTTATAATATACAAGGTGATAATTTGATATATATATTCATTGGTTAGGTGTTGCTCTCTCACATGAGGCCCATCTTAAAGCAAGCATTTTGAATATGTGGGGCTGCCATCATCCTGAAATACAATAGTTGGTTAAGCTGAAATAAACGTGTGATAACATATGGAAGGAGGATGCAATTTCTTTGTTATAACTCCCTAAGTTATCAATATGTTTATGTTGAAATCCTAGGTTATTTCCTTTGCACTCACTTGCTTTTCTCACGTTGCTTTAGAATTTTACTATAATTTATGTTAAGATGGGCTATCCTCGCCTACCAGTGGAGAAACAATGTGAACTGGCCCCTACACTTCTTACTGCAATGGAAGGGAAGCCTCAGCCACAGCAGGATAGGTATGCTTTCCTCAATTATGTTACCTCAACTCACCATTATTGTTCTGTTGATACTATTATAAACCTTATTAATGTGAGCATATTGAAAAATGTGCAGAGCAAACAACATTTTTCCCAATCTAAATACATTTTTTTGGTCAGTGATTTTGAAGCAACTAATTTTCTGTGACTGAAAAAATTAGTTATAAACCCAAAGCAATCTATAAATTCAACGCACTTCCCATTAAAATACCAACGGCATACTTCAGAGATCTAGAACGAACTCTCCAAAAATTCATCTGGAATAAAAAAAGACCCCGAATAGCTGCAGCAATCCTGAAAAAGACCAAAGTAGGTGGGATCTCAATACCAGATATCAAGATGTATTACAAAGCCACTGTTCTCAAAACTGCCTGGTACTGGCACAAGAATAGGCATATAGATCAATGGAATAGAATAGAGAGCCCAGAAATCGGCCCGAACCAATATGCTCAATTAATATTTGACAAAGGAGGCAAGAACATAGAATGGAGCCAAGATAGTCTCTTCAATAAATGGTGCTGGGAAAATTGGACAGATATATGCAATAAAATGAAACTAGACCACCAACTTACACCATACACAAAAATAAACTCAAAATGGATAAAGGACTTAAATGTACGACAGGAAACCATAAAAATTCTAGAAGAATCCAAAGGCAACAAAATCTCAGACATATGCCGAAGCAATTTCTTCACTGATACAGCTCCTAGGGCACTTGAAACTAAAGAGAAAATGAACAAATGGGACTACATCAAAATAAAAAGCTTCTGCACAGCAAAAGAAACCATCAACAAAACAACGAGAAAACCCACTGTGTGGGAAAACATATTTGCCAATGTCATATCTGATAAGGGCCTAATCTCCAAAATTTATAGGGAACTCATACAACTTAACAAAAGGAAGATAAACAATCCAATCAAAAAATGGGCAAAGGACCTAAATAGACACCTTTCAAAAGAGGACATTCAGAAAGCCAAGAGACATATGAAAACATGCTCAAAGTCACTAATCATCCGAGAGATGCAAATCAAAACAACAATGAGGTACCATCTCACACCTGTCAGACTGGCTATCATCAACAAATCAACAAACGACAAGTGCTGGAGAGGATGTGGAGAAAAAGGAACACTTGTGCACTGCTGGTGGGAATGCAGACTGGTGCAGCCACTATGGAAGACAGTATGGAGTTTCCTTAAAAAACTGAAAATGGAACTCCCATTTGACCCTGTGATCCCACTTCTAGGAATATATCCCAAGAAACCAGAAACACCAATCAGAAAGGATATATGCACCCCTATGTTCATAGCAGCACAATTCACCATAGCTAAGATCTGGAAACAGCCTAAGTGCCCATCAGTAGATGAATGGATCAGAAAACTGTGGTACATCTACACGATGGAATACTATGCTGCTCTAAAAAGGAAGGAACTCTTACCATTTGCAACATCATGGATGGAACTGGAGAGCATTATGCTAAGTGAAATAAGCCAGTCAATGAAGGAAAAATACCACATGATCTCACTCATTCATGGATAATAGAGACCATTATAAACTTTTGAACAATAATAGATACAGAGGCAGAGCTGCCTCAAACAGATTGTCAAACTGCAGCAGGAAGGCCGGGGAGGGTTGCGGGGCAGGAGGTAGGGGGGTAAGAGATCAACTAAAGGACTTGTATGCATGCATAGAAGCATAACCAGTGGACATAAGACATCGGGGGATAGGGGAGGCTAGGGGACTGTCTAGGGCGGGGGGATAAAATGGACACATATGTAATACCCTTTGTAATACTTTAAGCAATAAAAAAAAAAAGAAAAAAAAAAAAAGAAAAAATTAGTTATAAAATACTTTTCATCAAAACATATCTATCTTGGAGGATATAAAGTTTGAGAGCAGTTTTCTTAAGGGACAGATCACTTGTTTGTATTAATATAGGAATTGGAGATGTGAAAAGGTTTAGACAACATCCTTCATTTCTAGGCTTAGCCCAGAGTTCTGTATTGTAGTCGTGTAGTGGTGAGACTCATCATGAAATTGTGGAGGGAAGAGGGAGTTAAATAATGTTTTCAGCTCATTTTTCATGTGTTTTAAGAATAGCAATAGGGGTTGTGAAAGAAGGAATTATTGAAGTTGTGTTACTTAAATTCACACTGGAAATTTTATTATATTTCAAATATTGACATGATGGATTTTTAATTTCTTTAGCTTTAGAATAACTTTATTTTAATTAACTGTGGAAAGGAAAAAAAATTTATCAAAAGGACATGTTATAAGTTAAACTTTACCTAAGGTTTAATATAAAATCTCTTGTGCTGACAGATATTAGCACTGAGCCCATATTGTGTACATTTTTTTCAGAGACCACGTGCTTCTGGTGATGAGCCAGATGGGCTAAATGCCAATTAACACTCAATATACTGAACTTTCAGTAAGAAGGAAATCTAGGCCAGTCCCTAGATTAGGACTTTGTACGCTAGTGGTATTGGAATGAGTGGCCCTTGCTACAATTGCCACTTTTTGTTATGGGATATTTGTTTTGTCTATTATTTCATGTATAAAAACCATGTTTTTTAAGTAGTTGCATTAAATGTGATTGTTTTTTCAGCTTAATGCATCTTTTAATACCAACCCTTTTTCACATGAAATACCCTGTTGAATCATCAAAATCAGCTTCTCCGTTTAATCTTGCTGAGAAACCAAAGACTGTGCAGCTGCTTTTGGACTTCATGCTAGATGTCCTTCTGATGCCTTATGGGTAAGTTAAAGAAATGAAAACAAAACACAGTAACCTTGCTCATGACTGTTTTTACCTGTGTGGAGGTAACTATTCGCCTTCGCTTGAAAATGGATAAATCTCAGTGTTTTGCTGTAGCCCTGACCTCTCTGAATTCCAGCCCCACTGCTTATTGACCTTAGAGGTGTGGAATTGCTGTTGTGATTTCAGATTCAGCCTGTTCAAGCTGAAATCAGTCTTTCCCCATAAAATAGTTCCTCTTCTTTACTGCCTGTGATGACTATGTGATACGCTGTGTTGGTTCTCTTTGCCGTGTAGGCATACAATTATGAATAGCCTCCAGCTTTTCTCTTCCTGGTTGCTACAATGTCAGTATCTCCTCCCTCTCCTTGATGTACCCTGGGACCATTCCCTCTAGCAGCCATCTAGTATTGGCTCTTTCCAACTCTTGTCATCACTTTCTCACCGGCTACTCTTCAAAACTTTCTACACTGCCATAGTTTCCTGATGTTTAAAACACACCTTAAATTCCTTGGGCTGTGTTTTCCAGTCATACATGCACTCATGTATTCATACACTCTTTTCTCTTTTTAATTCTCACCTGAGGACATGTTTTTATTTATTTGAGAGAGGGAGAGAGGGAGGGAGGGAGAGAGAGAGAGAGAGAAACATCGATGTGAGAGAGTAACATTGATTGCCTCCCTTACACGCCTGACCAGGGATTGAACTCCCATCCTTTTGGTGTACGGGGTGACATTGTAATCAACTAAGCCACCCAGCCAAGGCTTCATGCACTCGTATGTGTCTAGGCCTTTCTGTGATTTAAGAGAATACGGTTCTTTGCTTAGAATGCTTCCCCATGAACAAAGGAAGAAAAGAAGAAGGAAATGCTGAAAGAAATAACAGCCAAAAATCTACTTTGAAAAAGCATCTCAAAGTAGCTGAGATGTCAACTATGTTTATCAGTAATCAACCATCTATACGCATTGCCATTTTGTCTTCTTATTGCATAGTTGACATGTCCATTTTCTGTAATAGATTGGGAGCTCCTCAAAGTCAAGAGCTGGCCCCTGTCCTGGTCTGGTCCCTGGCTTAGTGCCCTAATTATGATCTGCTTCAGCTTATTTTCTAGGTTGTCCTGCTGCCAGATAATTTTCTCAAATACTGGTTTCATTATGTTTCTTTCCTGATTAAAACTACAATATACACTCTAAGCTTGACATGTGGGTCTAAGAGTGCATGCTGTATGGCTTCTTTCCTCTCCAGTTTGCTCTCCTCCCACCCCTCTAGTTTAGTGGCTTTATTTTCTAGACCTTCAGAGACTTCTACTAACCTCTACCTGTCACTTCCATTACCTCTGTCATATCATTTCCTATGTCATCTGACAACATGTCAGATTGTGACATGTGTTGTCTTATTGTCTCAACTTGCTACAGAGCAGAGACTCAATCTTACCCCTCCTGGTATTCCTCTCTCTTGTGTTTAGGATGATGTTTTGTACAACGTTAGCTGTTCAGTAATTATTGATTGATTTACTTGCTGCCACCAGTCTTGCTATAATTTAGAAATAAATGAAAATTTCCTTTTATATTTGTTACATCAGGAGGCAGTCAGATTTGGCAGGTGATAATGGCTTTGGTAAATAAACTGTGAAATCCAAATTTAACTTAGTTACATAATGTACCAAGCCAGTGATTCCTCACATTTTTCTTACCATTAAGAGTTTGCCTAGTTTGTATAAAAATAGTGATTCCTTAACAGTTTTTTTTGTAATTTAAAAAGATGAATTTAGGAATTGAATGAATATGGCATGTAAGTAATATAGTATAATTTACTATGCCATCAAGCTCTGAATGTTTTCTTTAGTTTTTATTGTAATAGGTATTTTATTTAGTATTCGGTCTGATGATTTGTCAGCATATACTTTTAGAGTCTGATGGAACTTGAATTAATTTTCATATAGAAATTTTGTAGATGAGGTATACCAATTCAATTGGATCAAAATGAATTTACCAGAAATCTCATTTTTTTTTAACTTTTTTAAAAATATTTTACTGATTTTTTACAGAGAGGAAGGGAGAGAGATAGAGAGTTAGAAACACTGATGAGAGAGAAACATCAATCAGCTGCCTCCTGCACATCTCCTATTGGGGATGTGCCCGCAACCCAGGTACATGCCCTTGACCGGAATCGAACCTGGGACCTTTCAGTCCGCAGGCCGACGCTCTGTCCACTGAGCCAAACCGGTTTCGGCAGAAATCTCATTTTTAATCTATAGAAGCTAAAAATGAAATAGGATGATAAATTAAATAAATAATAGCCGTGAAGGGCTTTGAATATACAGTGGAAAAGCTGATTCTCTTTTCCTCTTTGAGCTTTTTGATCTTTTTTATTTTGGGAACATTATGTGCTTGTGAGCTAAGTGGTTTTAGTGGGTTTTGTAATGCAGGGACATAAGGAGTTCAAGGAGAATTGAAGGTGAATTGCAACTTAACAGCAATAGAAATGACTGTTAAAATATTCTCTGCTTTGAGTACAGAGCAATATTATCCCCGCTCCCCCCCAAAGTCAACAAACATTTCTCTGTATTTGTCAACTAAAAACTCAAAATGCAGTGGGTCCACAGTGGCTCTTAGAACAATAGTTTATAGATTGAGAATGAAAAAAATATATTTATTGTTGGTAACTACTATAGTTTATGTGTAACTAAGTTGAACAGATGTACTCTTCTGGTCAATTTGCTGAAGATGTAGTACCTTTTTTAGATACCTTTAACATTTTTCTTAATGATGAAATTTTACTTTTAAGTGTTTATTCTTCTAGCAGAATGCTGTGAGAGGAAGGTATATAAGTGAGTGTATTATATATGCATTGTTTGTATGTGTTTTAATAGAGAGGGGTAAAATTTCTATTTCCTTTCCAGATATGTGTTAAATGAATCCCAGAGCCGCCAAAATTCATCTTCAGCACAGGGTTCTTCTTCAAATAGTGGGGGAAGTTCTGGCATACCACAGCCTCCCCCAGGAATGAGCTTTTATGCAGCTAAACGAGTTATTGGTGATAACCCATGGACACCTGAACAGTTGGAACAGGTATCACATACTGTTTATTCATAAAGCAGCTTACCCCTGACCATGCGCCCCTGTGAAGTCCATGAAGGCATGTGCCACACAGTGTGTTCAGGCTCTCTATTGAAACGTGTTTGAAGGAGTAGTTGATGTGATTTGTTCTCTTCATCATGTCAGTTACTTGTTAAAGCCCCAGGGAAAGGGAGGAGTGGGATTTCTTCAGCGTTTCTAATATTGCTTACATATTTCAAGTATGAAATACAGCCCACTTATGAATTGAGTATATTTAACTTCTTTTACTGTAGTTTTAAATTATGGGTTTAATAATTATTTAGCTGCTTTGCTGCAGTTAAAATACAAATTATCCTACATTATTTAGTGTTTTTAGGGCTGTACATTTTGTGTAAAGTGAGGAACCTGTACTGAGAAGTGACAATATGGGAGAAAGCATGACTCGCTTTTATATTTCTTCCTGGGAATTTAAAAAAATGGCATTAAGAATTTTATTCTGGATTTAAACAGGACACAGATGTTCTCTGAGCAGCTTTTTAAAAAGATGGTGCTCTACAGAGAAGGTGCCTCACTGTGTCTTTGTCATCAGGCACCTCAGGGAAGAACAGATGAGATCAGTATGTAGTTATTTTGGAATTCAAGCAATCTGGGTTCGTCTTCCAAGCCTTTCTTTATCTCCATGGCAGTCTAAGTGATTTGATCCTTTTCTTTTTGGGGGATGTGAGTGACCACTGGTCAAAACAGTGTTCCAATGAGAAGGGAAAAGGCAAGTGGGACATTCTTGCCACTCAAATTTATAGAATGATTTGTTCAGTGAGGGCTATGTTAAATTAGACTTACTTCCTCATATTTTATGGATTTTTTTTGTTCTCCTTAAGCCATGATGTAAGTAAGAAATAAAGGTAAATACTAACAGAAGCTACTCTTTATTGAGTGTGAACTATGTGACAGGCACTATACTGATGAGTACTTTGAATTCATTATCTCATTTAATCCTCACAGCAACCCAACGAGGTATAAAATTTATTACTTCCATTGGTAAAAGGTTTTGAGATTCACCACAGTCTCACTTCTAGGACTAGGCTTTGAATCTAGGTCTGTGTGAGGGCTAAAGCTGTAAGTGGTGGAGAACAATTGTTAATGTTAAGTAGCAGTCTGATGTTAGTCATTCTTTGCTCATTTCTAAGGTTTTCTGTATGCCTTTTGTCATCTTCATAATCTAGGGTTGAAAGGAACAGTTTAGATGCAAGGATGAAAGCTGTCTTCCTCTAATTTTTAAATCTCTTTTGTTTTACATATTTTCTTCCAGATAAACAGCTTTTATTTTGATAAAAATAATGATAATCTAAAGATTCAGTTAGTCCAGAACATAATAAAGAGAAATTAAAAATTACTTGGAATCCTGCCACCTACTTTGTCATGCTCTGTGTGTGTACACACAAATACAGTTTTACACTATACATTGTTACATACCATATAATACATTATTTGTAGTTCACATTTTTTATTTAACACTATATCAAGTTTTTAAAAAATGCCATCCCTTTTATTCTCTGTATACAATTTAATTACATGTAAGCCACGTGGTCTTCTATTGATGGACGTTAGTATTGTTTCTAGTTTCCTTTAAACATTTTTTGTGTGCTTGACTCTCATACCTGTCCTTTTTATGGCTTAAGTAAATGTTTGACTCTTCTGTTGTAGCTCTTATTACAAGTAAGTTATATTGAACAGGAGGAGGGAAGGCAGGCATTTTTATGATGTTTATATACCTTTTTAAATTGCATCCTTTGTCATTTAATACTTTTAAATTGTATCAATCCTATTTAATATGCATAAGAACTATTATGTAACTGATTTCTTCAGGTAAAGATAAAGTTTTACTTACCAGTATATGTATTTTTAGTGAGACTCATAGCTATTTTACATTACATGAAGTTCTAAGCAGAATCTCTTTAGTCTGGGTTTCATTTTAGCCACTTATTTACATTGAATACTGTTTGAATAGAAATTCACTTTCATTGACTAGAGTACATTTCAAATCAGATTGTTTTCAGGATGTCAGTATATTGAAGACAAGAATTAATATTTTTAACAATACAGTGGAACTCAAGGAATGTGAGTTTAGTTCCTTTTGAAATGTCATATCCATGAAGAACTGTATTTCTAATAAACCACCATACTTACCTGGAGGCTCAGAATTTGGACTTCAGTTCAAGGTTTTGTCATTTTAGAAAGGCTGTGTATCCTAGTAGGAAGGCTGTGTATCATAATTGTCTTGTAATCTGAAAGACTTGGGTTTGAATCCTGCCTTCATCACTCGCTAACTGTGTGTCTTAATCTCTTAAGCCTTGCCTCACTTTCCTTATCTGAAAAATGGGTATAATAATGCCTCATAGATTGTGAGGATTAAATGAAATCATGACTATATATGGTTTAGTACAGTCCCTGGCTAAATAGGAGCTGTTACTGTTGTTACTATTAATCCTTGGTTTATGGCCATACTTATAATGTTAAACAGTATTTTTGGTTGGTGTTCTTTGTTTCTCTGATCACTGTTTCTCCTTCCCTCCATTTATCCACAGTGCAAATTGGGTATAGTGAAATTCATAGAAGCTGAGCAGGTGCCTGAACTCGAGGCTGTTCTCCACCTGGTGATTGCTTCTAGTGACACTCGCCACAGTGTGGCAACGGCAGCAGACCTAGAATTGAAAAGCAAGCAAAGGTAAACTACATCTCTTTTATTTTTTAATTTAATTTTTATTTTTTAAAATATATTTTTACTGATTTCAGAGAGAAAGGGAGAGGGAAAAAGAGAAACATCAATGATGAGAAAGAATCATTGATTGGCTGCCTCCTGCATGCCCTTTACTGGGGACTAAGCCCACAACCCAGGCATATGCCCTTGATCAGAATCAAACCCGGGATCCTTCATTCTGCAGGCTGATGCTCTGTCCACTGAGCAAAACAAGCCAGGGCTAAACTACATCTCTTTTAAACTCTCAGAATTGGGAAGAGGCTAGATTTCTAAATTGCTCAGCATGTATTTGTTCTTTTAGGATTTTATGTAATGAAACATTCAGTTTATGAGATTAAGAAATACAACTAATTTGTAATAAGGACAGCTTGCTTATGAGCAGAATTCTGTACCAGACAAAGAAGAAAAGCTGTTTGGAGAAGCAGTTTAAAACTGGAAGGGGTTAGGAATATTATGATAAGAAGGGAGATCTTTGGCTAGGTAATGAATTTAAAGAACTGGTGTGTATCTAATTGGAATATTACATATCTGCCAGGTAATTATCTATAACTAGAGGCCCGGTGCACAAACTTTGTGCACGGGGTGGGGGTGTCCCTCAGCCCGGCCTTCACCCTCTCGCAATCCGGGATGCCCTTCAGGACACAGCTGCGGCGGTTGTGAGGGCCGAGGGCAGGCAGCAGTGGTGGGGTAATGGGGGCAGTGCCTTCTCCTGATTGGCTGGGTTGCCTCCTGCAGAGGGAGGCCAGACTGCGGCTTAGGCCCACTCCCAGGAGTGGGCCTAAACTGTCAGTAGGACATTCCCTGAGGGCTCCCGGACTGTGAGAGGGGGCAGGTCAGGCTGACGGACACCCCCCATTCTTCCCGCCCAGTGCACGAATTTTCATGCACCAGGCCTCTATAAAAATAATAAAGCAGCATGGAAATTGCCTCCAAGTACTGGCAAATTAATAAAGCAGAATACAAAATGTTATATGCACTGATTTAAAAAATGACATGTGCAAAGAAAAAAAATTGAAGATGGTTGAAAAAAATCAAATGATGAAATAGTTCTTTTCTAAATTTATTTTTATGCTTAGTATAATAACATGCTAAAAGACAGTTGAATGTGGATAAGGAAATAAAGCTTTATAAAGGTTCCATGCATTGTAGTTTTCTCTTTCCTAAGAAACCAGACAAGTAGGTGTAACAGGATAAGGAAATTAACACATTGTTTGCGGGTAGTTTTTATCACGCGCTAACAGGTGGCGCGGGCCATTTTTGCTAATTTTTTGCGCAAATAGCAACGTTCAGTAAAATTACGATAACTTTAGTTTACGTATTTATACATTACCCGCATTCTACTGCTAGTCTATAAAAAACGTATTAATACGTGTCCCACGCTCTACTACACTATTAAAACGTATAAATACGTAAAACGTATAAATACGTAAAACGTATAAATACGTTTCCTGCATACAATGTGTTAACTTCATTGTGTCTATAGTTTGTTGAAATATAAGCTAACTATATCTGTGTGGTGGTGGTGGTTGGGAATGGCTTACCACTAAGGGGCATGTGAAGTAGGATGCAGGAGGAGTGCCTCTTGGCTGATTCTCTGAATTTGGAAGGCTCACTTAACCTTGCCAGGCCTTGGACTCTGTGAAATAAGAAAATTGGACTAGAATGTTCTTCACATTCTCCCCAAGTCTAAAATTCCTTCATGCTGCTTATAACTATATCTTCCTGATATCTCTTTCAAGAAATTTATTTGGTTTCGAAGTATCAAAATACTTTCCTTTAAAACTTTCCATTGTGTTTGAACTGGCTCCATTCTTTACACCATATGGTAGATTGGATTGTTGGAAATACAGATATATTAAATATTAGTTTTGGTTTTGTCTATTAAGTGTATGCATTTTTCCATAAAATAATATAACATTGTTAAGAGGTAACAAGTAAGTTGAGAACATTATGTAATATTATTTCATTTTGTTTAACAAATATTCCAAAGTATCTCTTCAAGTGATGCATCTATTGACCTATTTTTAAAAATCTACCTATGTGCCATACCCACCCACCTATTCTACATGCATAGTAAAGAAGTCTAGAAAAAGATACGTAGCAAAGTTAGTGGTTACTGAAAAGGAGTAGAGGAGGGATACGGTGCAGATTGTAAGGAATTTTATTTTCTATGTTTCTGAATTTTTACAACAAACATTTACTCAGGAAACTAAAGCTAGAAAGATGCCAAGAGGAAAAGTAAAAGAAACAGTGAAAATTATCCCTATAGTTAACCATTGCTTTTATTTTATTTTTTTAGTATTTTGTCAAAAATCTCTAAACCTACAGTATTATAAAAGGGAAACAACAGTGGAGCTTGAGGATTAGTTAGTAGTCATCAGCTGAGGAAAGATGTAGGTAAACAATAACTAAGTTATAATTACAGAATGAGTTTGAAGAAGTGGAATTGTGGCTATCCAAAGAAGAGGCAGACTGACAAACTATGACAGAAGAGATGGATTAGAAAAACGTTCAAAGCAGCAGGATAATTTGTGTTTGCACAAATAGAGCATATCTTGAAAGCAGAACCAATAACCAAAGGCGGAAGATAGTGTAGTTAAATCTTGCTAATCAAGTGGAATGCAAGATTGCATTATTAATTAGGTTTATAAAATGAGTGGGAGCTGCTGTAGAGGGTGGGTGCCAATCACTAATCACATGATACTCTAATTCACCTTATTGTGGGGCCCAAGTAGGAATTTGTTTTAGTGCCTAAAGGATTAGATGCTAAACCTGCAAGTGTGTGCTGGTAAATAAAGAAGAGGATGCTGGAAATTACAGTGGCACAATATTTGAGAAATGCAATGGGCTGCAAGCTTCCTAGGATTGTGTCTTTGAATGGGTAAAAAATTTTTTGGTCACCTCTTCATTACTTTTGAATTTCCTTGAGAGGAATTTCCAAGTGGTTAAACAGAAATGCGTGCCCCGGGGCTCTGTGAACAAGGATAGTATAGCTCTGCTGTGTTGGAACTGCTCCATGGCACGGTCCCTGAGAGTGAACACAGTTTAGTGTTTTGTGCTGCAGTACCAGATCGGACCATTGGAACTGATCTGCTGATCAAAGTGGAAAAAGTGAATTTTTTTCTTCTGTTTAAAAACTTTGATGAAATTAATCCCCTTCCTTTTCTTCTTTTATAATGTCAGTTGCCCATTTCATTTGAGTGTTTTTAACTTTTTCTTTTTGGTAATAAATATTGGGGCTATCATTTTTTGAAATCATTGAAGTAGGAGAAAAATAATAATTTTAACAAGTTGTGTTAAAACTTTCTGTAGCTTGATTGACTGGAATAATCCTGCCATCATTAATAAGATGTACAAAGTATACCTTGGCGATATACCACTGAAGACAAAAGAGGTGGGTTGTTTTTATGTTTCCTCACATCCTCATAAAAAGTACTTTGTTACATGAGCTCTATGTAGTTGAACATTTTTTCCTATTTTTATTTAAGCTGAACCTGTGCTGTAGGAAATAATAGTTTTAAGCCATGCTAGTCTAGGTAGAGTAAAATCTCCTGGAGACTTAGTTTACCTGATCTGGTGTTTTCAATTGAAGTGCTTAAATAATGTCTGGATTAGGAGTCAATAAACTTTTCTTTGTCAGTATTTTAGGCTTTGCTGGCCATGTGGTTGTGAGGCTGCCACTACTCAACTCTGACATAGGTGAAAGCAGTCGTAGGCCACACACAACTTAAGGAGCATGACTGTGTTGCCAATAAAACTTTAGGGACACTGAAATTGGATTTCATGTAATTTTTACATATTATGAAATATTATTTTGATTTTTAAAAAATCACTTGAAAATGTAAAAACTACTCTGAACTCACAGGCCTTATTAAGACAGATGGTGGGCCAGATTTGGCCCATGGGCTGTACTTTGTTGAACCCTGGTCTAGAATCTAGAGCAATAGGTAGGTTCTTTTGAACCCTTGAAGTAAAATGTTTGCTTAATAACGTAAGTTGTGTCTGAAAGTGTTCCAAGTCCAAACCCAGACAGGGATTATTTGTTTGCTTATTTTTAAACTATAAAGAGTTGTTTTAAAAATTAGCTCTAGTTAGATTCAGTTGAGTATGATGTCGCAAAAAGAACAATTAATTGGGAATTGGGTAGAGGAGAGATCTGACTAATTACAGAACTTCTCTGGGCCTCATGTACTTTGTGTAAAAATGAAGGGGTTGGATTAGATCAGTGATTCTCAGAGTGTGGTCCATGTACCCTTATTGGGTTACAGAGAGATTTTTAGGGATCCACGAAGGCAAGCATTTACTGCTTTTTAAAAATTTTACTGTGTTGATATTTGAACTGATGCTGCAAAAGCAACGGTAGGTGCAATTGCTGGCGTCCTAGCATGAATCAAAGCTATGTCACTAAATAATATTAGCAGACATTCTATTCATTGTCAGTATGCATGTAAAAAAAGAAAAAAGAAAAAGAGAACAAATCTCAGATAAACTTAAGAATATCTTGATGAAGCAGTAAATATTATTTTATCTGAAGAGTAGATGAGAGAACTGTGGGTGTTGAAACACATGCTTGTCAGATATTTCTCTAAAATGGAAAAAAAAAGAGACTTCAAGAAAAACAACATGATTTATTGGCACTGATAAAAATTGAGCTTTTAAGCAAAAACTGAATTTTGGAAAATGTGTATTCATTAGAATGAGCTTGACAGTTTGTCAGAACTTCCTGACTTTTCTGATGAGATTGGTGGTGGTGTTTTCCTTTCTGGATGTCTTATAATGCAACATACGCTTACAGTAAGTGAGCCAGTATTTTCCAGATGACCTCTGATGTTACAGAAGCATACAAGGGTGCTTAGATAGACCACAGAGGCTTAGTATAACTGTATACAAAAGTTCAAGGATTTCAAGTCCAAGGTGTTCAAGCTCACCTTTAACAAGTGATTACTTATCAGGTTTTGGTGTAGTATCAGAGTATCCACAATTACCTGAAAAGTCTAAAATTATCCCCACTTTTCCATCCACATTTGTGTGAAGCTGTTTTTTAAAATATTATTTAAAACAACATATCACAACAGATTTAATGCAGAAGATCAAAGAATCCAGCCCTCTTCTGTTAAGGTAGACAGTGAAGAAATTTATAAAAAATGTTAAATAATGCCACTCTCAGTATAGTCTTTTGTTTTGGAAAATACATTTTTCTTAAAAATGTTATTTATGAAAATATATACTAGTAATAGATTTATTAATACTATTTTTAAGTGAATAAGTATTTAAAATATCTCAATTTTAACTTTAACTTATTAAATATTGATAGGCATTCCAATATAAACAAAGGCTCTTTGATGACTTCAGTAATTTTTTGAGTGTAAAAGGCATTTTGAAACAAGATTGAGATCACTGGTTTAGATGCTCTCTCATGATTTTTTTTCAGTATAGTAATTTTGAAATGGTGATTTATAATCCGAGATATTTTTGACAGGGAGCAGTTCTGAAGCCAGAGCTGAAAAGGGACCCCGTCAGTACGAGAGTCAAGTTAAAGATTGTCCCCCATCTTCTTCGTTCCAGACAAGCTGCAGAAACGTTCCCAGCTAACATTCAGGTAATTTGTTCTTTCCAGAGAAAACAGCCTGTTTACAACTTTTATGTGTCTTTACTTAGAGAAAGAAGTGCATTAATGGATCTTCAGGAGGTAGGTTGATGTAGACTTCTTAGCGTCTCTCCTTCGGAAGGCTTATTTGTTTAAGTGGCTACTACTTCCTTCTATCTAGATGATAAAACTTTTGTTCCCAGTATCCCTAATATTTGACTAATTTCAAGTACCTGTTGTATGTCTCCAGAGAAACATAAAATTACCAGAGCTGCTTCCATTTCACTTTCCAAGTACTGTTTCCCAGACAGTGTCTTGATAATTTTGGTTTCAGAAAATTTGGTTGTGGTAACACTACATTGTATAATAAGCAGCAAGAATTTTGTGCCAAAATATTCATAGCCATCCTGTAGGTATACACTTTATTTGTAGTTTTTTTATGTCTTTATTTTTTTTTATTTTTTATTTTTATTTTTATTTTTTTAATTAAATCTTTATTGTTCAGATTATTACATTTGTTCCTCTTTTTTCCCCCCCCATAACTCCCCTCCTCCCAGTTCCCGCCCCACCCTCCGCCCTCACTCCCCACCCACTGTCCTCATCCATAGGTGCACGATTTTTGTCCAGTCTCTTCCCGCATCTCCCACACCCCTTTCCCCCCCAAGAATAGTCAGTCCATTCCCTTTCTATGTCCCTGATTCTATTATAATCACCAGTTCATTCTGTTCATCAGATTATTTATTCACTTGATTCTTAGATTCACTTGTTGATAGATGCATATTTGTTGTTCATAATTTGTATCTTTACCTTTTTCTTCCTCTTCCTCTTCTTAAAGGATACCTACCTTTCAGCATTTCATATAATCCTGGTTTGGTGGTGATGAACTCCTTTAGCTTTTCCTTATCTGTGAAGCTCTTTATCTGCCCTTCAATTCTGAATGATAGCTTTGCTGGATAAAGTAATCTTGGTTGTAGGTTCTTGGTATTCATCACTTTGAATATTTCTTGCCACTCCCTTCTGGCCTGCAAAGTTTCTGTTGAGAAATCAGCTGACAGTCGTATGGGTATTCCCTTGTAGGTAACTGAGTTTCTTTCTCTTGCTGCTTTTAAGATTCTCTCTTTGTCTTTTGCTCTTGGCATTTTAATTATGTTGTGTCTTGGTGTGGTCCTCTTTGGATTCCTTTTGTTTGGGGTTCTCCGTGCTTCTTGGACCTGTAAGTCCATTTCTTTCACCAGGTGGGGAAGTTTTCTGTCATTATTTCTTCAAATAGGTTTTCAATATCTTGCTCTCTCTCATCTTCTGGCACCCCTATAATTCTGATGTTGGTATGCTTGAAGCTGTCCCAGAGGCTCCTTACACTATTCTCGCATTTTTGGATTCTTTTTTCATTCCGCCCCTCCAGTTGGGTGTTTTTTGCTTCCTCGCATTTCAAATCATTGACTTGATTCTTGCGCTCCTCTGTTCTGCTGTTGGGAGTCTGTATAATATTCTTTATTTCAGTCCATGTATGCTTAATTTCTAGTTGGTTCCCCAACATAACATCGAGGGTCTCATTAGTTTTCTTGTAGATCTCATTAAGTTTATCGGCGGCTTCTAAACAGTTCTTGAGAGACCTTAAAAGTGTGGTTCTGAACTCTATATCTTCCATTGACAATTTTGTCCTGTTTCTTTGTCTCCGCATTTTGTTATGCTTCCTTGGTGCACCCCCTAGTGGTCTTTGTGCGCAGTCTTGTAGTTAAGCCTTGATTGTTGTAGCTAATACCAGGGAGGGTTTGACCTCCAGGCCAAGTGGCTGTGAGAATCAGCTGTGTCAGCAGTGAGAGAACTTCTGTCCTCTAGGGAGGTGCTAATCTAGCCTTTGCCTGAGGCTATCCGGCAAATGCCTGTGTGCAGGGCTTGGGCGGGGCGGGTCGCACAGGATCAACAGGGTGGGCCGGAGAGAGCAGTTATGGCGGCTCTCAGTCCTGTCCCCAGGGGCTCTGCCTCTCTGAGTTCCAGCGACCGCTGCAAGCCTCGGAGAGAAAGCTGCACTCGCTCTGACCGAAGCCAGACAGTCCCGCTTCTCCCGTTTGAGTCTGGGTCCCTAAAGACTCGCCCTTATCTGGAGCTCAGAGTCTGCGACTCCCTCCCGATTGAAAACGCCAACCGTGCCCTCCGCCGCCAGCCGGCTCCACGCACTCCGCACCTCAGAATTTGACTTCAGCACTGTGCCTCCTCTGAGTGTCCATATACGTTTCTCTTTCCTCCTAGTTGTAGGACTTCCACTCAGCCAGCGTTCCTGTGGTTCTAGGTGATGTCCGTTCCGTCTTTTAGTTTCACTTTTGAAGTAGTTGTTCAAGGCAGCAAACTCCGGCATTAACCTATGCCGCCATCTTGGTTCTCCTTTTTTATGTCTTTAAAATAGGCCCTAAATTTTTGTACATTCAAAGACAAACTCATTGTCCATCACCTGTAAACAGTCTTCCTTTTTTCAATATTCCCATTCCTAATGATGGATTACTATTCTACATAGTTGGCCCTACCCCTTTCTTCTCCATCTGTCAATCACAGGATCCTTTAAAGGTAGCTTCCTCTTACCAGACACCAATAGTTTTAACTAGACACGTTACCTCATCTTGATTTTGAACATATGAAAGAAACTCGCACAATTCTTTGCATATGTGTGCAGCATGAATTTTCTTTTTCTTTTTTTTTTTTTTTTAATATATTTTATTGATTTTTTACAGAGAGGAAGGGAGAGGGATAGAGAGTTACAAACATCAATGAGAGAGAAACATTGATCAGCTGCCTCCTGCACATCCCCCACTGGGGATATGCTGGCAACCAAGGTACATGCCCTTTACCGGAATCAAACCTGGGACCCTTTAGTCCCTAGGCCGATGCTCTATCCACTGAGCCAAACCAGTCAGGGCATGAATTCTATTTTCCCCCACAAAACCTTAGTGTTCTAATTAATCCGTGTGGAGTGGCAGGGTGGTGGCCCACGGCAGCGTGAACTCTGTGTGACTTCCTAGTGGTAGACCCTAAAGTTTTTCAGACTTGTCAGATCAGCCATCATGTTTGTCACTCCACAGACTATTGATTGGAATTACCGATTAGCTTCCTAAGTCTATCAGCTAAAACGTGTGCATATATTAAAAAAAACTGCATTCATTTTGGAAGAGCAAGGTGTAGTGCAAAAGATGTGCTGTTGGATCCCAATAGTTGAGAATAGTCAATTACTATTCTTATTAATTGTTGTTCTTGACCACTAGTTTCTTTCTCATAGGTGGTGTATGATGGACTCTTTGGTACAAATACAAATTCAAAATTAAGAACATTATCTCTGCAATTTGTGCATCACATTTGTATAACGTAAGTTTTTCAAACTATTTGACTATAAAGATTTTAAACTGTTGGAGTGATCAAATGATTAAAGTATATCTTATCTAGAAAGAAATCATGTTTGCTAATCTTTTAAAAATTTCAGATTTTAATAGATTATTTTAATTTATTTCAGTTGTTTCTAATTATTTTAAGTATCTGAAAAGATATGTAATTATGAGAGTCTTATCTTGCTTTGTGTATGTGTGCTATTTTTTTTTTAAAGTTGCCCAGAAATCAAGATTAAGCCATTAGGCCCAATGCTTTTGAATGGCCTCACCAAGCTAATCAATGAGTATAAAGAAGTAAGTAACTTATCTCAAATTTTGTTAACATTTTATATTTTAAAATATTTTCTATGATAAACTTTCCTGGTCTTCTACATGTTGGTTTAGTTAGTTATAGGTTGATATTATTCCATCGTTTCTTAACATTTTTACTTGAAGTGGTGCCAGTTGCAGAAATTACTGGAATCTTTTTAGTTTTCTTTTGGAAATAAGTGTTAAAAACTGATATGAATCAGTTTTTATGAAAAAAGTCATCACTTTTTTAAATAACATTTTAAAAAACAAAGACATTTTATTCTGTTTTTAGGCACTGTGTAAAAATGGAGTGAAAATAATTAAATTTTATTATTTATTTATTTATTTTTAAAAAATATATTTATTGACTTTTTACAGAGAGGAAGGGAGAGGGATAGAGAGTTAGAAACATCAATGAGAGAGAAACATCGATCAGCTGCCTCCTGATCCTACTAGGGATGTGCCCGCAATCAGGATACATGCCCTTGACCTGAATCAAACCCGGGACCCTTGAGTCCACAGGCTGACGCTCTATCCACTGAGCCAAACCGGTTAGGGCTAAATTTTATTTTATGATTAATTTCTATATAGTTGATTTGGATTTGCTTATATATTGAGAAACAGTGTTAATTCTTAGGGTCTGAGATATTACTGATTCAGAATTCTGTTAAAACATGCATTCAGTAAATTTTTGATTCCTTAAGCTAAGTCAGATGAGGACTCTTTGGATTGTAGCATTTCGAATCCAATTATTATTAGTCCATGCAATATCACTCTTATCATCTCCAGTATTTCAGGGGAATTTACTTAAAAAATAAAGTCTCAAGAACTCCAGTTAGCATTATCTTCCTAAGTCTTAGTTAAACATGAATGCATGTTTGCAATAGTATAGTGATTGAGATTTTGCCACTTGGAGTCAGAATTGAGTTCAAATCCTACTTTTGTTTTTTGGTGAGTTACTTGCTTTTTTGGACCTTTGATTTTTATTAGAAAAATGAAAATAATACCATTTAGTTGGGTTATCGTGAACATTAAATGAAATATGCACATAAATTTTTCAGCACAATGAAGGCACCTTAGTAGATGTTATTATTAGCTAAAAGCTGTTAGTTGTGCAGTTATAACGCAGTTGAGCTATGGGGGCAGTGTTGGGCTGGCTGTCCTGTCTGCTATTGAAAGTGCTTGTGTGGTTTTTAAGGCCTAGGAACCAGATTATTTTTATGGCATACATAGTCAGATGCTTTGGATGGTTGGTAGATATAAAAATGCTTTGGGGCTTTTTAGGAGAATTTGTATATTTAAAAATAGATTAGAGAAGCCAGATAAACCACAGGGCCCTAATCTCCTTACTTGCAGGTGACACCTGCATGTCTTCCCAATGATGAATCCATAAAGTTGAATCCATGAGAGTGGTCATGCAGGTGTAGGAGAGTGAATCTTATGTTAAATGTACAAACTTCAGCTCACACAAATGCTATTTTTTCTTAGTAATCAGACAGACAATTGGTTTCCATTAAACCATGTAAAATATTTTTGAGGAGGCAACCTCACTAACATACTTGATGACTATGATCCCTTTAATTTTTTATAGTGGAAGACATGAAAAGTGCAGATTTTAAAGGAATCGCTCACTGCAATTTTGGGTGAAAAAGGGAGGATCTTAGCTTGTTTGATCAGTGGTGAATTTTCTAATAAGTTAATAAACTTTTTCTAACATGTTAAAGATGAATTTTGGTGTTTGCAGGTTACATAGTGTTGAAAAGAGCCTAAACTTAGCACTAGCTAAGAAACCTTTTTATATATAACCACTGCATTTTCTTTTGGGAGTGAGTTGGGGATAAAAGGTTTTATTTGTTTTTCCCTTTAATTAGTGTGATGAATTCTGGGTTTAGACTTGTTCTGTTTGTTTTGTTTGGATGCTAATATCATGCAGTTAGGCAGAGTGAGACCAGGTTTACCAAGGAATAAAGTAATGCATGTAATTGCAGCAAAAGGTTTTGCCGTTTACTGTGTTGTTGTGTTTTTTTTTGTCTGTTTTTGTTCTTTTTTTCTTCTTAATTTCAAGGACCCTAAGCTACTGTCAATGGCATATTCAGCTGTTGGAAAACTCTCCAGGTGAGTAAACTCTTTTTCAGTGAGAGATATGCTGTTGTATACTAAGAAAAGTTATGTGGCATTTAATAATGGATGGAGAGTAAGTTTGTGTGATTCTGAAAGGAAATGCATTTAATGGCCATAGGTTGTTTAGAAATGTCTTCCTTGTAGCAGGAAAATTATATGAGAAATTTTAATTTGCACTTAAAGATATGTTACCATGTTAAATAGTAGTCTTGAAATGAATTTTGAACTGGATTGTGTCATGATGGGTTACATTTTCTTGAATGCTAGAAACATTCCACCTCAGGTGTTCTTGTTGCTATGTACTATTAGTCTTTATAATCCCCATAAACAAGGTTTGCTAGTGATTTTCTTTTCTGATAGTGTTATATTAGGATTCCAAGTGGCCTGGTTTCCAAAGATGGATTTTTTTCTTCTGCTTAGTATGCTTTCCTCCTTCTAGTTCCTCCTGGTTTCCTTTCCTTCACTATATTTCAAAGCAGGGAAGTAGAGGTCAGCATCCTCAGTGGCACTAGGTGCTCCTTTTAGTCCTGATGCATGTTCTGCTTTGGCCTGTGTAGACTAGGTCTTGCTTTTCTTTCTATGCAGGGAAGGGAACTTCAGGGCTCAGAAAACCACCTGAGATCAGCTGATACAGCGCAGGCTTGTCAGCACACCTTGTCCATTGTCTGTTGGCATGAAGTAACAAAGCCCCTTATCACACTAGCCTTGTTTAAATAGCAATTTAGTCTTAATTATCTATTTTCTTTATATTAAAATCAGAAATATTAACTGAATGCATGGAATATAATGAAGAAAATATCTGGATAGTGTGTCTATTCATCAAGAGTTACTTGGATTAGACAGCTGAAGTATTAACTTTTTATTTATAAAAATATTTGGCTCTGTGGGTAGGTAAACTAATGATGCTGACATGATGTCCAGAGATGAAATTGCAGGCTCAGGAAAATTTGTATTTAATTTTATTTTCTTCCATGTCATGGAAACTTATGGTAGTAAAGGTAGTCTTGTATTCTCTTACAGTCGAATGCCCCATTTGTTCACTAAGGATATAGCTCTCGTGCAGCAGCTCTTTGAGGCCTTGTGCAAGGTAGGGAAACACCTGGCCAGTAATGCTTCCTGCTTAAATGCTCACCTGGAAACCCAATAAAGAGGGAAACACTTTTCATTATTGTTTAGGAAGAGCCCGAGACTCGACTTGCTATTCAAGAAGCATTATCTATGATGGTTGGAGCTTACAGTACTTTGGAAGGAGCACAGAGAACTCTCATGGAGGCACTTGTGGCTTCATACTTGATAAAGGTAGGTCCAACTATGTGAACTCTAATGGTTGGTAGTATATGCATCTTACTTTAAAAAAAAAAATATATGTTTATTGATTTCAGAGAGTAAGGGAGAGGGAGAGATAGAGACATCAATGATGAGAGAGACAAAATTAATTGGCTGGGAATTGAGCCAGCGTCCTAGGCATGTGCCCTGACCAGGAATCGAACCATGACCTCCCGTTTCATAGGTTGATGTTCAACCACTGAGCCACACCAGCTGAGCTAGATTCTTTTTCTGGCTGAACTTTGTATTCATAGATTATTAGTTTATTTAAGTTAACTTAATATACTTATGTAATTGAAACTTTGCTTTGGAGCCAGTTTTAACTTTAGAACTAATCTGAAAAAGCATGAGATATTTTGCTTCAAATTTTTAGGGATTCCAAGTAAACTCTATATTCCCTGCAAAATATCTAAATTTGACTCATGTGACTTTGAGTTTGAGAGTTAGAGAAACAGGTTGTAGCCAGAAACTCACGGTGACCTTGGTCCCAAGGTTGGGCTGAGGACGTGCATCTATAGAGAGAAAGTCTCTGGCTGTGGTCTTTGTAGGTTTTCCTGCTTTATTTGGAAGGTCCTCTTAGATCATAGAAGTACTTTTTAAGTAATATCACTGTCTAAAGACTTTTAAGCAACATGGTCAAAGATTTTGCACAATTGCTTTGTCTTGATTTTATTTATTTAGACATTTATTGAAATAGCAAATTAACTTTTGATTATATATAATTAATATGACTTATCCTGACTAGAATGAGTTGTTGGTAATTATTTTTAATCTGTGGGTGTTTTTGCGTGTGTTTGTATGTCATATAGCCTGAAGTTCAAGTTCGACAGGTGGCTGTGAAATTTGCCAGCACAGTGTTTCCCTCAGATCATATACCCTCCAGATATTTGCTCTTACTAGCTGCAGGAGATCCGTAAGTTTTTAAAGGTGTTAATTTTGAATTTGGGTTCATTTTAAATTTATTTAAGCATTACTAAAATTATGTTTAAAATGTTGGTCTATGGAATTTAGAAGCAATTTATTAAAGAGTTAAAAGTATGTCCCTTGGTATGATATAAATCTGTAGTCATAGCCTGTCTCTCTCTCTTTTTTTTTTTTGTGGGTAAAATTCAAAGATGCAAGCCACATGACTCTTCAGATCTCAAGAAATTGCCCCAAAGAAGTAATTTCTTATAATGTATCTTATGACCCTGCTCAGATAGCCAAGAATATATTTAAGGCATTTTCTCAAAACCTCAGCTGCCAAATATAATTGCTGTTCTTTGTCTTCAAATTATTATTCTGCAATTGGTAAGATTGATTTTTTATTCTTATTTGTCTGAAAGACGGGAAGAAGTTCATGGAGAAGCACAACGAGTATTAAGGTGTCTTCCTGGTAAAAACAGAAAAGAAAGTGCTTCTAAGCAGATGCCTTCTTTCCCAGAAATGGTATATTATATCCAAGAAAAGGTAAGGCATTGGACTTCAGATAATTAGTTTGAGTTATATAATGGCTGATGAAATTAAACATACATATTTTAGTGACACCTTTAAAATGTTATCATCACTAAGTGTTGAATAGTAGTAACAGTTCTAACAATGTCAATATTTACAATAAGAGGAAGGTACAGAATGAAGAGAAAAAAATTTATTTTCAAATGTAATTGATCTCTTTTGACCAAATCTACATTGGTTGCAATTTCTTTTATCTTCTTCAACACTTTGGCTGTATTTGAAATTTGTTCCCTTGGTATGACATGCTTCAAAATACATCTCCTTTTTATTTTTTATTTATTTTTATTTTTTAAATATATTTTATTGATTTTTTTACAGAGAGGAAGGGAGAGAGACAGAGAGTTAGAAACATCGATGAGAGAGAAACATCGATCAGCTGCCTCCTGCACATCCCCCACTGGGGAAGTGCCCGCAACCCAGGTACATGCCCCTGACCGGAATCGAACCTGGGACCTTTCAGTCCGCAGGCCGACGCTCTATCCGCTGAGCCAAACCGGCTTTGGCATCCTTTTTATTTTTAATGACATTACTTGAGGCATCATAAGTTTAAGAATGATGCAGGGAGCAGTTCAGATTTTTTCCACTGTGATCATAAGAGAACATCACATCTGCTTTTGCAAGTCATCTGTTTTGGCAGTGTTCTCTGTTGATAGATCAGAGAGTATTGGCAGTCCTGACCCCCAGCCCTTATCCTATTCTGCTGTTTATATCAGTGTTTCTTTGAGTATGATGAGGAGGGGTGGGGGAGGGGGTGTACTCCAGCATACTCTGCCTCTACTGGTGGTCCTAGCTTTGTGCTCAGATAGTCATCTGAAGGGAGTTGGAGGGTCAATACTAAGCATCCATGATTCTTTTCTCCATCGCACAGTTCTATTTGTGGTCAGAAGATGCTCTTGTGTGCATATTTTCTTCCTGCTTCAATTGTTAATAAAGAGTTGGCATGCAGTGGCCTGGGGTGGCTGTGTCAGTAGATGCCTGGAGTAGGTTTATTCTTTTTATTATTTATTTATTTATTTATTTATTTATTTAAAATATGTTTTATGGATTTTTTTGCAGAGAGGAAGGGAGAGGGATAGAGAGTTAGAAACATCAATGAGAGAGAAACATTGATCAGCTGCCTCCTGCACAATCCCTACTGGGGATGTGCCCGCAACCAAGGTACATGCGCTTGACCGGAATTGAACCTGGGACCCTTGAGTATGCAGGCTGACGCTATATCCACTGAGCCAAACCGGTTAGGGCAGGTTTATTCTTTTTAAAACAAACCAGTAAAAACATGAAGAAAATGCAACACACCTGTTATTTAGAGTGAGGGACATGAATAGTCAGCATGATTAATGGAAAAATGTTTTGACTAGAAAGAACCAGTTTCAAACAGTAATGCAGCTTGAAGTACAGTTATTTTCAAACTGAGGAAGGACATGCGCTCCATTTTTCAATAATTTTTCAGTGTTTGTTTTGGGCTTATTTTGTTAGGCTTCCCATCGAATGAAAACTCCAGCCAAGTACATGACTGGGACCACTGTCCTTCCATTTAATCCAGCAGCCTTTGGAGAGGTAGGATTGGCATATATTTCTATTTTGTGTTCTCTGAATATTCTAAAAGAGATGTCTGCAAATATTTTGTGTTCTAGATAAATTCATATTGTGGTGTCATTGTTCTTAATAGTTGTTTATTAGAAAAACAGTAATGGTAATTGGAATTATTTTAATTCATAGTGGAGTTGATAAATATATTTATCTCAGCTGAAATTCTCTTTGTGAAAGAACTGGATGCTCCACATTGATTACTCTTAAGATTTTACAGCAAATAGATTTGAATTTTAAAGCCAACAATATGTTGAAGTTGTTTGGATTATCTAGTTTTGAAGATTGGAGAGTGAGATTCACTTGTCATATTTACTAAGGGAAATTCTGTTGTTTAGGTCACTGACTTGCATTAATTAAATGACAAGAATAGGATTCCTCATAATGAAATTGCTGCCTGTCCTATCTTAGCTGTCAAGGAACGAGCTTCCAGAGGACTCCCGAGCAGCCAGTTTATATCAGAGGTTTTTATGGTGTCGTATTTGCTCTTCTGGAGATGATTGGAACCCGTTTTCTCAAATTCTTGTGTTAGTGGAGATTAAACACAACTTGACTTCCACAGGATTAGGTTATTTACCCCAGGTTTCTGCTCATTCTTTCTCTCTCTCTCTCTCCCCCTCTCCCCCCTCTCTCCTTCTCCTCCTCCCCCCCCCCCCCCACATCTCTCCCTCACTCTCTCCCTCCCGCACATACACACAAACACATACACAGAGTATTGTAATTTTTTTAGACTTTAGGAGTTGAGTTTGCATTTTAACTATGTTAAATGCCACTAAAGAACACTCTTTGGATTTATAAAAGCTTACTAGGTAAATTTTACTCCATTATGGTAATTTCAGTTAACATATTGGGTCATGTTTTTCAGTTTCTGTGGGCATTTTTGAATGGCTTTATGAAGAAGATAGAGGAGTCCAATCTGTCACTTGAAGAATATCCTCCCACGTTGATTTTTGGAGAAACTTACCTGGTATTCTTCTTTCTTCTGTTTTAGATAGTTCTGTACTTACGAATGTGCCTAGCTCACAGTGCGGGAGTGGTGCCCACCTCTCAGAGTTTGGCAGATATGCAAGATCATGCCCCAGCCATTGGACGCTATATAAGAACTTTAATGTCAGGCAACCAGGCAACATCCTCATCATCTTCTTCCAAGAGCGGAGAAACCAACCCTGTTCAGATCTACATCGGCCTGCTTCAGCAGCTGCTAGCCGGTGTTGGAGGTAGGAGGTTGTGATGCTGAGGACAGAGATTATAGCACTTGAGAAAAACATCGAATTTTAACCTCAGCTAAGAATTTATAGCAAAATTAATTTTCCTCTTCACTACTGTGACTGAACATTAGTCTTTGTTTCTTTTTCTAAACTTATCTGATTCATCCTTGATGCATTGTTTCTCTTTTCAGAAGTAAATGGTGATAATAGATAATATTTTTACTTGGGAAGTGGGTGTGAAAAACAGGCCAGCTTAGTATAGATAACCAGTCTGTGAATATGCTGTATTGTCACACACTATTTAGGTTAATTTTTCTTTTGTAGAACTAGGGACTGCCTCCTAAAGGAATTTAGTGATTCCTGATGTTTATCACTTCTCTTGAAATTAAAATGATTCTGAATTCTTACTTAGGTTTGCCAGTCATGTACTGTCTCCTGGAAGCTGTCTCAGTGTATCCAGAAAAGCTGGCTACCAAGTTTGTAGACAAAACAGAATGGATAAAGGTATACCCTGTGCATGTATCTTTCTCTTTGAGTCTGCATATTTTAAGACTCATGATTTTATCTTCATGTCTGTGTTCCTATGACCAGTTCTGTCTTTAGGTCATTTTGAAAACTCTCTCATCGTCAAACACTTACTGAGAAACATGTAGGTTGTTGCATCTCAGTGATCCATCTGGTGAGAGTGATAGATGAATTGAGAGTCATATGAGTACAAAATAATGATTTTTCTGTCTTTTAAAGTTTAACAGATTTATCTAGTTTAAGAAAAAAATATGTAAAATGTCTCCCACCTACCCAAATCCTCCAACTTCCTGTCCCTTCATCTCTCACTGACAAATATACATGGTCATCACTTATTTATAGGTGGTGTACCTTCTAGAGTTTACTAGGCATATATACACCAATAAAAATAAGCATTTTTTATTTTTATTCCTTCTTTTACAAAAGGTAGCGCAGTTGTCACTTGTTTTATACCTTACTTGTTTTACCTTCCACTGAAACATGGAGGTATTCCTATGTAACTACAGAGAAAGCATCCTCTTTAACAGCTTCATTGTTTTCCCCTGTATGAATGTACCATAATTTATATTAAATCCTTACTGATGGCCATTTAAGGTACTTCCAGTCTGCTGCAATGAACAATTGCCATTTTGAAAATGAGGAAGTATGTTTTTTAATGGGTCCCGCAGAAGTGGAGTTGAGTACATGCATTTTAACAATTTTGACAGTGCATATCCATATGAGTGGTACCAATTTACACTCTCACCAGCTGTGTTGGAGAATGTTTTCATCCCATCATCACAATAAAAGAATTGCCAGGTTTAGAAATAAATACAAGATGCTCAGGTAAATTTGAATTTCGGTTAAACAGTGAATAATTTTCTTGGTATGGGTATGACCCATAGAGTTTTTGTGCTACGTAATTTCAACTTGAGTTATGGTTAAATGTACAGATTATCTTTTTCTGTGTGAAAGCATGAATGGAATTGACCAAGAGGTATGAGTTTTATACTTCTGGAAAATCTGCTCTCATGAAATTTCTTCTCGTTTAAAAGGTTTTTATTCTTTGTGAATATTTGCTGATTTTAAAATGATGTTAGTGTTTTTGACATTTGATCTTGTAGATCAGGGGCCATCAAGCTCTAGTCCATGTGCCAAATCTGGTGTGTTTTTATATGGCCTACAGGCTAAGAATGGTTTTTACATTTTTAAATGGTTAAAAAAAACACACACAGAAACAAATAACACTTCCTGACATGAGATTTGAATAACACTTCCTGACATGAGACTTGGAATGTCCATAAAGCTGATTTGAAACACAGATACCCCTGTTTATTGTCTATGGCTGCTTTTGCACTGCAGTGGCAGGATGGGGTTATGACAGAGACCACATGGCCCACAAAGCCTGTTTGGCCCTTTACAGAAAACATTTATTGACCTCTGTTTTAGGTCATATGTGTATTAGTTCCACCTGTTTATACTGTCTGTCTTTGATGAAAATGCATAGATTTTGGTATATAATTCAACTTTCATTTCACTTTGAAATACCTTGTGTTTTTATGTCCAATAGATTGAACAATTTAATGTATCACTTATTTTAATCTTAAATGTTAGATGTTGTCAGCAGGAAGATATATATAAAAATATTTATTTTTCTATACCACTTAGAGCCTGATGAACAGCAGTAAAGAAGAGATGCGTGAACTGGCAGCGTTGTTTTATTCTGTGGTGGTATCCACAGTGTCGGGAAACGAGTTGAAGTTGATGATAGAACAGCTTATAAAGACTACAAAAAATAATCATGTATGTTACCAGTATGGTCTTCATTCTTTTTTGGTGGGAGATAGTGGAATTTTACAAAACATATCTAGTATATTTTTAGTTCTTGCATTCTCATTTGTAAAATGAACTTTTATGATTGTAAAGTTTAAATGAGATAATTGAATCAGTTCATTCAACAAATGAGTGCTTTGTGTCTGATTGGCACTGTTTTAGGTGTTAGGAATGAAATGGGGAGTAAATACATATGCTGCTGCCTATAATTGTGCCTCTTCTGTCAGTAAATACCACATGCTTTCAAATATTTTATTGCTTACTTTGTATTTGGAGGTTTGAGCAATTAGAAGTAGGATCTGTTTATTGTATTTGGTTGGCAATAGGAAGAAATTATGCTTGAAAATTATGATAGTGTAGTTGCATAAGTTACTTAAGTGCTATAAGCTAGAAGAAAGTTTGGGTGCTATAGGAACATGCAAGAGAGTCACCTCATCCAGAGTTGGAGTGGGAGTGGGATTAGGGAATCTAAATCTTGAAGTTAATCAAGACTTTGCTTAACTTCTTGGAATTGATCTGTGTTAGAAACTCAAAGTTTATCTTGTTCCCTAAACCTGATTCTTTAGCATCCAGTAGAACCTCAAAGATCACTTTATTCTTTGGCCTTATGTTTTGTTGGGGAGATGACTAATAAACACACAGTTATTTCAGTGTATTCTTGCACATGTAAGAGAGAGACAGAGACATATGCTATTGTGTTGTTAAACTCAGAGCCCAGAGATACAGCACGGATCCGTGCTCGCATTGGGATTCACCATAGGAAGATATTTGGCTAAAAAGAAAATGGGAATGGCAGAGCAACAAGACCTGGAGACAAATGCTGATTTCCTGCCTGAACAAGAGGAACTCATTCAGAGTGCCACAGAGACAATAGGTAGTTAATGTGTTTATGCTGATTGGGATGTCACAATTTTTGCATTAGGTTAAAATTAAATATAGCATTTTGATTTCTTTTTTAAAAAATATATTTTTATTGATTTCAGATAGAGGAAGGGAGAGGGAGAGAGAGAGATTGAAACATCAATGATGAGAAAGAATCATTGATTGGCTACCTCCTGCACATCCCCTTCTGGGGATCGAGCCCACAACCCAGGCATGTGCCCCCTGACCCGAATCAGACCCGAGACCCTTCAATCCACAGGCGGACATTCTATCCATTGAGTCAAACTGGATAGGACCATTTTTATTTCTTTTTACAGTAGTGAACTTTAAAGGCACAAGCCTTTGTGTAAACCTTACTTGATGCTAAATAAACTCTGTGTTTTAATAACAAAACTACCTTCTTTTGTCTTTACTGTATGTTTTACAACATGATTCTATTATGGGAAAAACTTCAAACATTAAAAAAAGACACTGCTTTATGCCCTGTTCCTACTGTTTTTTATCTGTTTATATACTTATATGTATAGCCCCTTTCTGTATTTACTAAGTAAACATTAATGAATTAAATAGAGGATACTACAGACTTTGATTTTGTTTTACTGTCTTTAAAAAAATCTTGAATACATTTCCTTGGTTTACAAGGATAATAGTATTTTCTTCTCAGTTTTGTCTAAATGTGTTTACAGGATCATTTTTGGACAGTACATCGCCCCTCCTGGCAATTGCTGCTTGTACAGCCCTGGGTGAAATTGGCAGAAATGGTCCTCTCCCAATCCCCAGTGAGGGATCTGGCTTTACCAAGCAACATCTTGTGGAAAGCTTACTAAATAGAATACCCTCCAGTAAAGAAACAAATAAGGTAAGTCTCTTCCTTTATTCCTTCCTTTCTGAAATTTACATATGAATTGTAATTAGGATGGCATTGCAGCTGGAAGAGGATTTAATATGAAAAGGAATGAGAGGAAAGTCTAGGTGAGTTAGGGATGATTTGTGCATAACCTTCGTGTGTGCACCATCTGACCCAGTTACTCCAATGTAGGCAATAACTATTAAGATTTAGATACAGTGTTAAGTGCATCAGTTCTTTTGTCAGACAAAAGGTGGATAATAAAGTATTAAATAATTTGATGATTTTTGTTATTTCAGACCAAATCTAGGTCTTAACCACTTGTAGTGAGTTTGGTTTAAAGAAGACTGGGCATTAGTAAGCAGTGCGAGTAATCTGTGAGGGAAAGGACATTTATAGTTTCTTAGTTTTAGGTAAAAATTTTCATGGACTTTAAGACATTTCCTTTGTGGTCAAAGCACCTCAGTATTGAAGTATGAGATGATTTAACGGGCAGAAGAATCAGTTTACTATAAGTTTAATAAATATGTAATCTTATTCTTGGTGTAGCTACTGGTTAAATCTTTGGGAAGATTACACAGTGTAGTTTTTTAAAATATATTTTTATTGATTTCAGAGAGGAAGGGAGAGGGAGAGAGAGATAGAAACATCAATGATGAGAAAAAATCATTGATCGGCTGCCTCCTGCACCTACTAGAGATTGAGCCTGCAACCCAGGCATGTGCCCTTGACCGGAATTGAACCTGGGACTCTTCAGTCCTCAGGCCGATGCTCTATCCACTGAGCCAACCAGCTAGGGCCACAATGTAGTTTTTACTTGTCATTATTAACTAGAGGCCTGGTGCACAAAATTTGTGCACTTTGGAGGGGGGTGTCCCTGAGCCTGGCCTGCATGTTCTTGCAGTCCAGGAGCTCTCAGGCAATGTCCGACTGAAGGCTTAGGCCTGGCAGTCAGACATCCTTAGTGCTGTGGTGGAGGCAGGAGAGGGTCCCGCCACCGCTGCTGCGCTCGCCAGCCATGAGCCTGGCTTCTGGCTGAGTGGTGCTCCCCCTGTGGGAGCACATTGACCACCAGGGGGCAGCTCCTGTGTTGAGCGTCTGCCCCCTGGTGGTCAGTGCACATAATACTGACCGGTCATTCTGCTGTTTGGTTGATTTGCATATTCAGCTTTTATTATATAGGATTACCAACCACTGTTGAGCACTTGTAATGTGCCAGGTATTTGCTAAGTGCTTTGCATACATTAATTAATTGAATCCTCCAAAAGGTCTAGTGAAGTAGGTACAGTTGTCATCTGTGTTTTCCAGATGAAGAAACAGAGTCATAGAGAGGTGAAGTGACTTGCCTAAGGTCACATACCTATAAAGGCTAAAGAAATATTCAGGATGTATGATTTGATCTTAGGTCCTTTTTAAAAAAAACAAAAAACAAAACAACCTTTTTTTATTTTTGAAACTATTACAGATATCTCCCCCTCCCCTTTACCCCACTCTTCCCAGTCCCTACTCACTCCCCCATGTCATCACTACCCTATTGCTTGTGTCCATGGGCTATGCATATAAGTATATATAAGTTCTTTGGTTTATCTCTTTGGGCCCAGAACCTACATTTATAACTGTTATGGTTTGAAGGATGATAATCCTAGTTAAAGGCTTTCTTTTTTCTTCTTTTGCACCTATGGACCCTTAATGGACTCAGTTTGGTGTTTTTTTCCCTCCAATGTCTTACAGATATAATTCTGTAAAATTGGAGACTATAAAAACACCCATGTATGCACTGCTGCATTATTATTTAGACAGACTGCCCCCTTCCTGCCATCTCATTTTGGAAACATTCTTCTGGGATAAAGCTGTTAAATGCTTTAAAAAATAATTCTCTTTTATTCTAGATGAAAGAACGAGCAATCCAAACACTGGGATATTTTCCAGTTGGGGATGGAGATTTTCCTCATCAGAAACTCCTCTTGCAAGGTCTGATGGATTCTGTGGAGGTATTTATATTGCTTTCTGATTATTAGTCATTCAAACACAAGGCATGCTGTGAGATTTTAAATTAAACTTGTATTTATTTATTCACCAAGTACTTACTGAGTGCCAGCCTTGGGCTCATCACGATGATTGGCATAGCATTGACTAAATCACTTAGTGGGAAAGTCCTTTTCTCATAATTTTTGAGTAAAGCATGGTGCAGTGTGGGTAGGAGGGAAATCTACCCAGTTGCTTAGATGTGGGGAGTGGGTGCTGCTATTCCAGTTGCTCTTGCATCTGATGACTTAGCTCTGTCCTCCAGTGTAGTGAGGACCTGCCATTTGACAGCTGCTGGCCCAGTGTGATGAGGGTCTAAGTGCAGCCCTATCTGGCCCCTGATCCAGCCTCAATTCTTGTCACTCACTCACATTTGTATACACTAGCCTCTGCTTCCTTTGCCCTTAGCTTTTGAAAGGCCCATACTTCTTTCTTGGGTTGTTGCTGTGCCCCTTGAAAAGCCTGCCCTGACCCTTCAAGCTAGAGTACATAGTTCTTCAGTTATCTATGCTGTCATGACCCTCCATTCTTCTTCACAGCATTTATCACTGTCTCTAATTGCTCACTAGACTGAAGGCAAAGTCTGTTTTGCTCCTCATTATAAAACAACACAAAAGTAAAGAGATAATATCATGAGTCCCCATGTGCCTATTTTTACTTCTTTTATTTATTTCTTTATTTCTGGACTACTTAAGGCATTATAGATAGCATATCATTCATAAATGGAGATAAGGGTTTTGTTTTTGTTTGTAATGCCAACTTTGTTGTTACTAACAATCGGAAACATGTAGAAAATAGGCACATTAAACGAACCCCTAATATAGGATTCTCTGTGTTGAAATACATTTTTCTCAGGGATGGAAGCCCTTAAATCCTTTTTTCTCAGAATAGGAATCATGTGATACCAGCATTTGACACCTCATTTGGTTGATTGAGCTTAGGAATGGCTAAACTGTTGTCGTAGGTATGCCTTGTACAGCTCTCCACAAAGGTTAATATTCCCATATCACTCCTACTTTCTGTTCTTTATTATCTTATTTCTTCATTTTTCCATTTCTTTCAATTCATGGTATACAATGCCAAAAGGAACTGAGATCCAGTTTTGTGCTAAGTCAGTGCTCGTAATTGTGCCAAAATTTCAAAATCAAATTAAAAAATTCCTGAAAATAATTTTTCTAACATTTGATTTTTGAAATAATTTCAAACTAACAGCATAGTTGTAAGGATAGTATGAAGAACTTCTTTATACCCTTTATCCAGGGTTACCAATTTTAACATTTTACCACATATATTTTATTATTCTATATTTTTTTAAGAAACCATTTAGAATAACTTGTAGATATCATGTAACTTGTGATTGAAAAGAGTTGTTAGTAAATTATAGTGGTTGCTATTGTAGTGCAGTTATTACAAATCAGGTATCCACCAGAAGTTTTCTGTACATTCACCTCATTTAATCCTTCCAGCCTGATGAGGTGGGTGTTATGCTCATCTATATATATAAAAGCCTAAGCGACCGAATGACCAGTCGACTAGTCGCTATGACGCACACTGACCACCAGGGGGCAGACACTCAATGCAGGAGCTGCCCCCTGGTGGTCAGTGCACTCCAGCAGTGGGAGTGCTGCTCAGCTGACCCATCCATCCTGGCAGCCCACCCGGTGGCAGCCACTCCCTCCCTCAGTAGTCCTGCAGGTTCAATCTCTGGAGAATGGGCCAGGCACCAATGGACTGGCGCCACCAGCATGATCCTGACAGCTCTGCTGGCTTCCTGGAAGTCGGCCTTGGGCACCGTGGTCACTTCCCCTCCCTAGACTCAGCAAGGAAAAAACGATATAAAAGTGGCCGCCAGGTGGTTCCCAACAACTGGTGCAAGTGTCAGCAGGACAGATTTGGATCCCGTGCTGGTAAGGGCATCCCATCGCCCACTCCGAGGGCTGATCGTGTCCCAGCCCATTCCCCCCCGCCAACCCTGTGATGGGTGCCAGATGCAGGGCTCATGGCTGGCAAGTGCTGCCTCTCCCAATCAGGACTGACGGCGTGACCCCGAGGCAGATGGAGGGGGGCCAGGATGAACAGGAGCTGCAGGCAGGAGTGGCAGGCGGTGTTGGACTGCCAGTTTTGGCCCAATCCCCGCAGGCCAGCCGAGGGACCCCACCCATGCACGAATTTGTGCATCGGGCCTCTAGTATTACATATAACCAGTTGAGGCTCAATTTAAATAAGAGTAGGAAGCTGGTGAGAGACAGAGCTAGAATTTGCACTGAGATCTGTGTGGCTTCTAAGTCCATGCCCTTCCCCCCAGGTTAATGGTATCATGCTTCCAAAGATTAAAAATCATTGTCGCCCTGGCCAGTTTGGCTCAGTGGATAGAGCGTCGGCCTGTGGACTGAAGGGTCTCAGGTTCGATTCCGGTCAAGGTCATGTACCTTGGTTGCGGGCACATCCCCAGTGGGGGGTGTGCAAGAGGCAGCTGATCGATGTTTCTCTCTCATCGATGTTTCTAACTCTCTATTCCTCTCCCTTCCTCTCTGTAAAAAATCAATAAAATATATTTTAAAAAAAATCATTGTGTCATGGTTCCCTACGGAGGGTGAGGAGAGGAGTGCAACATGGACTTGGAAAAAGATCTCTAAGTCATCTTACCTTCTCCATTCCTTCACTTTACCTCACTTTTGAACCACCTGTGTTAGCTGAAAGCAGTCCAGGCAAAAGAGAGAAATGGTATTCAGTAGCCTTTCCATAAAATGAATGCTACTGGGAAATGTTCTCTCTGATTCATGGCATTTGTTTCCTTCATTGCAGGCCAAGCAGATTGAACTTCAGTTCACTATCGGTGAGGCCATTACCAGTGCTGCAATAGGAACCAGCTCTGTGGCTGCCCGGGATGCCTGGCTGGTGACTGAGGAAGAGTACTCCCCTCCTGCTGGTACCAAATATTTAGCAAATTGATCTGTAATCCCCAAGTAACCCTTTTCTGTTCTCTTTATCCACATTTGAAGCTAAAGAAAAATGTATACATTCTATTTTAACTCTTCTTTACATACTTATATCTGTCTTAGTTTGGTTTAGTCAAGAGAAATAGTTGGTTAAAGGAGAGTGAGCATGTCATGAATTAGAACTCCTTTTTTAGTCTTTTGGCAAGCAAGCAGGGAGTTAGGTGTGGGTACCTTGTGCTCTTTTCATGAGGATTGGTGTATTTTGCCAATTTTATAAGTGTAGGCATAGCAGTTTCCCAATGATGTATTCCCTAACCCTTTATCACATAACTAGAGGCCCGGTGCATGAATTTGTGCATGGGTGGGGTCCCTAGGCCTGGACAGCGATCAGGGCCGATCAGGGGGGCTGGGCGGCCCAGGGGAAGGGACCATGGGAGGTTGGCTGGCCATGGGGAGGGAACATAGGAGTTTGGTCAGCTGGAGGGACTACAAGAGGTTGGCCGGCGGGGGGAGAGACTGTGGGAGGTTGGCTTTTGGAGTGCACTGACCACCAGGGGGCAGCTCCTGTGTTGAGTGTCTGCCCCCTGGTGGTCAGTGCACATCATAGCAACCGGTTGGCTGGTTGTTTGGTCGTTCGGTCATTTGGTCGTTAGGTCGTTAGGTTGTTGGGTCGCTTAGGCTTTTATATATATAGATGAGGCTTCAGTGTCTTCTGCTCACCCTCCAGCTGCCTCTGTGCTAGAAGAAGGGAGTTATTACTTACGCTGGGGAAGGCTGTGGGAGATACATTTTTGTAGAGTGGTGGTGGGAGGGAGCAGGGAAAATTGCCTCACTGGCTCTTGTTCCTCCACACTCCTCCTGGTCTGTGTTGGAATGCCCCAAGTCACTTGCAGGTGAGCTGGGGCTAATGACTTCATGGACAGACCTAGAAGACAATTGGATGTATGAGTGTGGATTGTTGAAGAGTTCCAGGTTGGAAATCTGGGAGGGTCGTGTAGAGATAGTAGTTGAGGCCATGAACTTCGACATGATCACCAAGGGAGTGAGTAGAAAAGAGTTCAACAAAAGAGCCCTGGGTTCCCCAGAGTTTCAGGTTTTGGTAGTTTAGAATAAGCCAGGGAAGGACAGGTAAAAAAGGAGCACTCTGAAAAGGCGTCCTGGAAGTGAAGTAAAGAAAATCTATGAACAGGCGTGTGGTGGGGTGGGGTGGGGATCAACTGGGCATATATACTGCTGATAGATCAGTTAAGCTGAGAAGCAAAAAGTCATTGAAGTTAGCAACAGGGCGGTTATTGTTGACTTTTACGAGTAATTTCTGTGGAGTGGAGAAGGTAAAAGCCTCATTTTTGAGTGGGTTCAGGAAAAAAATAAGAGGAGAGAAATATAGAGCATGAGTACAGATAACTATTTTGAAATGTTTTGATGTAAAGCAGTGGTTCTCGACTAGGAGAGGGAGCTTTTGCCCCACAAGGGACATTTGGAAATGTCCGGGCACTGGAGAGCGTCAGTGCGCTGGTCTCCAGTAGGTGGAGGCCCCGGATGCTGCTAAACCTTACGGTGCACAGGACCGCGCCCACAACAAACTGTCCCGCCCCCAGTGGCAGTGGTGGTGAGGGTGAGGGACCCTGAGGAAGTACAGGAAAGGAGAAAGGTAGTAGAGCAGCTGGAGAGGAAAGCGAAGTCAAAAGAGGTTGGTTTGTGTGTTAGTTTCTAGATGGGGGTGGGGACGATATAATAGAGAAAGAAAAAGGCTGGACAGGAGAGGGGGGATAATTTTTTTCTAAATATTTTTTTTTAAAGAGAAGTTTTAGGTTCACAACAAAATTAATAGGAAGGTAAGGATGTTTCCTGTATACCCACTGCCTCTACACATGTAGAATTTCCTCCATTATGGGGATACTTTTTCATTCTAAGGGACTAAACCTGAATACCTTTGAAAGGTTATTTAGCTTATGCTAGGTTTTGACATGAATGATTATCAGTTCCTTCAGCAATTTATTTAAACACCTTAGTCACGTAAATTTTAATATTACAGGATTATTATATTGAGTAAATTGATTAAAATTTAACTTTTTCAGGAAACTCTTTGGTTATTTTAATTTCTTTTCATCATTCTTTGTTTCCCCCACAGGAGCCAAAGTGAATGATGTGGTTCCCTGGGTGTTGGATGTGATTTTAAATAAACATATCACCAGCCCTAATCCACACGTGAGGCAGGCAGCCTGCATCTGGCTTCTTTCCCTTGTGAGGAAGCTGAGTACCCATAGAGAAGTGAAGGTAAGCCATGCTGTAAATGCGATCAGCTCTACTGGGGAAGCCGCTATGAAATCTTAATAATTGAAGGGTAGTAGGAAGGAAAGTGTAAGAAGGTGAGGCAATCTGAGGTAAGGGCCATTAACCGATAACAGATATTTTGACATAAACTGTACGTGAAGGAATGAAGGATGGCAGCTGATACCTATTGGCTGGAAGATGATTCTAAACAGAAGGCACACACCAGAATGGTGAGGATGTGGAGGCTCAGACTGTGTGCATTAGACTACCTGTAGGCGGTCCCACCTTCAGTAGTTTGGCCACCCTCCTAGAGGAGAGCATTGCAGGGCTCGCGACTGCCGTGGGTCCTCAGATCTTACAGGTGTTGTGTATCCTGAGAGGAAGATTCTTATTCTCCTATAGAGGAGGAGTTTCACTTTTCTCAGTGCCTCTTTTCTTCTTTCAGTCTCATCTTAAAGAAATTCAGAGCGCATTTGTGTCCGTTTTGTCAGAAAATGATGGTAGGTTATTGGTAAATATTTGATTTCCAAACATCATTAAACTTATATTTCAAATTTTGAAAAAAAATCTGTTAGTGAAATAGGGGTACAGGAAACTTGATTCTTATTTACTTATTTTCTAATTAAATCATGTTCTTCAGTTTTGCATTTAAAAATGGAGCTGATGCCGTCTTTAACATTAGCCCTTCTACTAAATAATAGCTTTCTTCTACTTCTGATTCCTTTCCTCTTTATGATCTAGGCCAGGAGAGAGCGAATGTATATGTGATGGGCATTTAAATAGTAGCTTCACTTTATAACTTGTTTTAAACATATGGTCTTGTGTTGACTTTTCATTAAAAACAATTGGATGTGGGAATACTGGAATTCCGCGAGGTGTCAGCCTCTCACATGTGTGACTTGGGTCCATTGATCCTCTGAGGCCCAGCAGTCTTGACTTGGTTTGTGGGTTGGATTTACTGTGAATGTAGTCCTCAGTACAGGGACTTTTTGGGGCCATGTCCACTGAGGTGGTTTAGTACATGTTTAATAAAATAGGCAGATTGATTCTAGTCTCATATCTTTACTTTGATATCCCTTTGGATTAATGCTACAAGTTTTTTAAAATTTCAACTTGATGGCCAGTAGACAAATTTTTCTTAAAGTAATATTATTTTGTCTGATTTCTGTGTAGAACTTAGCCAAGATGTTGCTTCAAAAGGCCTTGGGTTGGTGTATGAACTGGGCAATGAACAAGATCAACAGGAATTGGTTTCTACACTCGTAGAAACACTTATGACTGGCAAAAGGTACAGTGAACTTGAAAATTTCGGGTTTGAACGCATAAGACAAGTTTTGCACATACTAAGAACATGCTTGGAAGAAGGAAAATTCAACTTTTTATATTTCTGTTTGTTAAGTCTTTTCTAAATGGAAAGTCAGTGATTGCTGTGCTGTGGATAGCAGCTTAATTACTGTCTAGAAAGTAAACTAAACTACTATTTGGAAGCATGCCAGTAGGTCAGATTTTGAAAACTGAATGATCTCAGGATAGTTAAAGCATTGGGTTACAAAAACACTATAATTACTGTTGGCTAAATGAAAACGATGACATGGCAAGGATGCTTGCACATCACTCAGAGTCTGATCTGTGAAGAGTATGAGAGAGGATATCCTTCTCGTAATTTAATTGGTTGCTGCTTTATATTTTTTCCTTGTAGGAAGGGTAGTTTTTTTTTGTTTTTTTTAAAAATATATTTTATTGATATTTTACAGAGAGGAAGGGAGAGAGATAGAGAGTCAGAAACATCGATGAGAGAGAAACATCGATCAGCTGCCTCCTGCACATCTCCTACTGGAGATGTGCCCACAACCCAGGTACATGCCCTTGACCGGAATTGAACCTGGGACCTTTCAGTCCGCAGGCCGACGCTCTATCCACTGAGCCAAACCGGTTTTGGCGGAAGGGTAGTTTTTAATATAAGACAGCATTTAATTCAGTGTATTTATATGGGATGCTCTTTTATATTGGAGTCTATTTATTTCTTCTAGACTTCATTTTATAAAACTCTCAGGCTGATGGAAAGGAATAGTCGACTGTTAAATCTTGTACTTGGTAGCTACTTGACGGAATTTTATCAGTTTGGGAATAAAATGTATCACTTAGTTGAATGCTGGTATGAAAAATTTGAGTCTAATATAAATTTTTAATGTTGTTTTGGTTTAGAATTAAACATGAAGTTTCTGGAGAGACAGTGGTATTTCAAGGGGGAGGTCTTGGCAAAACACCTGATGGGTAAGTGTGTCCAATCCATGGATCAGTCCTGTAGACATCTTCAGTTTGGTAAATAGAGCACTCATGAAATTTATTTCCACCCTCCTAGACAATGTGTGTTAGTGGAAGGAGAAAACTTCTATGGAGAAAAACCTAATGTTGTAGGTTGGGTTTCCTGGGAAACCGCCTCTGAGATGGAGATTTGTATGCTGGAGGTTTATTGAAGAACGTCTGGGGCCATCACCCGGGGAGCGGGGCGTGGGGGGGAGCGTGAGGAAGCAGGATAGGGCCAGCACTGAAGCAGATACTGACCTCGCCAGGAGCTCTGGAGCTGGCCTTGGGTGGCCCTTTAGACTTTTCCTGCTTTGAGGATCCAGGCTTTACAACCCTTCATTCAGCCTGACCTTGAATTGAAGGAAGTTCTGTCAGCTCCCAGCCAGTGAATCCTGCAGGGGGAGGAAAATCTGGCTGCATAGTTGGGGATCCACTGCACTTGGTTTGGGGGGTTGTGGGGGGGGGGGCTGGGAGGACTCGACTTGGTCGGTGTCTTGAAGCTCACCAATTTAGCATTTCAAATAATTCCTAGAGCCCTCCCTCTTTTATCTTATATTATTCCATTGTGGCTACACTGTTGCTTTTCCTCTAAAAATGCTCAGGGAAAATTGCAGATTTGGCTGTGTGCTGCCTGCAGCATTAGAAAGCAGCATTGGCTCTTGCTGAGGTGCTCCCTTAGCTCATTGCTTTCAGTGGAGAGTTGTTCCCATTTACTTACTCTCCCTGGTTATTAAAAAGTACTTGCTTTTCACAAAGTAACTAACCCAAGTGATCAGTTATTTGAGCAAATATTACTTGTTCAGAGGAAAATGAACAGGAATCAAGATGTTATTACCAAGCTGTGTGCTCTAGCTGGAAAAGTCTTCGGGAAGACGGAAGTTATCTTCAAGTCAGTCTCATGATGGTGAGAGAGATTCATGCACAATATAATGAAGGGTCACCGAGCTGCCTCCCAAAGTGGTGAGAGCTCTACCTCCATGAGAGTTGCAGGGGTGCTGAGGTCATTTACCAGGCATTGGCGATATTGGATTAGGTGACTCTTTATATTCTCTTCTGTCTGGTTCTCTGCCCTCTGCAGTGATGAGGTAATGCAATATTGGAAATTTAGTAAAAACATAATTTTAAGATGTCCTAGTAATATTGGTAATGTAATTTTCATTCGGTCAGAGATAGAGCAATACATTATTATATACTTTCTGTTTGTTTTCAAGACAGGGCCTTTCTACTTACAAGGAGCTTTGTTCTCTGGCCAGTGATCTTAGTCAGCCAGACCTGGTGTATAAATTTATGAATTTGGCAAACCATCATGCAATGTGGAACTCAAGGAAGGTAAGTTACTATTACTGGACAGTTTATTTTTTTTCCCCTGCAATGCCAAATCTGTTAAATTGGTGGGCAGTGGCAATTGATATGCAGTATGTTTTATAAAAGTCTGTGATTAGAGAGAGCCAGACCACCACATGGCTGCTGTTATTGATTGGTAAAGCTGGGACACCCAATAAAATCAGGCTCAATTCAGGGGCAAGTTTGGGAGGGAGAATTTTGTGATCTTCATATACTGAATATGTTAATATTTTACTGCAGCAGGTGTATCTGATCCGCTTCATCGTATCTTTTCAGGGTGCCGCTTTTGGTTTTAATGTAATTGCTACCAAAGCTGGAGAACAGCTGGCTCCTTTTCTGCCTCAGCTAGTTCCTCGTCTCTATCGTTACCAGTTTGATCCCAACCTTGGCATCAGACAGGCCATGACAAGTATTTGGAATGCACTGGTCACTGACAAAACAACGGCAAGTATCTCTGACTTCTTGTCTAAGATTATGTACAGGATTTGAACCCGGTGCCCATCTTCCTTTCTTACTTTTTATACTTATTTATTTAAACAAATACAAATTCTTTTATTTCTTGTTTGCTTTCTTCTTTCAAAGTATTGAATATACCCATGACAACATTTATTTAAGTTGCAAAAATGGAAATAATCTAAATGTCCACTGGGTGGCCGGGTAAAAAAATGATGGTATATTCATACAAGTGGAATACTACATATCCATAGGTTCTGTTGATGCAATGGAGAACAGGCCATGGTTCCCACATTCAGGGAGTTGACTTAGTTGAGGAGATAGACAAGGAAGCAGGCAATTACTGTGTGTGGTCTTTCTCTCTCAGTTTTCTGTCATCTGGCTGCTTCTCATATTCTGTTCCACTCCTAGATATTAGGACTTCTCCACTCCAGGCTTGCCTCTGAGTACCTTTTACTCTCTCAGCTTTATCATTCTAGATGAGCTCATCACTTCAAGGGCATTTATTGTGATGATTCCCAATCTTATATTTTTGGCCCAGACAAGACTTGTGCTCTGACTTGCATATCTTTTTTTTTTTTTTTTTTTTTTTTTTTAATATATTTTATTGCCGAAACCGGTTTGGCTCAGTGGATAGAGCGTCGGCCTGCGGACTGAAGGGTCCTGGGTTCGATTCCGGTCAAGGGCATGTACCTGGGTTGCGGGCACATCCCCAGTGGGAGATGTGCAGGAGGCGGCTGATCGATGTTTCTCTCCCATCGATGTTTCTGGCTCTCTATCTCTCTCTCCCTTCCTCTCTGTGAAAAATCAATAAAATATATTTTAAAAAAAAAAATATATTTTATTGATTTTCTACAGAGAGGAAGGGAGAGAGACAGAGAGTCAGAAACATCGATGAGAGAGAAACATCGATCAGCCGCCTCCTGCACACCCCCCACTGGGGATGTGCCCGCAACCCAGGCACATGCCCCCGACCGGAATCGAACCCGGGACCCTTCAGTCCGCAGGCCGACGCTCTATCCACTGAGCCAAACCGGTTCTGGCCTGACTTGCATATCTTATTGCTGCTTGACATCTTAAGTTGGGTGTTATTTCACAATACCTTAGACATAGCATGTCTAGAATAGGGCTTGGAGAAAAACAGTGTTCCGCCCTGGCTGGTGTGGCTCAGTTGGGAAAGGTTGCCGGTTCGATTTCCTGTCAGGGCACATACCCAGGTTTCAGGTTTGATCCCTGGTCAGGGTGCTAATGGGAGGCAACCAGTCGATTTTTTTCTTTCTCTCTCCCTCTCCCTTCCTCTCTTTATAAAAATCAATAAAAACATATTTTAAAACAACCTTCCCCATCTGTTCTCAGTGTTCATCCATTTACCCAAGCCAGGAAACTTGCTGTCATCCTTAATTTTGTCTGTCTTACCCCCATCCCCATTTGAATCCAGTGGCACATTCTGTTGATTCTGCTTCTAGAGTGTTCCTTGAATCCATTCTCTTCTTTTCTTTAGTTTTTCCTTGTGAACAGGTTGTCATCTTTCTCTTTGCCTTCCTTCATTTAATTATCATTAGTAAAAGTGATTTTTTTAAAAATGCAAACCGGTTTGTGCCGTTTTGGGTTAAAATCCTTTAGTGACTTCATAGTTCACTTTAAATAAATTCCATGATCCTTATTACAGTCCCTGCACATGATGTGGCCCTTTCCTCTCCCTTCAGTCTGATAATAGGTTGAGTGTGTTTCTTTTCATGGTGGTAGGTACTTAGGGGTCAGCTCGAAGGATTGATGAGTTTCATTTGCTCTATGAGATTATTTGGTACCATTGGGCAGTCAAGATCTAATAGGCCAGTTGGCTTTATAGATCTGAGTTCAGGGCATGAGGCCTAAGCTCTGAGTGAGTATCATCTTTGTATGAGTGAAAGTGAAGCCACAAGTGTGGATGAGATCCCTGTGGAGAATGTTTAGAGAAGTGGACATTGAAAGACATCCTGTTGTTAAATCTTAGGTGAGCTATTTACTTCTCTTGGTTTTCTTACATGTACGTGAGGTTAAAACCCTCTACAAGAGTGGAGGTGGAGAAGCTGTAAGTTTTGAGGTTCTCTGGATCAGCACAGAATCAGTCTGGCATCAGTTTGTATTACCAAATTGATGTGTATATCAAAACAAAACAGGCTTGAGAGATTAAATTCATCTTTGATTCTGAGTATTTATAGCACTTCTTTCTGTGCTAGACTCTGTGCAAAGTGCCAGGGACGCAAAGACAACTGAGACACTGTCCCTGCCCCCAAGGTCTCAGTGTGATGGAGCAGTACAGCTAGGAGGACTGATTTGTGCTTGAGAAGGTACTGTGGGAACAGAGGTAGAGCAGGCCGGTCTTTTCTGTGAAGGTGTTGCCTGATTTGAATCTTGAAGGACAAGTGTGAGTTAGTTAAGCAAGTAGGGGATGGAAGGTAGAGTAGTATGTGCCAAGACTTGGAGGTGAGATGGAATATGAGACGTTTGGCATTAGATGGACCACAGAGGGTTTTATATTTATGTCCAGGTGATTGGACTTTATTCTCATGCACTAAGGAAATAAGAGGATCAAGTTTGCATTTTAAAATGCTCAGTCCAACAGCTTTTAGTAACTGAAGTGGGGAAAGAATTGTAGGCTAAGAGGTCTAGAGACATACTTACTAGGCTGTTACATACAGAAACATGGTCAGGCCTGGCAGGTCTGGTTCAGTAGTTAAGCATCGACCTATGAATCTGGAGGTCATGGTTCCATTTCTAGTCAGCGTACATACCTGGGTTGTGGGCTTAATCTCCAGTAGCGGGGTGCAGGAGGCAGCTGATCCATTATTCTCTCTCATCATTGATGCTTCTCTCTCTCTCTCTCTCTCTCTCTCTCTCTCTCTCTCTCTCTCTCTCTCTCTCCCCCTCCCTCCCTCCCCCTCGCCCTCGCCCTCGCCCTCTCTGAAATAAAAAATATATATTTAAAAAAAAAAACCATGGTCAGGTGGTTAGAGATGAATAATTTGATTATTGATAGAATTCACATTTTTTATTTTATCCTTTTGCTTTCCCTAGGTGGATAAGTACTTGAAGGAAATTCTTCAAGATTTGATAAAGAACCTTACCAGCAGTATGTGGCGAGTTCGAGAATCCAGGTACAATTTTTGGAAATAACAAGACTAGTTAAATGCAACTGAATTTTTCTCTTGACGTTTTTAAGTTTTATACTTTGGGCCAAAGGAGTAAATTAAAGCTTCTTTAAAAATATATTTCTGGTTGGGTTAGGCAGTTATTGATATTTAACTATTTAACTCTGGTCAGTGGTTTTCTTAAGATGTCTTAGTTTTTATAAGTATGAAATTAAAGAAGTATTAGATCATTTGTTAAATTGGTAGGCATCAAGATATATTTATATACTCTCATGACTTTGTTAGGGGAGGATTTATGTACACATGTTAATTTATATTTATTAAGTGCCTGCTATATGCTTGGCAGAGTGCTAAGTACACTGGTAAGTAAAAAATGATGTATCATCTCGAAGAGATTGTATTATAGTTGTGGGAAACAGACATTGGATGACTGTAAATGCCATATGTCTGTGGTATATTTGAGTCACCAAAGAGAAACTGGTCATTGCTGTCTTGAGGTGGGGTAGAGTAAGGACTAGAAATACAGGCAGAATGCATATTCTTTTTTGATACGAATGTTTCAGAGTAAAATTTTGAGCTTTCTTGATCATGTATTTGAAACCAAATTGTTTATTTTCAGCTGTTTAGCTCTGAATGACTTACTGAGAGGAAGACCCCTAGATGACATCATTGATAAACTTCCAGAAATTTGGGAAACTCTTTTTAGAGTACAAGATGACATAAAGGTAAAATCTGCCTTTATTTATAGAATAGCTTAAACTGAAATTGTTAAAATATGTATAATTATATATTTAAAAATTCAATATCCAGACTATTTTTAAAGACTGCAAGTTCTTCCCATATTTCCTGGGAAATCTAAATTTTAGATATTTTGATATTTTACCATTAAAATTAGGCATTTCAGCCTGGCTTGTGTGGCTCAGTAGTGGAACATCGACCCATGACCCAGATATAAACTGAATTGACTTTTTAAAAAAGATGGCCATTGCTTGAGCTTCTTTTAATAGAGATCTCATGATGCTATTGATTAGGGACAAATAAGAGTTTAGAAGTGATGCAGAATAACTCTACTTTGATAAGTTTCATAAATTGGATCAGCCATTCCCAAATGGCATGACCAGTTCCTCTGCATTTTTCCTGGGAAATCTAAATTTTAGATATTTTGATATTTTACCATTAAAATTAGGAATTTCAGCCTGGCTTGTGTGGCTCAGTAGTGGAGCATCGACCCATGACCCAGGAGGTCACTGTTCAAATCCTGGTCACATGCCTGGGTTGTGGGCTCAATCCCCAGTAGAGGGCATGCAGGAGGTAGCCGATCAGTGATCCTCTTTCATCATTGATGTTTAATTCTTCTCCTCCTCTCCCTTTCTTTCTTTTAAATCAATAAAAACATGTTTATTTTTAAAAAAGGCATTTCAGTTTTGCCTTTCTTTCTGTCTATTCATTAGAGATATTTTAAAAGTTTTTTAGAATCCTCATAGAGATCTTTAAGTTTGTTTTTATAATATATTTAGTTTCTAAACTGTTATATTTAATAGCCATATTGTTGTAAGGTCAAAATAGATCATACCTAATTTTTAAAAAAAGTATATATGGCATGGAAATATGTTTCTTGATGGGCAAAGAGCCTAAAGAGGCACTGTTCTTTGCCTAGAATTGAAGTAGGACTTTTCACACTAACCTGTGTAGACCTAGAGGCAGTTATTATGCATTGTGGAAGGAAACTAACTTTTATGATGCCAAACTTTTCTCTTTTTTAGGAATCTGTACGAAAAGCAGCAGAACTAGCTCTGAAAACCCTGAGCAAGGTAAGAATTCTTATCTTATATGGGGGGATGAAATGGGGCAGGGTTCTAGTGACTTAGCAGAACCATAATAATGACTTATTTTTTAATCAGATAAAATGACATTTAATTGCAGTGTAATTGGTGTCATGTTATAGTTCACTGTTCTTACAATGAATGTGAAGCTGGGTGCTATTACACTAGAACACCTATTAGTATATCTCGCTGGTCTTTTTAAATGGTGAGCTTTTTTTGGTTTTTATATAAAGTCTGACTTTTATTTGACCGTGAAGAGCATGTTACTCATTTAGATTAAGCAACATCTGTCTTTTCTCCTTACTATTGCTGTGTTTATATGTTAATCTGCCTTTCATTTTTATGAGGTTGGCAAGCTCTTTGAAACTAGTTTCCCACTTGAACTTGATTTTATGGTATATCAGAGATTAATACATTCTGGGTCATGTTGTTAAATATTTTCTTAGAAATTTTCTCATTTTATCTTTAGTGGTTTCCTATTTCACAAATTGGAAGGCCAAAGCTTAGAAAATAAAGTACATTACCAAATTTTCCATTTAGTTATTACAGACATAGGACTCAATCCCAGTTCTCCTTCTTTTTCTTTCTGTAGTGTCATAGACAGTGGATTCACTCATCCTTTTCTATGGATGTGGGAAGTAGGAAGTGTTGGGTGAGAGGTCAGTTTCACTAATTTCCATACTCTTTGTGTGTGAGGTTTGTGTGAAAATGTGTGACCCTGCCAAAGGAGCAGCTGGCCAGAGAACCATCGCTGCCCTTCTGCCTTGCCTTCTGGACAAAGGAATGATGAGTCCCGTGACAGAAGTTCGAGCCCTCAGGTGTGACTCAGTTGATGAAATGAATATACTGGATTTACTTAGTTCTGTGAATGTTTCGATTTGAAAGTGTGGAAAATGAGATGAGGAAAACCCAAGGTAACCCAAGAAAGAGCATTTATTAAAAAGCCTAGAATATATTTGCAAAAATATTCTCTTGGGAACCTTGCTTTTGACGAGCATTTTGCCATTTGGCCTCACCCTTGAGAAGAGTGTTTTTTAAAAATTTTCATTGGCCTCTGTGCCCAGCAAGCACATTTTCCTGTTAGGCCATGAGTCCTTGGGAGCTTGCTTGCTGGTTGTACCATCTAGTAATATTGCAGAGCTTACTAGTTTTAAAATAAACTTTACCACTTGCAGTAATTAAATATTAAAAGAATACACTCACATTTAGATACATATGGCCATTTTAAGTTGAAGTTAACAGAATGATTCTAGTTTGTATTTTTTGGTTTATTTTTAAACTAGAATACTATTTAGGAACTTTATTCCATTTTTATTTCACTCTTAAAATTGGACCAAATTGATAGTACCGGCAGTATTTCATAGTTGATGAGGCAAAGTTCTTTTAGGAGTGATAAAATTAGGACGTCATCATTTTGCTGTCCTCGGTGAAATAATCTAGGTATTGATTTTTTGTGGCTTCCAAATCCACTGGTAAAAGGCTGATGGGGAACTTTATAATGGATGGTTCAGTCTAACCAAACTGGAATTCACCATCACTCTTAACAGCACAAACAAGGAGCAGACATGTGCTTGTGATGTGCTGGGACAGGACACGTAAACAACACCTATGAAAGATTCTGTTTTAAAAAAATTGAACCTGAACTTGATTGAGCCTGCAGATCTACGTAAGAGACAGAGGAACATGTTAAGTGACACCATCAGGATATAGTCTATGCGGACAAATAAATTATTTAGAAACAGAGAAGGGAATCTACTATTAAAAAGATTCAAGAACTGTAGCAAATTGCCACGTGTGGATGGGCCCTGGGTTTGATTTCAACAAACTTAAACACAGTTGTGAAACAGGGGAGTTTGGATATTAGGTGATATGAAAAAAATTATTAATATTTTTGAGTGTGAATTGCTGTTTTGATTAAGATTAAAGTGTCCTTGCCTGTTTGTGATACATACTGAAGTTTAGTTAGAGAATATGCTTCAAAATAATACAGTGGCAGGGGAAAGAGTATGTCTGTGTGTATTATGGTAGAGGTGTAAATGAAGTAAAGTTGGCCAAAGATTGCCAATTGTTGATCTGGGTGGAGAATACATAGAATTTAACTTACAATTTTCTCTACTTTCATATATGTGTGAAAATATGTATAATACAAAGTAAAAGCAAAAAATAGAGTAAGACCAGGATCTATAACCAACTGAGTATATTCTTAAATGCAATACACTGCAAAACATCCCCATGATTAGATTTGTAGGGCTTATTATTAGTATTGTTAAAAGGACTGTGTTTTCTGTGTGTCTATAGCATTAACACTCTTGTGAAGATCAGCAAAAGTGCAGGAGCCATGTTGAAACCACATGCACCAAAACTCATCCCAGCTCTGCTAGAATCCTTAAGTGTATTGGAACCCCAGGTTCTCAATTATTTGAGTCTCCGGGCTACAGACCAAGAAAAGGTGAGTTGACAACACAGGTGTTTAGGTAAGTGTCGTGAAAGAGGAGCCCTGTGAAGGTCTGGGGCCCATCTGAACAGCCCTTCCATTGTCCTTAGACAAACTGCATGCCTTGAATGGTACTTTCACCACTCTTGATACAGCTCAGTCACTGTAACCGCAGGGATGCCCTTTTTCAGGGTGGGTAGGGAAAGGGCTCATATGCTGTTCTGTGAGTCAGATGAAAATGACACTTCCATCCAAAAAATGCATTAACATTTATTTAACACAGTTTTTGTCCATTTTTTAAATTTTTTTAGGGGTTGGGTCTATACTCTCAGAATCCTTTTATGGGTCACTCACTCCTACCCTACAAGTAAAGAGAATTTGTATCTAGACTTTGGCATAGTCTAAAATTACTCTGCTTTTGAGATATACTGAGATTTTAAAAAATTAGAGTTTCTAAATATTACAGATGAAACATATTTATTATGAAAAATGAAAACTATACAAAGAATATAAAGTAATTCCTGGGAGTCTTCTTTCCCCTACGAGCACAGTATATTTCCTGAGGAGTACCCATTGTTGACAGTTTCCTGTGTCTTAAAATTCTTTTGTAGTCATAGGCTATAAAACCAAACATACTAATCTTAAAATAGAATCAGACTATGAATGTTATTCTGTAGCTTGCTTTTTGTAACTAACAAGATACCATGTTTGTTGATATCGATCTATTAACATTCTTTTTAATTCATGCCTCATATTCCACAATGAGACGATTTTGAGTTTTTGTAGGAGAGATTTTGTGGCATCAAACATTATGAATGTTCTATTTCCTCCATATCTTAAAGCCAACATTGAATGATATCAATCTGATAAGCAAGAATCATTGTTCTAATTTACACTTTCTGATTATTAGTGTTGTCCATTTTCTTTTCATACTATATTAGCTATTTTTATTTTTTCTATGAATTGTGTGTTTCTATTCCATGCCTGTTTTTGTACTTGACTTACTTATGTTTTTCCATTTGTCTTTATTTATTAGGACAGAGTGCCATGTAGATTGTAAATGTTTTTTCTCAGTTGACTATTTGATTTTTAACTTACCTATGCTATGTAATAACTTACTGTCTTTTCCCTGGATCTCTAATACTGTTGTTTCTTCTCCATTCTTTTAGCAGTAGTCTTGCCCCTTCCCAACCTTCTAGGTGTTGAGAATTAGGAAATATAAATTCTATTCCAGACTTTTCAGCTTTGGGCAAATCACTGCCTTATTTTTCTTATTTATTATGTCCAGATAGTGTTAACCTCTCCTACAGCATAGCTATTAGACTAAAATGCCACTGTAAATGAGAAGGCCCTTTACAAAGTTCAAGCAATAAATGTATGAATTTTCTTGTTGCTTAGACACATTTTTTAAAAACCTTAGGTGGAAATTTACTTAGTCTATTCCTTTACTTAGTGGATGGAGAACCTGAGGCTCAAGTAGGCTGGATGACTTGCTCAGAGCCTTACATGTTAATTTCTGAGGGCTGTTAATTTCTAAATATTGTCTGAATTTCTCACCTGTAGTGAGATGCTGCCTCTACAGGTAAATTGTTGAATGTAGGTCAAAAGGAATTAGAATTGGACTTATGTTTGACTTTGTTATATATATTATCTTTCAAAAGAGTCTTCAATTTGGCATAAAGCCCCTTTATGGGAGTGTGTGGAGGCTCTTCTTTGTTAATTGAATGTGCTGAGTGACTTCAGTTTCTGTTCTCAGGCTGCGATGGATAGTGCTCGACTCAGTGCTGCCAAATCTTCTCCCATGATGGAAACAATCAACATGGTCAGTGCCTAATGTAATGAGAGAGTTTAAGTGTGTTTGCTTACCTTAGAGTGGAATTGTTCAAAGTTTCTAGGTTACATTAAATGAAATAGAAATTTAAGGGAGAGTCAAACAGCTATTGTGACTTCAGTTTTTTCTTAGTATAGTTCTTTCTTCTTTTGTATTACTAAATGGAATAAATGATTTTTCAAATACTAGAATCCATTAGTCCAGAGTTGTATTATAGGAGAACAATATTATTAAAATATTTCTGTATAGATCTAGGTATCCTTTGGTCTACTTAGCAAGATTCAGATTTTTGTTGCTACCTGAGCATTGTCTTTGGGAAGATCTGGGGCGGTGTAGGCGGGACATATTCAGTGAAGCAGGCAGCATAAAGGCAGGGGAAGAGACCTGAGCAGTATTGATCAGTTTTTTTTTAGTCATAGGAAGGGATTTGCAAAAAAGAACTGCTTAGCACCGAAGTTCTAAGTTCCTGGATTCTTAGATTAGGAGTCGCTAAAGTCACTAAAGTTGTCTCTGTTGTGCATACCCTGGAGTAGTTAACCCAGAACTCATGAGCGACTGGAAATAATTTTGCTAAGCAGATCACAAGCCTGGACAGAAGGAGATATTTTTTACGGTTTACTGAGAGACTGGCCAAAGTGTGGTCTAAGGATGTTACTTCTTAATTGGATTATTGGGAGGAAAAGAAAACTTAAATAGGAATAGTTAGCAAACACCTTATAGATGTGCTCTTTAATAACAGAATATACTTCATTGCATTGTAAAAAATATAGTGAAGCAAATCTGGTAAGAAATTAACTTTAATAAGATGGATTGGTAGGGCAGACCCACTGAAGACCAGTTTTAATGTAGGTCCTTATACTAAACATGGGCTGACAGAGGAAGTAGGTCCAGCAAGATCCTTTTTTGTTGGATAATCATTATTAATTTTCTCCTTTAGAAAGTCAGTGTTTTTCATTATTTCTGTTTTGTTTATAATGCTGAACCACCGATGAATGGTTTTTGTTTACAGTACAATGATGGTTTTTACATTGAAATTGGAGCAAAATCAAACTAGCGATTTTTCAACTTCATGTCAAATTTAGTGGGTACATATTTGATTGACATGGGCAGTTTTTAATTGAAGGTGTGGTATGGGCTTTATTGTCTAAGGTTAACTTTATATTTATTCTTTTCCAAAAGTGCCTGCAATATCTTGATGTGTCGGTGCTGGGTGAGCTAGTTCCTAGATTATGTGAACTGATCAGAAGTGGTGTAGGTCTTGGAACTAAGGTACGTAAGTGTATTTTTCACAAGAGTAATTCTCATTTGTTTAGGCCACAAAAATATAATAGCCACATGTTTGAAATTCATTTTTTTTTTTTTTTATAAAACCCAATATTCTAGGTTAACCAGTTTGTTTTTATGGTTGCATTAATAAATTAAGACATGTAACTAATTTAGGAAATGACATGTGACTTAATATTGTCCTTTTTAGTGGAGTCATTTCTGTCCCCTAGGTGCTGTGTACATGCCCTCTGGGTTCTCATTCATTATCACTTATTAATGGGAATGCTTATCCATTAATAAGTTATCACGTGTGGTTGTTTTTAGGTGGGGATTAGCATTTTCACAACACTCAGCAGGTGTTTGGATAGGAAAATGTCTTTCCAAGATTTTTCAAAGATCAGACCCTACCCCCACACTCTAAAAACAAGCAAGTCACATTTTTTTTTTCCTCCTGACAAAATTAACACTTGCTTGCCTTTTAAAACTTTAGCATTTATAGATCAGGGGCAAGTTAAAATTTGTCCTAAGCTTACCACCCAGAGATCATTGCTGTTAATATTTCCAAGTGTTTCCTTCCAGCTGCTTATTCTTGCATGTGTCTTCCACAGCGTCCTCTTTAATGGTCATCTGATATTCTGCTGTGTGGCTGTCACATCATTTCTTTCTTTCTTTATTTGTACATCATTTCTTTTAATCCATCAAGGAACATCTGATTTGTTTTCAGCTTTTTTTATATTAAACAAAGCATGTTATGAATGTCTTGGGACACATGTGAAGCTATTTCTTATGGTTAAATTTCTAGAACTGGAAATGTTAGAACAAGGATGGACAAGATGACATATGTTGCCCTCCCAAAATATTGAATCAGTTTTCTTTCTTTTTTGGAAAAAAAAAAAATTTGTTACTGATTTTTAGAGAGAGAGGAAGGGAAAGGGGGAGAGAGATAGAAACATCGATGAGAGAGAAACATCGATCGGCTACCTCCTGCACACCTCCTACGGGGATTGAGCTCGCAACCTGGGCATATGCCTTGACCGGGAATCGAACTGGCGACTTCCTGGTAGATGATGTTCAAACAACTGAGCCACACTGGCCAGGGCCAGTTGCAGTATATGAGAGCACCCATTTTCCTCCTGGAGGTTTTGAAAAAAAAATCTCTGCATGGCTAATTTAAAATAAGAGTTTTCCTCTTTCCAGATTGATTCATGGAGGGGCTGTTAGACTTTGTATATTTTATTTTTAAATCTTCGAAACCCACCTAAAACAAAGGGTTTCAGAGCGCTGTGACCATCAAATTTAGACCTTTGCCTTTGTAACCCTGTAGGGAGGCTGTGCCAGTGTCATTGTGTCATTAACTACTCAGTGTCCCCAGGACCTAACACCTTACTCAGGTGAGTTTGTCAAAACTGTGCGTAGTGATATTTTTCTATGGTCATGTCTTGTGTGACAAGATTTAAAAAAAATAATTATTATTATCATTCCGACATGCTTGTGATCCTGTATACTTTTTCTCCCTCTTCCTTTATCTCTTTGTTTGCAGGAGTAAAGGATGATCAATTTTAGCAAGTTTTATAAGTGTTTGGTTATTTCTCAGTGGTATAAGAAGGTGAAAGTATCTGTCATCCTGTAGGGTTTGTTTACTGTATAGCTCACTCATTATACATCAGCAATTTTCTCGTCTTACATTGGCCCCTAGGCGGGCCTAATGAACTTTTTGTACCTAGCTTTCATTTTTTCAACTTCCTTCACAATATTTTAGACACAGATGAATTTTAAATTTTATATCAGGCAAATGGACATTACAAATATAATATACAAGGGCTCTAAACTACCCTGGAATAAATCAGGTATTAATTGCAGGGTTAAGTTTGTTTTGGTTCTGGGGACAGAGCAAACCATTTGGTCAACCAAGTGCCAGATTTTTCTCCTTTATTTCTGATAGGTAAACTTATGAGTGCTTTACTTAGTGGCCTGACAGATCGAAACAGTGTAATTCAGAAATCCTGTGCATTTGCTATGGGCCATTTAGTTCGGGTGAGTTGAATTTCTTACCTAGTTAAGTAATTATACTTAGATAATTATACAGAAATGACAGTATTGTTTCTTTTTCAGACCTCACGGGATAGCAGCACCGAGAAACTCCTGCAGAAGCTCAATAGCTGGTATATGGAGAAAGATGGTACCTTTTAAATATTTATATTATTTTAAATTCAGATGTTAACAACCTAATCTGATTTTATGTGCTTTGCTAAGAACATTTCTAATTGATTTTACTGTGGTCCAGATTGAGCAATAGTCTATTTAGATTAGTTACCCTTAAAAACAGTATCATAAGGATTGTGTTTTTTTCTGCTTCTCTTCAGAACCCATCTACAAGACCTCTTGTGCTTTGACTATTCATGCTATTGGACGCTACAGCCCTGACGTATTGAAGAACCATGCCAAAGAAGTTCTGCCTTTGGCATTTCTAGGCATGCATGAGATTTCTGACGAGGAGAAATCAGAAAAGGAAGAATGTAACTTATGGACTGAAGTGTGGCAGGAGAATGTACCTGGTTAGTAAACAGTACCTATGAGTTAAACCTATTTCTTAAGAATCACAGCTGGAGTTTTTACTCATATTTTTCATTCATAAACTCCTGTAGCTCCTTTCCCAGGACCCTAATAGCATGTGTCCCGTTTGCTTTTGAGCCTCTATCCCAATTGCTGAGTTCTCAAGGTTGGCACTCAGAGCTCTTCTCTTTCCTCTCTCATTGCTGCCCCCGTGCAAGAGTAGGAACGCTGCCCCAGAAGAGTAGAGTTTTACTTACTTTAATTGAGAGTGAAGAGTGATTTTATGTTGCCTTAGAGCATTATTTAGAGTAGTGCTTCTCAAACCACCCTCCCTTTTTTTTTTACCTGGACACACGCACATCAATGGAATGAGGACTATTGGCATGATGCCCTCATGTACATGCCTAAGTACATGAAGTCCTGCGGTTGTAGAGATACAGCACAACACCACCTGCTTTCTCTCCCTATTACGGAGTGGCATAATGTAACCATTAAGAATCACTGCTTTAGACTGTGATTATTGACTTTTTCAGACTTAGGAAAGAAAAAGCAGTAATTAATTTTAATTTTAAATTTAATTTTAATTTTTTGGTCACTTAAAAGTTGCTTTAATTTTACCGTTTGTAACCTAGGTTCCTTTGGTGGCATTCGGTTATACCTGCAGGAGTTGATTGCTATTACCCAGAAGGCTTTACAGTCTCAGTCCTGGAAAATGAAAGCCCAGGGTGCAATTGCCATGGCATCAATTGCAAAACAAACCAGCTCCCTAGTACCTCCATATCTGGGAATGATACTGACCGCATTACTGCAAGGCCTCGCTGGAAGAACATGGGCAGGAAAGGTAAAGGAACCACTCACGCCCCGTTAAATCTAACGTATCCTTAAAGGGTGATGACTTCGTCTTTCATTTCTTACAAAAATTAGAATCTGGTTTTGTGAAATATCAGATGGATTGTTTTTGTGAACCAGATTTTCAAAGTGCAACCCATGTGTCCTGAATACTGCATAGTAATGCTGGAGGTTGATTTTTTACTTATCATGTTTAGCTTTTTAAGATAAGTCTTAAACCAGTGACCTCATGCACAGATCAGGATTGGGCATATGTGAAATTGAATAGCAAGGCAGGCTGTCCAAACCTGGACCTGAGGATGCTCATCTCTGGGCCTGTGAATGAGTAACAGTCATTTTTTATACAAGGGCAGTAGTAGTATACTTACAGTGAGCACTCAGCAGGGAAAATGAGATTGTGGCAGCATGAAACAATCTATTTGATGCTGTAAACGTCAGTGTTAGCCAGTGCAGTACCAGAGAAGAAGAGCTGGGCTAGGAGCAGATTAGTTCTAACTCCATTGTCCACACTTCTGCCTGTGTGACCTTGGGCAAGTCAGCTCTCTAGGCTTTATGAAATGGAGAGAAAGGCAGTTGTTCTGCATCTATGGGTGTACTTATTAAACAGTAAGAGCCTAAAGATAAGATGACTCTGGTTGATTTTTATTGTCATAGTTATGAAGTTGTAGTCATAGTGCAAAGAATGTAAATGACAAATATGTGTGTAATAGCATTCTCTCATTTTTCAACCCTTTAGGAAGAACTGCTGAAAGCCATTGCCTGTGTGGTGACAGCTTGCAGGTAAATGTTCTGTTAGTGAAGATGCCATTTCTTAAACTGAACCCGAGAGTGGCGGTGCCGGGGTCCAACCCCAGCAGGTCCAGGGATCCCCAAAGGCGTAGACGGAGTCGGTGAAGAAGGAAGGACACGGAGACAGTGTTCAGTTGATCAGCAGCCTAGCCAGGATCTCCAGCCAAGTTCTGGTCTGGATCTCCAGAGAGGTTCTGCTTAGGATCTCCAGCCAGGTTCTGTATCCATGTTGTCTTGCTAGGTTCTCCAGCCAGGTTCAGTTACCAGGTTCTAGTCAGGTTCTCTTGCCAATTTCTGTAGTCAGGTTCAGTCCAGGATCTTTTGCCATGTTCTCTCCAGCGAAGTTCTTCTGTCTCTAGAGAACGTTCTGTGTAGGTTCTGTGCCTAGGTTCCGTCTCTCCTGGTTCCGTATTCTAAGTTCTGTCTCTTGCTGTCTTACTACATCTGTATTTATACCAGTTGATTCAATCCTACCAATCTCTATTACAAAGGTTAGGGTGTTTCTTATCTCCATTCCAGGGAGTAAAGATTATGTAGCTTAAGCATGATTGTTCGTAGTTAAAGTGATTAATTACCCACCTGGCACTAGTTAAGAGGTTTTATTCCCTCCCTAACTTCAGGGGAAAATCCCTACCTGGGGAAACAACCTTTCTCAGAGACCTTGGTTAAAACACATAGTGCTAAGAAGGTGAGCAAACATATTAAGAACAGTATGCCATATATGCCAGGTCCCTTGAAACAGCAAGCATGGACCGGCTCCCGGCATGGCGGCCTTTATTAACTGTTGTGACGCTTTTGTATGGGTCCTGTAGTGAAGAGCTGGAAAAGCCTGTGCCAAATCAACCCAGCACAAATGAAATTCTCCAAGCTGTTCTCAAGGAGTGCTGCAAAGAGAACCCCAAATACAAAATTGTAGCAATCAGCTGTGCAGGAGATGTCTTGAAGGCCACCAAAGAAGACAGATTCCAGGAGTTTTCTGACATTGTCATACCTCTCATCAAGAAGGTAATGACCACCTGTATCCTCTCAGGTCTGGTTTCTACTTCAAAAATGAAAAGAAAAGATTTTTCTGTGTTCTGTTTGCATATTTTATTATAGGATTAGTGTAGCTGCTAATAGCAGAAAATCATTGTCCTCATGGTTCACAGTGTAGCACATTCCCGACAGGTGATGGCAAAGCTGAAGAAAGAATGAAGGATCAAAGTAGGCATGTCAGTGCTTTCTTAAGGAGAGTTCCTGGAAATGCTGCCTGGCATTTTCACTTCTATCCCGTTGGCCAGTACTTAGCTGAAATCTGGCTGCAGATGCATTCTCGGTGTCCATTAGTCCTTCATGGAAGAAGGGGACAGTGGTTAGATTTATTTTATTTATTTACTAGAGGCCCGGTGCACAAAAATTTGTGCACTTGCGGGGGGGGGGGGTGGTCCTCTCAGCGCGGCCTGTGCCCTCTCGCAGTCTGGGACCCCTCAGGGGATGACCACCTGCTGGCTTAGGCCCACACCGCGGGGGGATTGAGCCTAAGCTGGCAATCAGACATCCCTCTGGCAGCCCGGCAGCCCTTGGGGGATGTCCACTTACCAGCAGGGAGCAGACCTAAGCTGCAGTTGGACATCCTTAGCGCTGCTGAGGAGGCAGGAGCGGCTCCCACCACCACCACTGTACTGGCAGCCATCAGCCTGGCTTGTGGCTGAGCAGAGCTCCTCCCATGTGAAAGCGCCCTGACCACCAGAGGGCAGCTCCTGCATTGAGCGTCTGCCCCCTGGTGGTCAGTGTGTGTCATAGTGACCAGTCATTCCCAGTCTTCCTGCTGTTAGGGTCAGTTTGCATATTACCCTTTTACTATATAGGATAGAGGTCTGGTGCACGGGTGGGGGCTGGCTGGTTTGCCCTGAAGGGTGATCCGGATCAGGGTGGGGGTCTCGCTTGGGTGCCTGGCCAGCCTGGATGAGAGGCTGATGGCTGTTTTCATGCTGGCCACACCCCCTTTAGGGTGGGGGTCCCCACTGGGGTGCCTGGCCAGTCTGGGTGAGGGGCTGAGGGCTGTTTTCAGGCTGGCCTGCAACTGAAGCTCCCAGCCTCTCCTTTTTTTATTTTTTATTCTGGGATTTATTTATCTTCTATAATTGAAACTCTGTTGCCTTCACTGGCGCTCCCAGCTCTGAGGCCGTGGCTGGCTGAAAGCAGGTATCTGGGGTTTGTTTAGCTTCTATAATTGAAACTTTGTTGCTTTTGGAGCTGTTGCTTTCGGAGCTCAGAGCCGGGCTGCGGCAGGAGGGGAACCTTGGCTTCCTCCATCACTGGAGCAAGCAAACCTCCTGCTCGCTTCAGCTGCGTGGCTGCCGGCCGCCATCTTTGTTGGCAGTTAATTTGCATATCTCACTGATTAGCCAATGGGAAGTGTAGCAGAGGTACGGTTAATTACCCTTTTTGTCTTTTATTAGATAGGACTTTAAATATATTTTTATTTATTTCAGAGAGAAGGGAGAGGGAGAGATAGAAACATCAATGATGAGAGAGAATCATTGATTGGCTGCCTCCTGACTGCCCCCACTGGAGATTGAGCCAGCAACCTAGGCATATGCCCTTGCCTGGAATCGAACCTGTGACCTTTCAGTCCACAGGCCGATACTCTGTCCACTGAGCCAAACCAGCCAGGGCTGGTTAGCTTTATTTTAAAACAAGCAGAAAGATGAGTTTATTGCACGGGTTTCGACCTGCAAGCCAAGAAACTCTAGGCTACAGGAGTGGACATTAGAATGAATGGTCTCTGTCATACGGGGTGGGGGGGGGCAAAACTGGGTTTACAGTTGTTCATATGGAAAGTAATACAATAATTAATAAGTGCTAATATAAGAATAACCTCTATGTTTTGCATACTCACAATTGTAAACACACTTTTGCCCCACCCTGTAGTTACAATAAGCTTTGCCTTTGAGCTTGTGCAGAAGTCACTCCAGCCTCCTAGTGTGAAGACAGGAAGCTCAGTATGTCACTGTTAATGGCCTCTGCCATTTAATGGGGGGCACAGAGTTTGATCCAAAACAGACTTCAGTTTCATTTGGAAAATGAAATACTTGTTTTTAAAGAAATAAGGGTATAGTTCCACTATTTTTTGTGACACATGAAATTGTTTAAATAGCATTCTTATTTCTTGTGTGGCCACTAATTTATAGTTGTTTTCTTTGAGTAAAAAGGCTATTTAAATAATATTACCTAAATAATAGATTTGGAAGACTTATATTTTAAGTTGATGATATTTCAAGCTAGCTGGATGAGTCACTTCCAACCTGTTTCCTTCTTATAGGAGTTTGGATTTAGATCATTACCAAGTTCTTTCATCTTTAATTCCATGATTCTAATGCAAGTATTTTTATGTGGTGCTCAAAATACTACATATACAGTGTTTATTTTCCACTTTGCCTCAGATTTCCTTGAAATGATTTCCCGTATTTATTAGAAGATGTAGTATCCTGTTACAAATTCTTTTTAGAAATAGGAAAACTCAGGCTAGAGAATTTAGCATTTAATTCTTGGTTAACATCTCCTACTTTGGCACCCTGATTGTTTTAATAGTAAACCTGTAACTTCGAAAAAAATTACATTTTGCTTTCCTTTTTTTTGCTTTTTGGGGGCATGTTCTAGAACTCGCCTGAAAGCGTTGGAGTCCGGGCAACCAAAAATGAAGAAGAGAATGAGAAGGAAAAGGAGCTGCAGCTGGAATCTCTGCTAGGAGCCTTTGAGAGCCTGGGCAAAGCCTGGCCCCGAAATATGGAGACTCAGCGTAAGCACCAGAACCTGCACTTGAAGAAGTGCTGTAACCAGAGGTTACTTATTGAGAGCAGAGATGTTCTGAGTGATAAGTTATTGTTTCTTGTACCTTCTGACTGATTAATAGAATTATCCAACACAAATTTTACTCCTACATTTTACTCCTACATTGGCACATAATCCTATTGTATCAGTTTGTTAGGGTTGCTATAACAAAGTACCACAGACTAGGTGGCTTAACCAACAGAAATTCATTTTCTCACAATTCTATTTGAGATCAGGGTGTCAACAGTGTTGCTTTCTTCTGAAACCTCTCTCGGCTTGTAAATAACGATCTACAATGCTTCCTAATCTCTTTTTTTTTTTTTTTTTTTTTAATATATTTTATTGATTTTTTACAGAGAGGAAGGGAGAGAGATAGAGAGTCAGAAACATCGATGAGAGAGAAACATCGATCAGCTGCCTCCTGCACACTCCCCACTGGGGATGTGCCCACAACCCAGGTACATGCCCTTGACCAGAATCGAACCGGGGACCCTTCAGTCCACAGGCCGACGCTCTATCCACTGAGCCAAACCGGTTTCGGCATCCTAATCTCTTCTTATGAGAACACCAGCAATACTGGATTAAGGTCCACCCCCATGACCTCTTGAAAGATGCTGTCTGTCAGTACAGTCGTTCTGAGGTTCTTAGGATTAGGACTTAGTTATGAATTTTCGGGAACGCAATTCAGCCCTTAACACCCATGATTTACTATATATATAGTTTGACTGTAAAAAGAATTCTCTTACTCTTCTTTGTGATACTATTTGCTGAGCAATCCACAGAATATATTAGTGGGGTCTCTTCATCTTGGAAATTAATGGCCTTGTAAGTAAACAAATCTTTAATTAGCAAGTGAAATCTCTGTTTCACTGAGAACCTTGAGACTTTTTGAGAGATTTTTAGAATTGGACGTGTATTTCCAAAGGGTTAAGTAGATGAGCAAGCAGTAAACCTTTTTTTGTTGGATTAGGTTGCAGTTAGGAGTCTTTTGACTGGGCCTTGAACTTGGGAATCAGGCTCCTCTGAAGTTTGCCTTCTGTTAGTTTCTGCAGTGTTTCCCCCCAGACATCTTAATATGCTTGAATGTTATTTAAAAAGTATGTTGATTATTTGTAATTGGATATGTCTGAAATCAGATTTAAGATTGTCTCTGAGCCTTGTCATTCTTTTGTGAACTTTAAAAAGTAGATTTGCCATGTATAGGAAGGATTTTCCAAAAGATAAGTATTTATAAATGGTCTTATGTCTTGGCATTATGTTATGGACTGCAGTGGAAGTCTACTATTTTTTGACACCATTAGGGCTACTGATTTTTTCTTGAATAGGGTAGGAAAAGTAGGGAATTTATATAAAAACTAGTGGCCCAGTGCACAGATTCGTGCACATTGAAAGGAAATTAATTAGAAGAAAGATTCGTGTGGTAATTACGTTGCTGCAAAAAATTACATGTCAAAATAGTATATATAATGTAGTATAAAATTAAAACGTGTATGATAGGCAGCAGCGAGAGCTTTACATGTATCGCGCATGCACAAGTCGTTTATTTTTAAATGGCCAGTGCACATCGGTCGGACAGACGGATGGTTGGTCTCTTGGCCTTTTATATATATAGAAGATGATACCTACCCAAAGCAGTTTATTTAAGTGTAAGGCATAGAAATGTATATTCATTTGCCAGTTATTGAGGGGAAGGCCAAGCCTTTGATAATTGAACTGTTACACATTGACTTCTTGTACATCTTACTCACAAGGTATCATCTACAATTTCTGAGTTCTGTTTCTTTATTGTAGAAAAAGAGGCTAAAATCTCTTATGCAGCAATTCCAGTGCAGAATTCTTGTAGATTTATACTGCTATCTATCTTTACATATGTGAATCAAACTAAAAATAATGACTTTATTGCGTTTTATACACCTATTTCATCAGTTAGTGTACTATCCTATATAATAATAGACAAACATGGTAATTAACCGTACCTCCGACACGCTTCCCATTGGCTAATCGGGGCAATATGCAAATTCACTGCCAACCAAGATGGCGGCAGACAGCTGAAGGGAACAGGAGGCTTGGTTGCCCTGGCGATGGAGGAAGCCAAGGTTCCCCGCCTGCCGCTGCCGGCTTCTGAGCTGCACTCTAAGAAACAATGTTGCAATTATAGAAGCTAAACAAACCCCAGAAACCTGCTTTCAGCCAGCCGGGCCTCAGAGCTGGAGCCTCAACAGTGTTTCAATTATAGAAGCCAAACAAACCCAGATACCTGCTTTCAGCAGCCGAGGTCTCAGAGCTGGAGCCAAGCTTCAGAGCTAAAGCCGGCTCTCAGTTCCAGTGACGGCTATAGAAGGTAAATAAATCCCAGAATAAAAAAAAAGAAAAGAAAAAAAGGAGAGGTTGGGAGTTTCAGTCACCCGCCAGCCTGAAAACGGCCCTCAGCTCCTCACCCAGACTGGCCAGGCACCCCAGTGGGGACCCCCACCCTGAAGTGGGTGTGACCAGCTGCAAACAGCCATCATCCCCTCATCCAGGCTGGCCAGGCACCCAGTGGGGACCCCCACCCTAAAGGGGGTGCAGGCAGCCTGAAAACAGCCATCAGCTCCTCATCCAGGCTGGCCAGGCACCTAAGCAGGACCCCCACCCTGATCCGGATCACCCTTCAGGGCAAACCAGCCAGCCCCCACCCGTGCACCAGACCTCTATCCTATATAGTAAAAGGGTAATATGCAAACTGACCCTAACAGCAGGAAGACTGGGAATGACTGGTCACTATGACACACACTGACCACCAGGGGGCAGATGCTCAATGCAGGAGCTGCCTTCTGGTGGTCAGGGTGCTCTCACATGGAAGGAGTTCTGCTCAGCCACAAGCCAGGCTGATGGCTGCCAGTACAGCGGTGGTGGTGGGAGCCTCTCCTGCCTCAGCAGCGCTAAGGATGTCCGACTGCAGCTTAGGCCTGCTCCCTATTGGCAAGTGGACATCCCCCGAGGGCTGCCGGGCTGCCAGAGGAATGTCTGATTGCCATCTTAGGCCCAATCCCCCGGGGAGCGGGCCTAAGCCAGCAGGTGGTCATCCCCTGAGGGGTCCCAGACTGAGAGAGGGCACAGGCCGCGCTGAGGGGATTCCCTCCCCCCGCCACCAGTGCACAAATTTTTGTGCACCGGGCCTCTAGTAATTATATAATTGTAATTGCCAAGTGCAGTTGGCATGACTGGTTTGGCATAGAGCTGCTGTCTGTTGGTAAGCCCACAGGAGCTCCCGCCTGCAGAGTTCTGCTTTCTTATCATTCAGGATGTTCTACAGGGAAAGGGAGTGTGGTTAAGATTCAGTGTCAGTTCCTTGGAGAAGGACACTGCTTTGAAAATGAACATTTATAAACAGTTATACAGGACCTTCATGGGGGAAGTTCTGATCAGGGTAGTTTATTTGGGAATTGGACACAAAGTCAGCCTGAAGTTCTGTTTGGTTTTTTTGAAATTTCATGGCTTTAACTTAAGGCATTTGTTGTTTTATTTTTTCCTCCTTTTCCCTCTTTTTTTCTGTCTCCCTATCTCCCACCCATCTCTTCCATTCTGTCCCTCTCCGTTTTTGTCTCTGTCCCTCACTCGCTTTGTCTTTTGCTCCTTCACACTCCCTGTCCTGCTCTGTCCCATTCTGTCTTTCTTCCCAGGTTGTTATCGGCAGGAGCTATGCAAATTGATGTGTGACCGGCTAAAACTCAGCACATGGAAAGTGCAGCTAGGAGTCCTACAGTCAATGAATGCCTTCTTTCAGGGGTAATTTGCTTCATAGTTTATTTATTTTGTCCTTTTCCCCTTAGCATTTTATATGTAATCAATGAAATTCTTTTAAATTTTAAAACTAAATGACATCATAAAGTGATACATGCAGATAGAAATTATTTGTGCCAGAAAGGTTTTGGAATATTTCTTAAAACTGGCATCTGTATCTTGCTTTCTGATTTTTATAGATTAATGCTTTTGGAAGAAGAACATGCAGATCCTGAGGCTTTGACTGAAATTCTCCTTGAAACTTGTAAATCAATCACATATTCTTTAGGTGAGTGTGATAAACTGACATTGATAAGGGGTCCTGATTTTAAAGGTCAGGGAGCTGAGCGTCAAATATTTTCCAGCTTGTGCTAGGAACTAAGTTTATGGAAGTATTAAACTATCCTATTTAATATACTCTGTATGCCCAGACTGAAATATATTAACCTGGAACTGTAATTTAGGATTTTCACTCCTAGATTAGAAAAACCTTTGTGATAAGTATTTTTAAAAAAACTTCTACTCGGAAATAATTTTAAACTTACAGAAAAGTTGCAATAATAGTACATATATCCCACATATGAAATCATATGGTTCTCGACTTTTGCTGTAGTACTTATTTTGCTAGGCATTATATTCTCAAGATTCATCCATGTTGTCTAAATGGCAGTATTTCATCTTCTCTTATGGCTGAGTAGTATTCCATTATAATATGTACTACATCTTTATCGAGTCATCTGTCGAGGGATATTTCAATTATTTCCATGTGTTCACCACTATGAATAATGTTGCAATGAACATAAGGATACACACGTCTTTGCGAATAAATGTTCTCAAATTTTTCAAGTACATACCCAGAAGAGGGGTTGCTAGGTCATATGGTAACTCTATTCTTAATTTTTTGAGGAATCTCCATAGTAGCTGTACCAGTTTACATTCCCATCAGCAGTGAATGAGGGTTTCTTTTTCTCCACAACCTTTCCAACACTTATTTTACTTGTCTTGTTGATAATAGCCATTCTAACAGGTGTGACATGTAATTAATGAAGCTAAGCATATTTTCATATATCTGTAGGCCATTTGTATGTCTTTTTTGGAGAAGTGTCTTTGGATTGTTTGTTTTGTTGTTGTTGAGTTCTATGATATAAAACTGAAAGCAACAAATGAACAAACAAGACAAGTAAAAACTCATAGCTCCGGCCACGTGGGTCATTTCGTTAGAGCATCGTTTCCATATACCAAGGTTGTGGGTTTGATCCCTAATCAGGGCACATGCAAGAATCAACCAATGAATGTATATGTGAAACAACAAATTGATGTTCCCCCACCCCCTCTAAATCAATGCAAGAAAAAATAACCACACCAAAAAGCCTTATAGATACAGACAACAGGATGATGGTTACCAGAGGGAAAGGAATGTGGGGGGAGAGATAGTAGAGGGTAAAGGGGGTCCAATATATGGTGACTGAAGGAGATTTTACTTTGGGTGGTAAATACAATACAATATACAGATGAAGTATTATAGAATTGTATACTTGAAAGTCTATATAATTTTGTTAACCAAAGTCACCCCAATAAATTTAATTTTAAAAAGCTAGCAAAAACAAACAGAAACCTGAGCTCAATGACTTGCCAGGCTTAGCTCTCAGACATGGATGACACTGCCCCTGGGGTGGGAAGGTTGGGCTGCCATGAAGAGGGGTGACTTTTCCATCAGCCTGTGCCTCGGTTTCCCTCCTGTCCCATGCTGAGGGGCCCAGTCAAGATATTAAATAAAAATAGTTCATATAATACCTATATATCTTTTAACCAGAGTTGCCTGTTAACATTTTGCCCCATTTACTTAATCATTACTTCTATATACATATTTTTCTTGAACCATTTGAAAGTATATTGTTTATGTCACACCCCCCTTTACCTCTAAATTTTTCAGTGCCTGTTCTCTTACATCACCTCAGTACAGTTACCAACTTTAGGCAGTATAATGATGCAATTTTAAAAATCAAATTCTTTATTGTTCATGTTCTAGGTTTTCCGTTGACTCAGAATGTTTTTTATAGAATTTCCCCCCTCCCCTCCATTAAGGAATTTCAGTCCAGGATCATTTATTGAATTTAGTTATATTTTTTATTCTTCTTTAATTTGGAACACTTTCTCAGCCTTTCTCTGGCCTATATGACATTGACAATTTTGAAGAAAAGTCTCCCCCTATCTTTTTTAACTGGAAGGTTTCTCATGGTGTTTGTCTCATGTTTCCTCCTGATTAGATGCAGGTCATGACTTCCCAGTTGGGATACTCCCTCCGTAAGTGACGTGCCTCACACCAAGAGGCACACAGTGTCCATCTGCCCTCACTGGCGATGTTAATTTTGATTACCTGGTCAAGGTATATTCAGTTTTCTCTACCTTCTAGTTAATGTTCCACCTCACCCCCCTCGTGTCTAATAAGCAGCCTGTGGGAAATACTTTAAGACCATTTAGACAACCTGCTCTTCTTCACAACTGTTTGAGGAAGCAGTGTGGGGAAGACACTTCCGGCCATGCAGGCATGCTGCTCCTCTCCAGAAGGCCTAGACCTAGCACACATCAAGGTTTCTTCCTGAACCCGTTCTCACTGAGATGGCTTTCTAACTCCAGCCTCCCTCACATTTACCTATTGACAGTTGGCATCCTCATAAGCAAGACCCCACCCTCTCCCTATCTCTATTACCGATACTGATTCATGGATTCCTTTTCCCCCAGTTGGTTTATAATAATTATTTTTCTTAATTTGTTGCTCATATGGTCGCAGATTTGGCCAGTGGAGGCTCCTTCAAGCTGACTCCTGTGTCCTGTTGACAGGTCACCGTCATTCTTACAGGCCCTTTTGTACTTTGTAACAAACAGGATGTTATAAGCTCATCTTGTGCTTTCCTTGCTGTGAGTTTGGTTGGGTTAATTTTTTCGGTAGACAGTTTCACTGTGAACTAGATGCTGATCGAGAGCAGTGGTCGCCAACTGGTGGTCCATGGACCACTGGCGGTCCATGAGGTCTGGAAGGTTGGCAACAGCTGATCTAGAGTAGACGCTAAGGAAGTATGTTTTAGTTGTATAGCGTGCTTTCGGATAAAGAACTGGCAGTTAAGAAACTCGTTTCTACAGGGTCCCAGGCAGGTGTCTCTGATTTTGCCTTCACCCTGGGTTGTGTAATGTTCTTTGTTAATTTGAGGTCATGCAAACCTAAAGACCCTTCTTAGGTATTATGAGGAGATGCATATGTGCTTAAGTAGTGTCTTTTGAATTCCCACTGCTAAATTGGGTCCTTTAAATATTGCCATTTAGTGTGGTGATTGATATATTTGGCTGACATTTTTTTTTTAAGCAAGGAATGTGGGCACATAGCACCTTTCAAGTATTTAATGATAGATAACCCGGAAAGGGAAGCTTACTTCAGAAAAGGTGTGTCTTTCCCTAAATTTGTCATTTCTTAACATCTTTCAGTAACATTAACTTAATCTTGGAGCTTTTGTTTCGAAGGCATATAAAACAAGTAATGTGCATTATGTGATTTTTTTTCCTTAGAAAATAAGACGTACTCGTCTGTGAGAACAGAAGCTTTATCTGTGATAGAATTACTGCTTAAAAAGCTTGAAGGTGAGTTCCTGATAGTTCTGATTGAAAAACCGGAAAGCCAGGATATTTTATGGCATATGTTTTAGAAATTATTTTCTGTTTTTAATAAGCACATGCTCTAAATTACAAATTTATGGACATCCAAGTGGGACAGACAAAGATAAAACCCTTAAATTTTATTAAAGTGTTTAAATTTTATGAAGTTGTAGTTATCTTAGAATAATAGTTTTTCCAGTGTGAATCCTGACTTAATCTTGGTTATTATGGCATGTGGTTGACAGTGCATAGTATAGCTCACTGTCCACATGTAAATAAACAGAATGACACACTGAAAAGTGGAGTTGGGAAAGCATTTTAACAATTATCCACCCGAGTCATCTAATTTGATAGCATTTTCTTAATCCTATTTTTTCCTGTTTTTCTTTTTTAACCTTCGTATAAAGAAGATTTCTCCTAGTGGCTGCGGTAGAAGAAAACATTTCTCCAGTGGCGTGTCTGTTACTAATCTTAAAAGGAGGCCTCTTTTTTTCTTTTCTCTTCTTTGCTTTCCCGTTATTTTAACCCCAGGGAATAGGGAAGAAGAAGCAGTTTTCTCCAGATCCTGTATATTTGAAATTTTTACTTATTTATTTTTGCTTAACATTTAAAGGACCACTCGTAGGGCTCCATAAAACAGGCTTTTTAGACTCAGTAACAGTCTGAGCATCAGAGAAAGTCAAAGTAAAGATCCTAAGTCTTATTTGTGAGGTTCTGCCACTTTCTAGTGATGTGGTTTTGGCATGTTACCTCACCATTTAGCCTCATTTTACTCACCTAGAATACATTCATGCATATTTGGCAAATATAGTCCCAGATCGAGCCTAAACCAGCAGTCGGACATACCCCGAGGGGTCCTGGATTTGAGAGGGTGCAGGCCGACTGAGGAACCCCCTCCCCTCCTTGCACGAATTTCGTGTACTGGGGCTCTAATATCTTATAAAGAGGCTTTTTGTGTTGTTGATGATGGCCTTTTGGTCACTTTGTACTTTGCCTTGATACTTCCTACTTATCACTTTGTTTCAGCATCCCTAGATGCTTTTCATCCCACTAATACTGGGGGCAGAGGATGGGACTCCCTGATATTGTCTCAGGTTATTGTCAATAATTAGGGTTTGAGACAACTATTGAACCCGTGATCATTATATCCCAAGTTGTTATCAAGTGGTTGCTTTGCATTTATTTTGGGGACATGATATATGGAGGAAAAGCAGAACGACTAGTTTGGTTTTTTATGCTTGCTCGTTCCATGAGGAATCTTTTTTTTCTTTCTCTTTCCATTCAGAGTCTAAACAGTGGGAAAGTTTGACATCTGAGTGCAGAACGCTCCTGATTGAATCTTTAGCAACTATGGAGACAGATAACCGACCTGAACTAAAGGAGAAAGCATCATTGCTGAAGAAAACACTTGAAAATTTGGAATAATTTAGAAGTGGAAGAAACAAACAAGTGCCATGTTCATTGTGATGAAATTGGTGGTATTCTTTGAAAAACCAAGTGGGAAAAGTAAAGATTAACTGTAGCATGCATCATTCCTTGGCTGAAATAAAAACAAAAAAAATGCCTTAAATTTTGTTCCTTATTAGCTTTATTTTATTTGATGTTTAAAAGTATCTGGGCTTAATGAAACATGGATGAGTGAGCTTAATGAAACATGGATGTTTGAGGGGTGGTTGTTGGTAAAACTGATGGAAATAGTTATTAGAAGATTAAAGCTGTTACTAAAGGGATAAACAGCGTTGTAGAGAAGCTGGATAACAATCCTAGAACCGCATCTACATTGAGTGAAGTTACTTCAGGAAGGGGCTCTGTCATCACATAGGTGAACCCCCTTGCTTCACACCCGGAGACATAGGCTCTGTGCTCACGGCTTCCTTTCTGCGGCCTGTGCTAAGGCCAGGACCCCGGTGTTGGGTGACCAGCCTGGGAAATTTTCTTTTACAACCTTCTGCCAATCAGTGCTAACCCTGACTTAACAGAGAAACAAGAACTAAACTGACATCACTGGGTTCTTGAAATTCATAAGCTGAATGTTGTCATTTGTTAGATGATTGGTTTTTAGAAAGTAATTGTTTAGCATCTTTCATTATGGGCTGAGAGGGAGAATTTGGTCCCCATGTGATAGTTCCGATTGTCCTTTAAAAAAAAAAAAAAATCCTTACCTGAGGACATGTTTTTTATTGATTTTAAAGAGAGGAAGGAAGAGAGAGAGAGAGAAACATTGATTGGTTGCCTCCTGTACACGCCCCGACTGAGTATTGAACCCCAAACCTCAGTATGTGGCCTGACTGGGGATTGAACCCAGGACCTTTCAGTGTACAGGACGATGCTCCTACCGAGCCACACTGGCCAGGGCTGATTGTCCTCCTTTCACGGGCAGGTGCAGGTAGGTTAGGGCAAGACTGATCATTCTGTCCGTCTATGGTTGCGTATTTTGCAAAACCCAAACCAATAATGAAATCATGACTGTTGACTTAGACCATTTATAATCTCAAAACCATAAAAGCACTGTAAAATTTTATACTCACTTTTATGCTATGAGTATGACTTTAGGATAGAAAGGAAAGCATTTTAATTTGCCACCTGGGAATAACTTGGTACTGTTCAAAGCAAATAATTACAGCTAGAGTTTCTCCCTTTCCTTCTGCTGCTCATGCCCCTGCCTAAGGATGTAGGGTAAGGGGAAAAACAAGTGTAACGAAGGTGTTTAAGGTAAACTGAGAACACTAGCTCACCTTGGATTCCAAGCACAAAATTGGCGTATACTCAGTATTGCCCTTTACTGACATTAACACCAGGGTTAAAATTTCAGGTTTATTTTTTTTGTGGTTCCTATTGAGCAATGTATTTCAAACTTTCTTGACTGTGACCAAGAATAAAATAACTTTTTACATTTGACCCAGAACTGTGTGTGTGTGTGTGTGTGTGTGTGTGTGTGAGTGTGAGAGAGAGAGAGAGAGAGAGAGAGAGAGAGAGAGAGAGAGAGAGGGAGAATATAAAATGGTTAACTGAAATATTTTGTGAAATAATTCAGACTCTTACTATGTGTGATATACTTTGATCCCTCCTCCACCTCTACTGTTTTAAATGCTCACTAAATTTATTTCCTGACACATAAATGGCTTGCTATTCACAGTTTGAAAAACAGTGCATAGGTAGTACTTAACCTTGGCTGTATATGCTGTGTTCTGGGGTTGCTTCTGATTGGGAAAGGGGTTTACAAAGAAAACTTAAGTGTTTATTTCTGAAACATGTTCTTAGCTGATACTGAATATAATTGTGAGCTTTAGTAGCATCATGAGTTTTAAGGACCCTTTCGTGGACTTCCACTTGAGAAGACTTGCTTTAGGGAAAATCAACTTTGGATGTTTTTCAGAAAGCTTATGGCCGCCCAGTGTTTTCCTGATCAGCACTCCTCCTCCACCAAGTGCCCTCTGACTTGCATGTTCAGTCCCTGGGACGTGTTCCTAGGCAAGAATGCAGGGGAGGCCAGGTGTTATCAGAAACTAAGAGTGTAAGGGCAAGAACTGTGCTCTAGGCCCATATGAAATGTTAAAGCCTCATTAAATTTTATGCTTTTAAACATTTTGTTATTTAAACTGGGAATTTCCCATGGTGCTGAGAGAGGTGCTAAGATACTTGAACCTTAGTGCTAGTGAACTAATTTCTTTTAGCTTTCTAAGCACATTTCTAATTTACCAGCCAAGTCATCTGCACAACGAGTAATGCTGAGTCATGGTCTCCGGTGCAGCTCGTGAGTATGTGTGTGTACATATTTATGTAAAAGGGTGAAGAACAGAGTGTGTGATTGTGGAGTGTTGATACTGGTGAGCAAATGGAAGAAGGACCCGTGTGTGTTTGTCTTCGGCCTTCATTTTCCAAAGCTATCTGGAACAGGTTTTTATAATCTACCCCCCCCCCCCCGAAATATTGTGCCACTAGTCATACAAGTGACTGGTTGAGAGTCTAATGACTAAATTCCTTATTCCTGGAATAAGTACACTAGATATATCTTCATAAATCTATCGATACATGGAAAGGAGGTACCTGAAGTTTGGCGGTTGGTCAAAACAATGAAAGGAGTATAACATTGTCTTCTTGGTGACAAAGAGCAGCAGTTTCTTTAATGTTTGTGTCCCATTTCTAATTGCCGGTGTGTCTGCCTGTGATGCAGTTTACCTGCACAATAAAGAGGACTGCCACCAACCCCCATGGCTTTCCCCTGCCATCTTTTCCTTGTGTATTTACTAAGAAGAAAAAGAGAAGAAAAAAGGTGTGCCCATGTTGATCTAGAAGCAATTGCACTGTGTGAACACTGGCCCTGGCGGGAGTTTCTGCCGGCCGCCGCCACAATGTTTCCATGCTGCTTGTGAAGTACAGGGACTTACCTTGACCTTGGCGCTCATTGTAATGTACAAACTGTTGTTAATGGATGTATATGTAACAGATTTTTGTATTTTATATGCGAAGTCTTCATAGAATCCTCTGCAACATGTACTGGGCTAGCTAAGCATGTGATAGTCTTATTTGAGAGGAAAATCCTACCCATGCCCAGAAGGTATGAAGTAAATAAAGCTGCATGACCAGTTCTTCTGAAGTAGTGCATTTTTACTGGGTCTCTAGGAAGAGTTTAGCTTCCAAGGTATTTGGCTAGTTATACTGGAAAAACCAAGAAAGGCCCAACAGCCTGCCTCTGCTTAGCTACCTCTGCTGATGCACCATTAATTCCAGAGTGTGCTTGGAGTCTTTTTTGAGTCATCTTGGGAGAAGCCTTTATGGGCCCCTCTATATGTTTGTACTCACTTAATTCCATCATAAAATGTATAAAATCAGGGCTTTTTTAAAAAAAATTAAAATTTACATTTATAGATTTCAGAGAGGAAGAAGAGAGAAACATCAACAATGAGAGAGAATCACTGATCGGCAGCCTCCTGCACACCCCACATTGGGGATTGAGCTAACAACCCAGGCATGTGCCCTGACTGGGAATCGAACCGTGACTTCCTGGTTCATAGGTCTATGCTCAGCCATCTGAGGCACACCAACGGGTGACCCTTCTATCTGTTATGCCCAGATTTCAAGATCCCCAAAAAACCACGTCAGGGAGCCAGTCCGATGCAAAAGCAGAGGGTCTCTTATACAAGCTCGCTTGGTCCGCCCCTTGCCTCCATTACTGGGTGCAAGAGAGAGCCCCGAATCCCAAGAGAACAAAGAATTTATAGGGCTTGGGGTCGGGGGTTCGGGCAGGGTGCAGCTAGGGTCTGGTTACACAAAGACAGGGGGGGTGGCCAGCATACTTTTGGCCTTGGGCTAGTTTCCCCCGCTTTCCCATTGGCCGAGATCGAGATAAGGGCAGGCTGAGTAACTGATACACCCTGCGGCTTTTTCTTGGAAAGAGGGGTTAAGGACACAGCCATCAGTCCTGCTCTGTCCTTTCACTATCATTAAATATGGGCCATACTTTACTGTTTAATATGTGACAAATCTAGAAACCCTATTCCCCTCCCATTCCAGAATTGCTGTTACCTTTTTTTACTTCCTGAACTGATTCTGTAGTCTCAATTCCTTATTGTATGTGCCCCTGAAGCCTCTGCTCAGCTTAGTGATCAGGTAATGACTCGACAGATTTCCTTAAGTTTCCTGTACCCACAAGTTCTCCATTCTGGTAACTACTGTTCCTCTAAAACCCAAAGCTCCATTGTCCAAGATTGTTGTGTTTATATGATTTTAATTGCATTTTGGGGAGTAATAGTGGGAGTAGAGAATAGCTAAGGCCAGCCAACAACCTCAAATTCCATGAGATACCACTATTTTTATAGATCCTTAGCCTTTCCTGCTATTAGGTATTTCTCATTGGCTAGTTTCTCTATTCTTTTTAGTCCTCAAGATTTCTGGGCCTTCTCCTGTCTTTCTTATACCCTCGTCACTCTCCTCTCTCCCAGTGTTCCAAGCCCTTCTAAAGGAGCCAGCAGTGAACTTTAAAATTTTATAACTTCATTAGTAAATAGAATAATTGAGTTATCTCTGTTATAATCTTTTCCCATTTGAATGAGCCCAGGCCCTGCTTTCACAATAGAACAGACCTCCTGAGGTGTTTTTTAAATAAAAGCCACATAACCAGGAGATGAGATGCCACTCTTTTGAAAGGTGAAGTGGCTGAGGTTAGGTGATTTTGTTTGGTTTGGGGAGAAATGATTCTGAAAACCTTCATCTCTACCATCTTTACAAGAATTAAAATTTTTTGTTTATTGATCAAAATAATACATGTTTAGAGGTGCACTTGTTACAGAAGACCGTAGAAATACAAGCACGCTTCCTCGAGAAAGGGAGGGACCCCGTTTATTAACACCAGTGGACTCCTGGAATAATTTCCAAATCAGAGTGAAGAAACACACAGAGAGCCTGTCTATATATATCCCGCTGGGGTCTTTGTCTTGCAGATATGCCCCCTGCCCCCTTCGTGGCCCTGCAGAAAGGCCCCCAGGTGTCAGGCCACATGGATGGTCCGTCCTGGCACCAGCATAACCGCCCCCCCCCCCGCCCCCGCCCCAGGGCAGTGCACTGTTCACAGTTCCATGGCCTCTGCATTTAGATAAGTTCTGCAAGACCAGTGTCCTCCTCCTCACACTGTAAGTTTTACATTTGGATTCATTTCGTTTATTGGTTATTACATTGCTGCTATAAAATTATTGTTCCCTTCATATCTGCACTATTCTTGTTAGAATCATTCTATTACCTCCAAATTTTCATGTAACTGATAATGGAATCTTTTTCGGGTCACCTAGCTGTTAGAAAATTATTGAATTTTGTTCATCTTTTTATTAGGCAACTTTACTAAACTCTTGCTGTGAAACAGTTTTAATTTATTCCCTTTGGATGTAAAATCATCTAGTTTGCAAGTGATAATTGTATTTCCTTTTCTTCCATATCACTGCCTGTTGTTTCTATTTAATGTCTTAGTGTCAATCTTCTAGCAAAATTCTTGTTGCCTAGGGATGGGAGAGCTTTATTGTGAGCACTGAGCTTTAGGACGAGAATGGCGAGAAGAGGGCGGTGCGGGCTGGTCTGGAGGCGCCTGGGCGTCTGTCTGCCACACTTTGCCGAGCAGCTTCACCACCTCATCGTAGATGAGGAACGTGATGGCCACGTCCCAGGGGACCGGCCGGGCGGGGGAAGTGCCTGTGCAGACCCGTGAGGCCCTCATTCCTCAGGGCCTGCCAGACAGCCCACGTGCTCCGCCTTCGAGCACCGCCAGGCCCCGCAGCCAGTCCAGACCACGCGTGGAGTTGATCCCTGCAGCTGCGCCCTCGATAGTTCCCAGCACCGTGATCAGCGGTCTCCGCGGCGTGTGGGGCCGGTCCCCTCGGCACCAGCTCTACAGGGAGGTCACGACAAAGAAGCGTGAGGCCCTGGTACGTCCCCTTCACCCCTGTCCCCGCACAATCGCCCCGACTCGGTAGAAGGGGCCTCACTCAGTACTCTGCGCTGGGGGAGGTGCGGTGGTGGGTGAGTGTCACCCTGATGGTCTCCTCGGGGCGCACGACCACCGCGGCCTCGGGCCATGCAGGCGCCCGCGCCGCCCAGCAGCCCTTGGACGTGTTGCTGCTGGAAACCCGATGATCACCTGCGGGACGGAGCGGAGCGGCGGGAAGCCGAGGCCTCGCACGGCCCTGGACGCCCGGGTACCGCGGCGGGTGCGGGTTCACGTGCTGGGTGGGAAGGTGGCGCACATGGCACAGCCGCCCCAGGACGCCTGGGGGCCGGGCCGGGTCCCGGAGAGGCGCGGAGGGGCGACGCACAGGGCGAGCCCCCACGTGCAAGTCGGCTGCCCTCTCCCCTCCGTGAAGTTTTAGAAAACGTATTTTTTATGAACGATTGGAGGGTAAGTTGGAGACATTCTGCCCCGTTAGCACTAAACACTTGGATATTCAAGAACAAGGACCTTGTCTTACATAGCATGGCCGGACAAGTATGAAGCTCGGGAAACGTCATGGTCCAGTATTATCGCCCAACCCACAGCCCATATTCGGGTTTGGTCTGTTTTCCTAAAGTATTTGATTTTTGTCTTTTGTCCTCATGTCCTCTCTAGAGCTGTTTTCCTGGCTTAATAATACTCAGTGCTGGGTCATTGCTTATAGCTGTGTCTTCAATCTCCTGGAACATTTCCTTAGTTTGTTTGTCTTGTTGGTTTGTTTCCTGATTTTGAGTTTTGGGGGGAGGGGGGAGGGAGAGATATAGGTTGGTTATTTTGCACAAAATTCCTCAATTAATTTTGTCTGGTTTTCCCTCAAGATCAGATTCAGGTAATGTGGTTTTGTTGCTGTTGTTTCTTTTCTTTTTTGCTTGTTTTGTTTTTATTAATCCTCACAGAGGATTTTTTTTTTTTTTTTTTACAGTCAGTGGGAGGAAGGGAAGGGGGAGAGGGAAACATCATTTGAGAGACATGGATTAGTTGCCTCCCCCGTCCCCCTCACCGGGGTCAGGGATGGAACCGACCCTTGGATGCGGGGGCGGAGCTCTAACCACTGAGCAGCAGGCCAGGGCAGGAAATGTCCTTTTGATAGGAACACCGCAGAAGTGATGTTGTGTCCTCAGGGCATCTTATCAGAAGGCAGCTGGAGTCCATATGTATTATTGGTAAAGTTGAAGTGGCTGTCCTCCAGGTTTCCCTGCTTAAAGCTATTACCCTGTTTTGGAAATTAGTAAGTAGTTTGGGGTGAGATACTTTGACATCATGGAAATATCCTGTTTCTCAGTCAGCTTTTACCTGTGATAACTATGATACTTATATTTACCTACTATAACATTTTACCTTTGATAAGCTAGTACTACAACAACTTTTAACCTCGACTGATGCTTTTCTATACCAATTTCTATATTTTTTGACATCCTCCTGTAAGGAAGACCTTCCTTCTCCCTTCCCTCCTTCCATGAACTCATGCATTCTTATTTTAGTTAATGGATTATAATCCACTTTTACTGTTATTGATTTTGATAATCCAAGTAATCAGTCCCAGATTTGGCCAATGGGAGCCTCACCCAGGGGGCATCTATGGCTTCTGAAGTATCCCTGTCATTCTTTGAATACTTCTTACGTTCTAGTGTGGCAAGGTGCTCCAAGCCTTGGTAATGGCCATTTCTCGAAGGAACTGGGTTTCCTTTTTAAAAAATTTTTTAATTATTATATTTCTTTATTGATTAAGGTATTACATATGTGTCCTTATCCCCTATTGCCCCCCCACATCCCCTCCACTCATGCCCTCAACCCCCTGGTGTTGTTTGTGTCCATTGGTTAGGCTTATGTGGATGCATACAAGCCCTTTGGTTGATCTCTCCCCCTTACCCCCACCCTCCCCTACCTTCCCTCTGAGGTTTGACAGTCTGATCGATGCTTCTATGACTCTGTCTCTGTTTTTGTTCATCAGTTTATGTTGTTCATTATATTCCATAAATGAGTGGGATCATGTGATATTTATCTTTCTCTGACTGTCTTATTTCGCTTAGCATAATGATCTCCAGTTCCATTCATGCTGTTGCAAATGGTAAGAATTCCTTTTTTACCGCAGCATAGTATTCCATTGTGTAGATGTACCACAGTTTTTTTAATCCACTCATCTGCTGATGGGCACTTAGGCTGTTTCCAAATCTTAGCTATGGTATATTGTGCTGCTGTGAACCTAGGGGTGCATATATCCTTTCTAATTGGTGTTTCTAGTTTCTTAGGATATATTCCTAGAAGTGGGATCACGGGGTCAAATGGGAGTTCCATTTTTAGTTTTTTGAGGAAACGCCATACTGTTCTCCACAGTGGCTGCACCAGTCTGCATTCCCACCAGCAGTGCACGAGGGTTCCTTTTTCTCCGCATCCTCACCAGTACTTGTCGTTTGTTGCCATTCTGACAGGTGTGAGATGGTACCTCATTGTCATTTTGATTTGCATCTCTCGGATGATTAGTGACTTTGAGCATGTTTGCATATGTCTCTTGGCCTTCCTTATGTCCTCTTTCGAAAAGTATCTATTTAGGTCCATTGCCCATTTTTTTTTTTTTTTTTCTGTTTCAGAATTTTTTAAAAAAAAGAAAAAAAAAGGAAAAGAAATCTTTACATGAGTTTTAAATCCTATTTTAAAACAGAAGAAACAACTCCATCATTGGCCACGGGGCCCCGCCAGCCCGCCCTCGGGGAGCAGCGCGAGACGACATCCAGGCCTAGCTCCACGCACAGACTTGCTGGTGCTTTAGCTGGTGTCCATCCTCGCGTTGTAAGCGTCCAGCTGGGCATCCAGCTCCTCCGCAGAGATCTGCTGCTTTGAACTCCGGCCGGTGCCCCTGCCTCTGCCCCGGCTGCCTCCACGGGCGCCTCTCCGAGTGCCGCCGCCGAAGCCTCCAGACCCTCGGGTTCTGGTCATCCCGCCTCTGTTCACACTCTGTACCGGCCTGCGCTGCGTGTCTATCTGTGAGGTGACCAGCTGGATGTTCATGGGGCGGCCATCCAAAGGCACGCCGTTGTACTGTTTCGTGGCTTTCAGGGCGTCTGCCTTCCGCTCAAAGTGCACGTCGGCTGTTCCCAGGTGCGGCCAGAGCGGTCGTAGTGCACGGCGGCCTTCTTCAGAGTCCCGAACTCCGCAAACAGCTCCTGGATGTCCGCGTCGGACACTCCGAAGTCCAGGTTGGACACCAGCAGCTTCCCCCCCGTCTCCACGCCGGCGCCCCCGCCGAAGCCGCTGTCGAAAAGGTCGTGTTGCCACTTGTCGGGAAGCTGTTTCGGTCGGCTGTAGGGCGCCGGCGGGTTCCTGCCTCCGCCGCCCGCCGCGCCGCGGACGAGGGCCGCCCGGTTCCGGATGGGCCCGCCGCCCCGGCTCACTCGTGCGGCGGCCTGCGCTCCGCCACCGCGGCCTCCCTGGGAGCCGGCCCGGCCTCGGCCCCGGCCCCCGCCGCGGCCGCCCCGCTGGCTCCGGTTCAGCTTAATGATGTCGTCCAGAGACATGTCCATTTTGTCGGCCATGGCGGGCGCGGAATCGGCCTCGGCTTGAGCCCGCGCGTCAGCACGCCAGCCCGTCACTTCCGGCCCATTGCCCATTTTTTGATTGGGTTGTTGATCTCTGGGTTTTCTTTGACTTGAGAATTGTATTAGAACCAGTATGTGGCCCTAGCCAATTAGCTCAGTGGATAGAACCTTGGCCTGTGGACTGAAGAGTCCCAGGTTTGATTCCTGTCAAGGGCACATGCCCAGATTGCGGGCTTGATCCCCAGTAGGGGGTGTGCAGGAGGCAGCTATCAATGATTCTCTGTCATCATTGATGTTTCTTTCTCTCTCTCCCTCTCACTTCCTCTCTGAAATCAATAAAAATATATTTAAAGAAAGAAAAAAGAACGCAGTATCTGGATATTAGGTGTCCGTTGCTACTGAGGGTTCATTGCTTTAAGGCCCTCTCCATATGTGCATATTGGATAAAATTTCTGGTTACTTGTTGGGGCAAGTAGTTTAAAGAGTAAATGTTCTTCCTGTGATCTCTGAAAACTAGGGAGTCAGTATCAAAAATGAAACAGTATATATGTTAGAATTCTAGGGATATCTATTCTCTATATACTGTTAAATATTCTATAGTGCAATCATTGAAGGAGAAAAATCTTGACATAGCTGGCGTGGATAAGAAGGAAAGAACACTTTATTTTTATGGGTTCTTTGAAATTCTTTTGGGATAACTCGTTCCCTCTCTGTCTCAACTTTTTTTTTTCTGTCTCAACTTTTAAAAGTTTGATATAATTGGATCTTTGGGACATTATCCCTGAAGGATCTGAAGTTTCAAACTGCTGCAGTATAGAGCTGCTGAACTTTAAATTGTTTAGGGACAGTAGGTATTCCCTAAAACAACAGAGGATTTAAATTTACACAGTATTTCAGTTGCTCTCCTTTGATGCTTTTAGTTAGGGAGGCAACGGTCAATACTTTAGAAAGAAATGAATTGCCCTGATGACTTTTACATAATACGTTTAACATTTTTAACATGGGTGCATTTATTCTCTCTTGCACTTAGCTAACTTTATGAAGTGCATCTTAAAACAAGTTTTGGAGTTGGTAACAGGGAATTCAGGTCAGAGGACCCATTTTTCTTGGCTACTATTTTTAAACAATAGAAAAGATCAAGTCACAGACAACTGGCCTGATTTTTCATTCTAAAATAAATAAATAAATTGTGTTTTCTTTTTTTTAATCCTCACCCAAGGATATGTTTTTATTGATTTTTAGAGAGAGAGAAAGGAAGAAGGAGAGAGTATGTTGCCTCCTATACACACCCAACCAGGAATCGAACCTACAACCTTTTGGTGTATGGGACAGTGCTCCCACTAACTGAGCCACCCGGCCAGGGCAAATTACGTTTTCTTTGCTAGTTTTAAGAGCAGCACAAAACATTTTTAAAGTTTCTTTAATAAAATAATCTCTTACAATAATATAATAAGACTTTTATAGAGAATTTGTTAAATATAAAATTTGGCAGAGAAATCCTTAAAAATAATCTAACAAATGAATAAGAAGTAACTACTCTGATGTAGAAAAATGAAGCTTTTAGGAAGAAAAGCAAAATCTCTGCTCCCCAAGTACCACAGAAGGCGCTAACACGGACAAGTATTCCCTGGACACTAAACAAGGTATCAGTGTTACTGATATAGTGTGTGGACCTGCAGTGTAAGCTGCTTAGGGACTGATGACTACAACAAACACACCAACTAAAATGAAGGGACTGGCTAATAGGCTAGATGAGATTCCATGGAACAAAAGTCAAAGATAATAATGGAATGTAAGTCAAAAGAATTCTGTAATATATGAACTGTTTGAAAAATATTGTGCCCCATCTACGGTACTTTTAAAATTTGGAGAACTGGGAGACAAATGATAACATTGATTGAAATTGAGAAACGGGGGGAAAATGTCAGTGATGAGAAAGTGGAGACTGAAGTATTAAGATAAACCATGTAATGGAGGAGTTTGTCTATGAAAGGGAGAGCAAAAATAGGGTGGCAGTTAACACATGTAGCATGACAATGAAGGGAACTTTTAAGAACAAGTGTATTTGAAACTAGCCAGGAAAGAACTAGTGGGAAAAGGAAAAAGGTCGAAGGTGATAAAGGGCAACGCCATTGCAAAAGCAAGGGAAGTTTTAGCAATTATTTTTGTTAATAATGTGAAATGTCAAAATAAATAAAACCTCAAGTGTCGTGTTTATAATCAGGTCATCTATAACCTTTTCAAAGAGATTTTAAGATAATTTAAGCAGGGAGTTTAATTTCTGCATTCCCTGAATCTTCATGAGTGTTAATACGAGCATTGCCTGGGTGTAATTTTTAGATCTGTTTACATGCTCACAAAGGTATAGGTCTCAATAATGAATGAACCTATACAGGGGCTGAATCAGTTTTTAAACGAGGTGGGTTATTTTGTGGGACTTGTGAACTGGCTCTTAATATAATCAAGACAAATATCTGCAATGCTTCAAACAGGATTATTATTTTTGGAACAAGTATATAGACCTCCAAACTGTTAGTTGGAAAGGACAGAGGTAACTTAGACCTGGAACTTCATAGGTGTTAGTTTGAAATTCATTGATTTGTTTCTTTCAGCATTCTTCCTCGTCCAGTGAAGATCATTACTGGTTTTTATTGTGCCAATGTGCTTTATTTGCCTCATTTTCTGGCTTACTTTTCTAATTAGTGCTCAATAACTTACTCAGTGCCGACTCATATTTCCACCAAAACTTTACTGAAAACCTCCTGTGGGTCAAGCATAGGATTATGAGTTGAGGTTAAGTAGTAAATATGTTGATTCTTGTTTTCAAACTCACTCTTTTCTAAATTTTGTTGTGGAAGCATCAACTGTTTATGCAGATCATCTTGTTCTCCCTTTAGAGCAGCGGTTCTCAACCTGTGGGTCGCGACCCCTCTGGCGGTCGAACGACCCTTTCACAGGGGTCGCCTAAGACCATCCTGCATATCAGATATTTACATGACGATTCGTAACAGTAGCAACATTACAGTTATGAAGTAGCAACGAAAATAATTTTATGGTTGGGGGTCACCACATGAGGAGCTGTATTAAAGGGCCAGAAGGTTGAGAACCACTGCTTTGGAACAATAGATCCACTCTCCTTTGATTTCTTTGCGGTAAAATTGTGTTTTTTATAGTGAAGATAAGTTTGAAAGTGTTTTCCTAACTAAAAGAGCATTCTACTTGATCCACCTCTTTACGTTCCCAGATGAAATGAAGACAATAACCCTAGAGTAACTACAGGTGCGAAGAAGGAGATGCCAGGAGAAAACCTCACCACCTGGAACTTTTTCTTCCTGGAGGGTTTTTCTAAATATCCGAAGTTGGAGATCGTTCTCTTCGTCTTCAGCCTTGTGACGTATCTGGTCACCCTCTTGGGAAACAGCACTCTTATTTTAATCACCATCCTGGATTCCCGCCTCCAAACCCCCATGTACTTTTTCCTTGGGAACCTCTCTTTCATGGATATCTGTTACACATCTGTTTCTATTCCCTCTGTGCTGGTGAACCTGCTGTCCTCCCAGAAAACCATTGTCTTTTCTGGGTGTGCTGTACAGATGTATCTGTCCCTTGCCATGGGCTCCACGGAGTGCGTGCTCCTGGCCGTGATGGCGTATGACCGCTATGTGGCCATTTGCAACCCGCTGAGATACCCCCTCCTCATGAACAGGCAGGTCTGTGTGCAGTTGGCCACCGTGTCCTGGGTGACCGGCTGCCTGACCGCCCTGCTGGAAACCAGTTTTGCTCTGCGGATGCCCCTGTGCGGGAATCTCATCGACCACTTCACCTGCGAGATCCTGGCGGTGCTGAAGTTGGCCTGCGCCAGTTCCCTGCTCATGGACATGACCATGCTGGCGGTCAGTGTACTTCTCCTGCCCATCCCAATGCTCTTAATTTGCATCTCTTATGTCTTCATCCTGTCCACGATTCTGAGAATCAGCTCCGCAGAGGGGAGAGACAAGGCGTTTTCTACCTGTGGGGCCCACTTGACTGTGGTGGTCTTGTATTACGGGGCCGCCCTCTCCATGTACCTAAAGCCTTCTTCATCCGGCTCCCAACAGATAGATAAAATCATCTCTTTGCTGTATGGCATGCTCACCCCTATGTTGAACCCCATAATTTACAGTTTAAGAAACAAGGAAGTCAAAGATGCTATGAAAAAACTGCAGGACAAAATATCATCGCATTAAGCACATGAAAGGATCTGACTGGGGTCCTTCCATTTGTACCAAGAGCTCACCCCTGGCAGGGCTCCCAGGGAAATTTAGACCAAACACTCACCCTCAGAACGCTGACTTGATAGCTCGCTCGCTCCATAATCTTGCAGCTTCGAGATATGTGTGCGCAGAGTCATGGCCTGTGGGCAACAGTAGATTCCAGTTTGCATTTAGTACTATTTTCTGTATTTGTGTTTCATGGCTGTGAGAGGTTTTGGGCTGCAGGCATCACACATTCGTTCCAGAAGGAAACTTGAATAAACTCAGAATCAGTGAATGTTAGAGCCAGAAGAAAGTTGGACGTCTTCTCTGCCCTAAATCCTTTCTCAGATGAGGTGGGAGCATAAGGAAACAAAAAAATAACAGATGATGCGAAGGAGAAAACAGAGTCAAAGACAGATTAAGATACTTGATCTGTGTCACGCAGGTGCCAAACTGGAAGCGCAGCCCTCCTCCTTCTGTCTTCCTCCCTAGAGCTTGTCCTGCCAAACAGTGGTGGCTCCCTCATTCGCCCTTCTTTCCCCAAACTCCTGGTTAAAACTCCCTGACTTCCTGAGTAAGGCATCCGACACCTGCTTGATTTACCCACCCCCAACCTTGCTTTACCCACCCTCAACCTTGCTTTTCTAAGCACACAGATACTATGCCAGTGTACCACCCATACGCCAGTTGAGACTTTATGTGTTTGTGTGTTTTTCTTCATTGGATGATTGACTTCACAAGGGCAAGGATTCCTATAATTTTGTATTTTGGGGGTTTATAGTAGGGATTCAGTGACCTAATAAATCTATCAGCTTCACAC